TTTTTTTTTTTTCTATCCGACTGACTTTTTCATTTTCAACTGCCGTTCTGACAAAGTTTTCTCTCCCAGCCGTATTTTTCAATAATTTTAATATTTAAATATCAATTGAATTTTCCCTAAATTTCAAATTTTAATTTTCATTTCTTCTTTTCTTCTTTTCTTTCTTTAGTTTTCACTCTTCCTATTTTTATACTTTTTATTTACAAATTATTTACAGTATGAGTGCTACTGAACCAACTAAAGAAAAGGTTGGCAAAAACCTTTCTGACGATGAAGAAGAAGACATCGATCAATTAATTATGGATTTACAATCCAATCCAGCTTTTGGAGAAGAAGGTGAAGAAGAAGAAGTCGATGAATCTACTTTCAAGGCTGTCCCAGATGAATTATTACAAACTGATCCAGCTTATGGTTTAAGTGATGATGAAGTTGCCAAGAGAAGAAAGAGATTTGGTCTTAATCAAATGGCTGAAGAAGAAGAAAATTTAGTTTTAAAATTCGTTATGTTCTTTGTCGGTCCAATTCAATTCGTTATGGAAGCCGCTGCTGTTTTAGCTGCCGGTTTAGAAGATTGGGTTGATTTCGGTGTTATCTGTGCCTTATTAATGTTGAATGCCTTTGTTGGTTTTATTCAAGAATACCAAGCTGGTTCTATTGTTAATGAATTAAAGAAAACTTTAGCTAATGTTGCTTTAGTTGTTAGAAACGGTCAATTAGTTGAAATTCCAGCTAAAGAAGTTGTTCCAGGTGATATTTTACAATTAGAAGATGGTACTGTTATTCCAACTGATGGTAGAATTGTTTCTGAAGATTGTTTATTACAAGTTGATCAATCTGCTATTACTGGTGAATCCTTAGCTTGCGACAAGAGACATGGTGATTCTTGTTACTCTTCCTCCACTGTTAAGACTGGTGAAGCTTTCATGGTTGTTACTGCTACTGGTGATTCTACTTTCGTCGGTAGAGCTGCTTCTTTAGTCTCTAAAGCTTCCGGTGGTACTGGTCATTTCACTGAAGTTTTAAACGGTATTGGTACTACTTTATTAGTTTTCGTTATTGTTACTTTATTAGTTGTTTGGGTTGCTTGTTTCTACAGAACCGTTAGAATTGTTCCAATTTTAAGATTCACTTTAGCTATCACTATCATTGGTGTTCCAGTTGGTTTACCAGCTGTTGTCACCACTACCATGGCTGTCGGTGCTGCTTACTTGGCTAAGAAGCAAGCTATTGTTCAAAAATTATCTGCTATTGAATCCTTAGCTGGTGTTGAAATCTTATGTTCTGATAAGACCGGTACTTTAACCAAGAACAAGTTATCTTTACATGAACCATACACTGTTGAAGGTGTTGAAGCTGATGACTTGATGTTGACTGCTTGTTTAGCTGCTTCCAGAAAGAAGAAGGGTTTAGATGCTATTGATAAGGCTTTCTTAAAATCTTTGATTAACTACCCAAGAGCTAAGGCTGCTTTAACTAAATACAAGGTCCTTGAATTCCAACCATTCGATCCTGTTTCCAAGAAGGTTACTGCTATTGTTGAATCTCCAGAAGGTGAAAGAATTATTTGTGTTAAGGGTGCTCCATTATTCGTCTTAAAGACTGTTGAAGATGATCACCCAATCCCAGAAGATATCCATGAAAACTATCAAAACACTGTTGCTGAATTTGCTTCTAGAGGTTTCAGATCTTTAGGTGTTGCCAGAAAGAGAGGTGAAGGTCATTGGGAAATTTTAGGTATTATGCCATGTATGGATCCTCCAAGAGATGATACTGCTGCCACTGTTAATGAAGCTAGAAGATTAGGTTTAAGAGTTAAGATGTTAACTGGTGATGCCGTTGGTATTGCTAAGGAAACTTGTCGTCAATTAGGTTTAGGTACCAACATTTATGATGCTGAAAAATTAGGTTTATCTGGTGGTGGTGACATGGCCGGTTCTGAAATTGCTGATTTTGTTGAAAATGCTGATGGTTTTGCTGAAGTTTTCCCACAACATAAATATAATGCTGTTGAAATCTTACAATCTAGAGGTTACTTGGTTGCCATGACTGGTGATGGTGTTAATGATGCTCCATCCTTGAAGAAGGCTGATACTGGTATTGCTGTCGAAGGTGCCACTGATGCTGCTCGTGCTGCTGCTGATATTGTTTTCTTAGCTCCAGGTTTATCTGCCATTATTGATGCTTTAAAGACTTCCAGACAAATTTTCCACAGAATGTATGCTTATGTTGTTTACCGTATTGCTTTATCTTTACATTTAGAATTATTCTTAGGTTTATGGATTGCTATCTTGAACAGATCTTTAAACATTGATTTAGTTGTCTTTATTGCTATCTTTGCTGATGTTGCCACTTTAGCTATTGCTTATGATAATGCTCCATATGATCCAAAGCCAGTTAAATGGAATACTCCAAGATTATGGGGTATGTCTATTGTTTTAGGTATAATTTTAGCTATTGGTACTTGGATTACTTTAACTACTATGTTATTACCAAAGGGTGGTATTGTTCAAAACTTTGGTGGTATTGATGGTATTTTATTCTTACAAATTTCATTAACTGAAAACTGGTTAATTTTCATTACTAGAGCTCATGGTCCATTCTGGTCATCTATTCCATCTTGGCAATTAGCTGGTGCCGTCCTTATTGTTGATATCATTGCTACCTGTTTCACTTTATTCGGTTGGTGGTCTCAAAACTGGACTGATATCGTTACTGTTGTCAGAACCTGGATTTGGTCTTTTGGTGTCTTCTGTGTCATGGGTGGTGCTTACTACATTATGTCTGGATCTCAAGCTTGGGATGACTTCTGTAATGGTAAGAAGACTAAGCCTCAAACTGATAAAAGATCTCTTGAAGATTTCCTTGTCTCCATGCAAAGAGTTTCTACTCAACACGAAAAATCTACTTAGATTTGATTATATGTGTTTGAGTATTAACATATGATGATTTATTTTTTCCATTATTACATTATAAACATTTTTTTGCATTCATTTCATTGTGTTCTTTTATCCTTTCTTATATTCATATTATCCATTTTATTTTTTTGTTGATGATGATGGTTGTTATAACGGGTTTAAAATTATAACAATTAATTCCCCTTACCTTTTTATATATATATCCAACGTTTTTAATAATATAAAAATTCACTTATAAAGATATCCCCAAAAAAACAAAAAAAATTCAAACTTTATTATTTAAAAAAATCCATAAAAAAATTGTTTATTTGGTAGAAATTTGGTAATGATGATGGTGATGATTATACTTTTAAATTCCCCATTAAAGGTATTTTCTTTGTTATTATTATTTATTGGTTTTTGATTGATGGTGAGTTTTCTTTATTTGGTCTTATTTATTATTTCAATTGTTGTGTTGGTAATGTTTTATTAAAATTTGGTATTATTTTTGTTATATGATGGTTGTTGTTGGTTGTTGTTGGTTTTTTATTATCATTTTTCCCCAATTGGTGATGAAAATCAAAGTTGTTGTTATGATGATTATTATTATTTTGAAAAGTAAGTGGTTAGTATGTGTGTTTGTTGAAGAATGAAAGAATCCTTTTATTCATTTTTAATTTTATTAATTGGTGTCGTTATAAATTTTGTGTATATAACATGGTTGTTATATATATTCCCTTACCCTTTCCCCCATTCCCCCTCCTTAAATCCTTTTTATATTTAATTTCGTATTATAGTTAACTTTTTTTTTTATATATTATTATTAAACTCTTTATAATAGATGATAGTATTAAAAAAAATCAATTGTATTTGTAGTTTGTAGATCTTGGTTCTTTGGTTGTTGAAGTTTTGAATTGTATTGGCAGCTACATTTGGAAAAGAGAGAGAGAGAGTATTAGAGATGGGCAAGAAGAGACAGACTATTAGAGCTACGCAAGATGTACTTTTATAACTACACACTCCACTTATAATGACCTATATAGACATTACAGAATCATTATGAGGTCGGTACAAGCTTTTCTTGGTTGTCTTATTAGACGGAAGTGATGGACTGATGGCTGCCATTCTTCGATATTAGTGTGGTAGCGCAGATAAAGCGTGGGCTACAGGTACTTTCTCAATACAACTAAATAGAGATCGAATATACAAGATCTTACTTTCATTATGAATAATCACCGTTTTGTAAATAGACAAATAAAGAATCAGTCATTGAAATTATCAAGCAAGGATTCTGTTATAAAGATTGTCAACTCAACAATTTTTATTTTTGTTTAGGGTTATTCTGTTCTTTGTTAAAGAGTGTGTAGTCAATAAAAATTGTGTGTTTGTTTGATTCAAACAGAAAAAGAAAATTGAGTGAAGGAAGAAAAAAAAATTTCTATTTGATTCTATTCACACCAACTGAAAAGAAAGAAGACAGACAGACAGACAGACAGACACGTCTTCTGACAAAAACCATTCCCTAGTATTACGACTATTACAACTACCACACGGTATTATTCAAAGAAACTACAAACCACCTAGAAAGAAAGTTCTTCGTTTTCTTGAAATAAATCATAGTATTTTATTAGGAAAGAATTACATTTAACAGCGTCTTTTTCTTACCCTTTTTATAAAGAACCAAAACAAAATTTCCATTTAGTTGTTATTAGTGGTATAAAGACATATGATCAATAGTCAGTCATACTACCAATAACATATAACTAACTAACACTACACAACTTACTTACTGTACATTAGTTTCATTTCAAACAAGAAAAAAAAAAGTGAATTTTCATCTTTCACCGTCTATTTTTTTTTGGTTTATTATTATTATTAATTATTATCGTTTTTGTATATTAGATAGAAAGAAAGTTCATTCATTAATCGCTTTAAGCATACTCCATATTCATAAAGAAAAGAAGGTTTTTCATATTTGTATATTAAAAAAGCAAAACCCAACATATCCAAAGATCAAAAGTTCCATTTTTTGTATATTAGAAAAAAAAAGAAAGTTCCATATTATTAGAAAATCTTTATTGTAATTTCATTTAATTAATTATCATTATGTCCACAAATTCACGTTCAGTTTCATTATCAACTTCAGTTGATGATACTCCATTGGCCAAGTTTTCAGGTTCAAAATCAGGTTTAAGATCTGCATCTATAAGTTCTAGTTTCTTCCACAGAGACGCTATCTTTGGTGATGTCGCAAATACTTCAACTTCAAGTGATGACGCTATCAATACCTCTGCTACAATTAGAGCTACTACAACTACAAACCAACAAGAAGAAGATCCAGTTGAAACAACTTCCACTCCAGTTCTTGCATCTACTGCAGAAATTGATATAGTTGGCGCTATTGGAAATCTTGATTTAGATGATGATTTCCGTTTACCTGAAGATCCATCAAAATCTTCTACACCATTTCAACAACAATCACAAGCACAAGCACAAAATCAACAACCATTTTTTGGTCTGTTTTATTATCCTCAACAAGGTTCATTAACTCCACAACCTTCATTGGCTATGAATAAAGCACCAGGAACATTAGCTTCAAACATTACCCCATCGACAAATACTTGGAATAGTAATATTGTCCCAAGTTCTGCTCCTCCATTGGCTTATGGTAAAGAAAATGAATTACCTATGTTTGTTAAACCATTTGAATTACCTGAAACCAAAGAAGATGCCAAGAATAAACAAAGTAGTGGATTGAAATTACCTTTTGGTACCTCTACATCAGGTAGTGGAACCAATACTAGTACCACCACTTTAGATAACATGTTGGATGGGAAATTTTCAATCCCACCAACTTCAACATCCCCACCAAATGATAAGGATGGTTCAGAACCCAACAACATTGTTCAAGACAAGAATTTAGTCTCTGGATTTATTCCTCAAGGTTTCAATGCTCCAATTCCAATGCCACCACCACCATTACATGGCCCAATTCCAGAACATTTCCACGCTGGTCCACATCCACACCCACCACATCTTGGACCATTCCCACCACCACCAGTTTACCCTCCATCAGTTCATACTCCTGATTTCCAACAATTTGATTCGGTTGGTATGCCCCAATTATCCAATATGATGCCAGGACCAGGTCCACTTCATCCACCACCACCACATGGTCATCCTCATGGACCTCCTCCACCTAATGGATCCAATGTATGGAATCCACAAATTATGACGCCACCACCTATGCCAGGCACGATGAGAAATAATTTCATGGACAATAGAATCATGCCCCAACATATGATGATGAATAATAATGGAGGAATGAATGGTGGTCGTTTTGGAAATGGTGGAAATGGGAACAACAATCGCGGTCATCATCACCATCATCATCGTAATAATGGAAATGGATTCATGCATGATAATAATAATGGTATGAATATTCATCGTAAGATGCATAATAATAATAATGGAGGACCAGGTGGAAAACCACGTAGAGGAGATGATGCTGCCAAATATGCCAATGCCAAATTGGAAGATTTTACTGGAGAGATTTATAGTCTTTGTAAAGATCAACATGGCTGTCGATTCTTACAACGTCAATTAGATTTAAGTCAACAAGAAGGAGCAGGAAAGGATGACAATACTGTTGGTGGAAGTAATGAAATTGCTGCCACTTTGATATTTAATGAGATTTATTTCAAGATTGTTGAATTGATGACTGATCCATTTGGGAATTATTTAATTCAGAAATTATTTGAAAATGTTACCAATGATCAACGCACTATATTAGTCAAGAATGCTGCTCCTGAATTCATTAGAATTGCTTTAGATCCTCATGGAACTCGTGCATTACAAAAATTAGTTGAATGTATTTCCACCCCTGAGGAATCGAAATTGATTATTGATTCATTATCACCTCATATTGTTTCCTTATCTCGTGATTTGAATGGGAATCATGTTGTTCAGAAATGTTTACAGAAATTAAAACCGGAAGAAAATCAATTTATTTTCGATGCTGCTGCTTTGAATTGTAATGAAATTGCCACGCATAGACATGGATGTTGTGTATTACAAAGATGTTTAGATCATGGTAGTTTACCCCAGAGGAGACAATTGAGTTTGAAGGTGGCTGAGAATGCGACAAATCTTTCCCTTGATCCGTTTGGGAATTATGTTGTTCAATATGTCTTAAGTCGTGGTGATGAACAAAGTATTCAAATTATTTTGAATCATATTAAGAGTAATATCATTAGTTTATCATTACATAAATTTGGATCAAATGTTATTGAAAAATCATTAAGAATTAATAAATTAACTGATGAATTGATTGATGTCTTATTGGCAAATTCGGAAAGATTTGATATTTTATTAAATGATGCATTTGGGAATTATGTCTTGCAAACTAGTTTAGATGTTGCTAATCCAAAAGATTTATCTAGGTTGTCACAAGCTTTGATGCCATTGTTACCAAATATTAAGAATACTCCTCATGGTAGAAGAATCATGAGTAAGATTCAGACAATTGCTTGAGATTTGTTGTTGTTGGTTTCATTTGAAAAGACTATATATTATTATTAATTACTATATAAATAACTATGTAAATTTTGTACTTTAGAATTATGTATATTAAAAAAAAAAGAGAATAGAAGTTTTATTTGTTTTAATGATCTCAGCATTTGGCTGCAAATTGCAATGTCATTTGTAAATAAATGTTTATAATTTCTATTAAGAAAATAAGCATTCTCAACGTCATTTGCAACTGTCTTCTGCTGTCGGGTTTTGACTTCTCCTAGTATGAAGGGAAAATATGCAAGTATTTAAAACTATAGATAAAAAAATCCTGTCCAATCAAGTTACAATGTTGGTAGGACAGTAAATCCCTTTAAAGACATGGTAAGACGCAGTACCACCCCTGTTAAATATATTATTCGGCACTACTTTACAACAACAAACTACCAATTCGGAATGAAAGTTTAATATTGCGCCTTCCAAGTTGCCTATTCGGCCTTTGTGATCTCTTATACAAAATACGAGTCGTTGTTTAGTTCAACTCTTACCGAGAGCCTAAATCTGGTCTCAGTCTCCAATAGGAAATCGAGAAGATCTTTGCGTATTCCACAAACTCTATTTCCAGAAATCGAAAACATGGCTTGGCATATTTATGCATCGAACAAAATAAGCAACACTGCTTACGAACTTGGGGAAATATGAATTAGAATTCCGATATTAGGATTGACTCATAACGAAAATATACTTCTTGGTTAGCTCCTCCGACTATCCTATTTCTAGTCAAATCCCGTTGACCCAATCATAGGTTAAGGGGAATAATAAGAGAAAATGGTTGACAAAATTGAAAAATATGGTTAATTAATTAGTTTTCATTTTTAGAAATCGTGCATGCTGACGTGTTTCATCTATTTTTGAATAACCTTGGATGTACTCTTACATTGGAAAGGAAAATGTTACCCTACACAGACGCGTCCGAGGTGGAAGATATCGTAGCGTATTCGTATGGATCATTACCATTATGTCTTATGGTTTGTGCTATCTTTTTACTAGGTGTATCTTGGTTGTCATAAGAATGTGCAATTACGTCATATGAAACAGGAGATTTTGATTTGATCTTGGGATGAAAAATTTTTAATTGTCAGTTTAATTAATATTTTTTTGTTCACAGCCTAGAATAAATTTTAAAGAACGTTTTTTTTTTTCTTTTTATAAAATTGCTTCCATGCATTACTGAATGATTTGAAACCCTTTTTCCATTACACACTTTACATTTATTTATATTTATAGAACCAACCACCACGATTACTCAGCCTTATTGTATATAAAAGCTATTGTATTTCTTAATATTTCATAGCTATATATATATATATATTTACTAACCAAAGTCCATAAACAACTCTTTTTCACTAGCCACAGGTGCATAGCCACATAGATTTTCTTGAGATTTTCCGGATCTTCCAAGACACTTTAATTACATAGATCTACCCATTCTTGCATATACATACACTCAAAATGAAAGCATCTTTGTTTTCATCTAACAGAACTATAAAGTATTTGGCAGTTATACTAACCATAATAGTCATCTACACATTAACTCATCATGTACCCCTGTATATCCCAGAATACGGCATGTCTGATCAAGAACAAGAAAAACCATCTCAACTCCAAGAACAAAAAGAACAAGAACTGCAAGAACAACAACAAAGTCTTATTCCACCTGGTAACCAATCCCCAACTGATGTTAGATTACAGTTACTTCCTGAAGATGTAAGAATGCAGCAAAAGGTAAAAGCAACGTTTGTTACCCTTGCCCGGAATAGTGAAGTCTTCGATTTGATAAAATCAATCAGAGAAGTTGAAGATAGATTCAATAAGAATTTTCATTATGATTGGATATTTTTCAATGACGTTCCATTTGATCAACAATTTATAGACTTAACAACTTCGATTTGTTCCGGAAAGACAAAATATGTGCTTATCCCAACTGAACATTGGTCATATCCTGATTGGGTTGATCTTGATAAAGCTGCAGCAGGAAGGAAAAATATGAAAGAAGCGAAGATTATTTATGGTGATAGTGAATCATATAGACATATGTGTAGATTTGAAAGTGGATTCTTTTGGCAGAATGAGGTTATGGATGATTATGATTGGTATTGGAGAGTTGAACCTGGGATTGAAATCTATTGTGATGTAAATTATGATGTTTTTAAATATATGGAAGATAATAATAAGGCTTATGGATTCACAATTTCAATTCATGAATATAGAAAAACAATTGAAAGTTTATGGGGTCATGTTAAAGATTTTATTAAAGCAAATCCTCAATATGTAGCAGAAGATAATTTTATGGATTTTATTAGTGATGATAAAGGTGAAACATACAATTTATGTCATTTTTGGTCAAATTTCGAAATTGGGTCACTTAATTTCTGGAGATCAGAAGCATACAGAAAATTCTTTGATTATTTAGATCGTACTGGAGGATTCTTTTATGAAAGATGGGGTGATGCACCAATTCATTCTATTGCTGCTTCATTGTTTTTGCCAAAGAGTAAAATTCATTATTTTGAAGATGTTGGTTATAAACATGGTCCATATACTCAATGTCCTTTAGATCCAGGTTATAGACGCGAAAGAAAATGTTCTTGTGATCCATCTAGGGATTTCACATTTAGAGGATATTCATGTGGGAAGAAATATTATGAAAAAATGGGATTGGAAAAACCACCACTTTGGGAAAAGTATACTTGATCCATGTAATAGTTAGCTTTATGTTCATATTTTGGTCATTTATAGTTTATAAACAATAAAGTAGTAGATAGTGTTTTCATTATGCAGCCGCATTAAGATGTTCAAGTGGTTGGATATATTGGAACGGGAGCGTACAATTTCCATTCCTACTATATCCACCAATTATCAAAAGAAATCTAGATATATCAGAAATTAGCGCTAGATTGTTTAAACAGTATGTGCGACCAATCTTTGTTGTTGCACAGCCTACATAAGCATCTTTGTTATATCTTTGCAATCTATACCTTATATGCAGTCCGTCCAAATTGCAACAAATTGCAGCCACTTTAATTAATTAATCTATAATTATATAATAAAAGAATGCTGATTCTTTTTTTTTTCAAAACACAGTATATATTGATTGAATGCAATATACTCAATTTAAAAACCTTTTACTCTTCCATGAATCAAAGGGAGAATAGAAAGCATTTATTTCCATTCATTGGGGTTTGACAAGACCGACAAGAAAATCTATAATTAGAGAGAAATTTTCCATGCAGGAGGGGGACGCGGGTATGCTCGTTATTTTTTAAGTTTCAAAATATATGAAAACAATAGCCGATATGTCTCACGATATTTACATCCCTTTTTCATAAACTATTTAGCAATGCCATCAATGCAAATCAAGAGAGCCTTTCTTGGCTTATTCTCTATTGGCATGATATACAATTACCAATCTCTTCATACATTGGACTGCAAACCCCCTTATCCAAAGGTTTGAAAAATCAGATTCCTATCATTCGTTTCGCTCAATAAAGTAATTCTAAAGCGAAAGCTATCTATAAAATATTTTGAAACAACGATAAACATTATATCTATTTCTAGGGTTATTATAATCGTCTCAGTTTATAGTTGGAAAATCTAAAAACCGTATATAATTCCCATTTTACCTTGTTATAAAATCAACTTCTAGATCTTTCTTTTTATTATCCGGTACAGCAACTATGGCGGCTGTGAGAAAAAGGTATTACGTTTATCTCTCACTATTCATAAATTCATAATAGGTATAATCCTATATATCCACAATATCTCCCAATCGAGGGTTTCGCTTGAAATTAACGTCGTCGAAGATGGAGTTGTACCAGCAGTAACAGATAATAGTCGTTCAAAACCCAAGGCAGCAATTATGGCCCTATGTCGAAACAGAGAATTAAAAGATATGGCCAAAACTATGCAACAACTTGAAGAGAGATTTAATAAGAAATACAACTATGATTGGGTCTTTCTCAACAATGAAGAATTCTCCCCAGATTTCATTAATACAACGAGTTCAATTGCTTCTGGGAAGGTTAAATATGCGCTCATTCCAATGCAATTCTGGTCATATCCCTGGTGGATTGATCAGGATAAAGCAACCAAGACGCGAGAAGAAATGAAGGCACAGAAGATTATTTATGGTGGTAGTGAATCTTATAGACATATGCGTAGATTCAAAAGTGGATTTTTCTTTGAGATGGAGGAAATGCAGGAATATGATTGGTATATGTTAGTAGAACCCCTGGTGGAATTTTATTGTGATGTAGAGTATGATGTTTTTCAATATATGGAAGATAACAATAAGATATTTGGATTTGCGATATTGATGGGCGAGAAAATGAAGACAATAAAGACGTTTTGGAAATCAACAAAAGAATTTTTGGAGCAACATCCGGAATACATTGCTGAGAATAATTTTGCCGACTTTTTGACTAGCGATAATGGAGAAACTTATAATGGGAATCATTATTGGTCAAATTTTGAAATTGGAAGTTTGAAATTCTTTAGATCAGATGCATATAGAGACTATTTTAAACATATGGATCTAGCAGGTGGATTCTTTTATGAACGATGGGGTGATGGGCCCCTTCATGCGGTTGCAGCATCTACTTTTATCCCTAAGGATCAACTTCATTTTTTTGATGATATAGGTTATGGACACGGGATTCTTCGAACGTGTCCATTGGATGAAGAATATAGGAGTAAACATAACTGTGCTTGTAGCCCGGGAAAAGATTTTAGGTATAAGCCAGGAAAGGTTGGGGAGATGTCAAAGAAATATTATGATTTGATGGTACTTCCCAAACCAAAAGAGTATCCTAATTTTGGAGCAGGTTATTTTGATGACAAAAAGGAGACAACAACTCCGAATGAAACGTAATCCAAGACTCCATAAGTTTATATGCAGTTTATAATGAGTTGTTAAATCTATGCTAGTGCTTGAAGGAAACCTCCATTACTTTAAAGAGGCAACTGGGCTGGTAGCGCACGGCATTTGCCCTACTGTCCCCCAACTCGTTGTAGGCTCTCTAGTTTATGACAAGAGTGTTGGTTGTTGCATTCGTTTTGTTACAAATACGCATACTTGATGTAGTTGTTTTTGGAGAGTGTACTGGCTTAAGGTGCTAATACTTCGAGTGGTAGCGGGCGTTGTATATTTTCCTTAATTTAAATGTAATTATGGCCATTTCTGAAGTGAACTATGTACTTATATGCATAATATTTTGTCTCTGTTTGGTCAGTCTATCTATGGTGACATCAACTTTTTTGGAAATATAGCAAAGAAATATTATGATTTGATGGACATACCCAAACCAAATGAATATCCTGGTTTTGGAAAAGGGTTCCCTACTGAAAAGAAAGTGGCTACTGTTAATAAAACTTAGGCTTTGTAGGTGTATATATAAATATAAACAACGTTTCGAATTATAATTGTCTCTACTATTGGTCATGAGATGAGCTCCGAAGAACTCCGAAGGAGATGAGATGACATATTGTTCTCCTATGTGACCTGCAACGACCAAGAAATTTTTCATTCTTTGCGATATATCCTTGGCAACGCCCCTTTGATGTCCAAAAGAGGCAAGTGTTATTCAACGCGTGTCCATGATCAAGTGGAGATATGGGACCAGGGAATCCAGTATATGTTATGAGCACGTATAGTCATCAGTGCCTTTGGATGTATGGTTCGATAATGAGGAGTCGTTCTAGAACTTTGATAACGTGTCAAGTATTAACGGTGTGCGTTGGATCAAAAGTCTCACTTCTTGTATTGTTTTTTCAGATTCATAGATTAATTTGCAGCCGTGTTTATCATCAAATACAGTTGAAGTTTAAACATTAAATTATGAATATGATGGATTTAACAGATCCCTTGAGATTGTTGTAAAGTGCGCATAGATACCATGTCCTCAGGGAACAAGGGAATAAAACCATGCTAAATTATTAATATTCGGATAACCTTATTTAATGACTATTGGCAATTGCCAGCCAATCAAAAAGTTGGTTTGCTTTCATCGGGGCTACATGGTCGTATTTGACCGTACTATTATTATTTTTTGATTAGTTCATTGAGGCTGGTTAGTTCAGCTGACTAGTGGGGCGGGAGAGTATTATTTTTTAATCCTTTCCGGAATAATAAAATAATTTATTATTATGTCATGATAATTATTATTATGAATCATCCCCTAATCAAATTACCACAATTATTAAATATACGATTATGACACATCATCATTCATACATGACAAGTATCATGATCATCAATATACAAACCACATCTCATGAACCAAGGTGGTAAAAGCAGACAAGAAAAAAAAGAAATAAAGTCACAGTGAACCCAACCTCCGGAACTACCCACATTTTTTTTCATACAAGTTTGTTACATTAAGGCAATTGATTGGAAATTGCAACCCTATTTTTAAATTAGACAAGACAGAGAAAGAGGACACCTGAAGGTTTTTTGAATCAGAAATGAAATCATAAAGGGAAATGATATTTCTAATAATAAAATCTGGAGTAATCCATTTATAAAAAAAAAGTACACGACTTACATTTTAACTATTTTTAAATTTCCTATAAATTGTTACACGTAATTCTAATTTTTTTTTTTTTGCTTCTCTTAAATTTCATCTTTTCATTTTCTTAACCCTTCTTTTATATACAAGTAAAAGAAGTCTTTACAATTTAAGGTTGATAATTATTATTATTATATTGTCATTGACAACATTTAATACATTATGATGCCATCTAAGCGATCAAACGCCCGTCTCATTAGATTTGGGATATTTGCCCTTATTTTAATTGCTTGTGGATATATTCTTACTCGTGGATCTTCATTTGAACCCCCTCCAGCCCCACCAGCATCACCAAAGAAAGATACAGCAGTAGGAGGTATAGTATCACCAGGCAAGGTTGCTATTTCTGGTGATAGTAGTGATCCAAGTGTCCAAAAATATAGAGGTCCAACTCCTAAGATTCTTAATCAAGATGGTCAAAAAATTCCAGTTCCACAAATTGATATTGAAAATTATAGTCTTGATCAAAAAATTAAAGCTACTTTTGTTACTTTGGCTCGTAATTCCGATTTATATCAATTGGTTGATTCTATTAGACAAATTGAAGATAGATTTAATCATAAATTTCATTATGATTGGGTTTTTCTTAATGAGGAAGAATTTAGTGATGAATTTAAAGAAGTTACTAGTGCTGCAGTTTCTGGTAAGACTAAATATGGATTCATTCCAAAAGCTCATTGGTCATATCCTGATTGGATTGATCAAGAAAAGGCTGCTTTAGTACGTGAAGATATGAGAGAAAGAAAGATTATTTATGGTCATTCTGAATCTTATAGACATATGTGTAGATTTGAATCAGGATTCTTTTGGAGACAAGAAATATTACAAGAATATGAATATTATTGGAGAGTTGAACCTGATATTAAGATTTATTGTGATATTGATTATGATATTTTTAAATGGATGAAGGATAATAAAAAAGAATATGCTTTTACAATTACATTACCTGAATATAAAGAAACTATTCCAACATTATGGAATACCGTTAAAGAGTTTATTGATAAAAATCCTCAATATTTAGCTGAAAATAATTTATTAGAATGGATTTCTAATGATAAAGGTAAAACTTATAATGGATGTCATTTTTGGTCAAATTTTGAAATTGCTTCACTTGATTTTTGGAGATCAGAAGCTTATACTAAATATTTTGAACATTTAGATAAAGCAGGTGGATTTTTCTATGAAAGATGGGGTGATGCACCAGTTCATTCAATTGCTGCTGCATTATTCTTACCTAGAGAAAAGCTTCATTTCTTTGAAGATGTTGGATATTATCATGTTCCATTCCATAATTGTCCAGTTGATAAGGATATTAGATTTGCTCGTAATTGTAATTGTAATCCTGATCAAGATTTTAGTTGGAGAGGTTATTCATGTACAGGGAAATATCATAAGCTTAACAATTTCCAAAGACAAAAAGGTTGGGAAAAATACAGTGGTTAAAAAGACTAATTAATCAACTTGTTTTCAAACCCATTATTTCTTATATAAGCTAAAAAAGACATATCCTTCCTTCCAAGGAAAATAAATTGAGCATCAAATGGCAATGAAGATGTTTGTTTATTATGCATCCTTCTGCAGTTGTATGTTTTTATTTTTGATAGATTTTTTAGTGTTGTCTCTGTGTTGTAGTATTATATTATAAAATAAATAAATAAATATATTTTTAAGCGTTGAAAGGAGTTAACAACTACTGTATGTTTCAGAATTATGAAGCATACATAAATAAGAATAAAAATGTGATGTTACATTTACCACTCGTACAACGGCTCCCCTTGAAAATTTTCAACGGTTGTACGAAGCTCGTACTAAATGCTCTAACTGAATAATTTCCTAGTCTTTTGTTTGACTGCTATGTACTTCTAAGATTACGAATAATTATTAGTACTGGAAAACAGGCGGGGGGAGGGGGAACATTAAGGTTAAGCTCATCTAAGTGGTGTCCGTTGTCTTGTTAAAAGTACATGTACACCGAGTAATTCACTGTACGGAAGTATCATGTGATTGTGAGTGGGTGGGTAAACCATATTCTTATTCTTCATACATAATCTTACAGTGTTTGAATAAAGCCTTTAGACGGAAACAAAAAAAAATATTTAATTAAAAGTTTAAAAATTAAATTTTGTTTCATAATTGATTCATTCCACACGAAACTAATTAACCATTTCTATTGTTTACTACTATTGTTAATTGTACTTCCCTAAGTAATTTAACTGGCATTGTGTGTTCTGTTCTATTTTTAAACCTCTTCAAATGTTTTTCCACTCTTCAAATTCTATTTTGAAATCTCATATTTATTTATACATCCATCTATCTATCTCTCTTCTTTACTTACTTGTACTTATGTATAGTGTATTATAATTAATCAATCAATCAATCTTGTTAAATATTTTCCAGCCTCAATTTTAAAGCGAAAAAAATAATAAACAAAAAAAAAAAACTTTAAAAAAATAACAAACCATAAAATACCATTTTTACATTTTCGAAACTTATAGACTAAGAATACCAATCCAATCCATCCTATCACATTAATCAATCAATTCTCAAATGTCTAATCTTCAGGTAGAATCAACTAACAACACAGGGCCTCCATCTACTGATAATCAAGAGGAGTCATCAACAACTATTACATCCACAACAGCACCACCACCAGCATCTGCATCTGCAGCACCAGCAGATCAGACCATTTTATCAACCAACAATACGAATTCCTCACTAAGATCAAAAAGACCAGCTTCTTTAAACTTATCCAAAACAAAACATTCAGATGTTGCTTTAAGAATCGTAAGTCCTGGACTACCTGAGCTTAATCATGAAATGAAAACTACTTTGAAAATACTGCAAAAGATTCAAAAACGACAACTTGATATTATCGCTTCTAGATCTCAAAATAGTCCAAAATCCGCTAATACAGATGAAGAAGAACCCGAACATGATGAAGATGAAGTATATGACGACAATGACAACGAAAATGATAATACTGGTACATCATATGGATCTGATGATAGTTTAACAATATTATCGAAACGTAAGAATAAACGTCTAAAGAGAAATAATGTTCCTACTCCATTACGTATTGGACAAAATTCAATTCGATCAGGTATTCAATCAGCTCCAATGAGACCAAATGGGATATATAACAGAAGACTCATGACTCAAGCTCCACCACCACCTCAGGTATATCCTCAACCAATTGCTCTACAACCACAACCTCTTGCAACTCCTTATTATTACGTGGGCGGACCACAACAACAATATTATGCTGCTCCAATGCCTAGAATGCAATATGGGTTACCTAATGCTCAGATTACGTATAGTACACTCAGACCAATCCAATCTCAACAACAACAACAACAACAACAATTCCTCCACCCACAACAGCAACAACCACCACAACCCCAATCCGCTAGAATAAGAGTTCCCGGTCCTGGTCCTGGACAATTCCCCGTTCCAGCCGTCCCAATCAACAGACAACAACAACAGCAACCCCACCCAGAACCAAGAACAATCTCGAACCCACAGGTGACAGACGTATATTTCGATGATTCACTCAAAGCCGCCCCCTTCGAATCACAACCGATTTCCGCCCAACGTGACCTATTTGGCCATAATACCACCACGGCAGCAAAAGATGATAGATTGCCAGTCACGGAAGAAGAAGTGAATGAAATGCGGGCAAAGCAAACACAACTGAGTCATAATAAACCAGTGGCACAATATGTGACTGCTCCACCGGGGATGGCACAACATGTTAGAAGTAATGGGAGTGGAAATGGACAGAGACCGATTGTGGGGGAGATATTTGGGAGTGTTAATTTGATGAATGAGAGTATTTTCAATTTCAGGATTTTTGAGAAGAAATTATCTGCGGATGAGGACGAAGTAGAAGGGGTGGGAGAAGAGGGGGTTGAAGACGTTGAGGCTGTACGAGGGGATGAAGATGAAGAGATGGAGGATGGACATGAGAAATCGGCGGATGAGGCTGGAGATGTTAGTGAGGGATTGAATAAGGACAATGAGGATGTTGTAATTGAGACTCCACAGGAAGAGGAATCAAGAGATGAAGAACAGCAAGCGGAGGAGGGTGAGGAAGAAAAAGAAACAGCAGGACCAGGTGAACCAAAGAATGATAATTCATGGTTGAAAGATGAAAAAGAAAAATTTATGAAGATTTGTGAGACTTGTTGGGATGAATTCATTAAATCTAGATGTGTATAATAGTATGACTTCTTTTTAGAATAAAAAAAATTTGTTAACCTCTGATTTGTTTAGAAGATAGTTTTTATGTAATAATAATAATAGTACTAATATTTTTGTTTATTTTTGTTGTTTGTTGTTCGTTGTTTCTGTAATATTTTGCAACTTTTTTTTGGAGAAAATACATATTCTAGCTTATGAGATTCGATGTCAAATCAGAATATCACGCCTATCTTGATACTGAGGATGACGTTTACAGAATTTCAATATTTGCCGAACCAGAACTCATCAAGGAGTTCAACTACGTCAATTCAATCGAGACAAGCGTTTCATAAGTCATTCCGAACAATATGAAAAAATTAGATTACCTTCTATTAAGTCCTCTCCAAAACACTCCCTCCACCAAAAATTCAGAAAAAGCGTCGCAAATGTCAAAATCACACAAAACCACAATCTTCACAGGCTATAAATAATCGATCCGACCTATATTGTAAAGGTATATATGCATGGTCTAAACTAATCTACAACCATTTGCATAAAATAATAAAAATATCCTTATTCAAAAAAATTGCGCTTTTTGCAGATGTTGATTTGTGGTTGCAAAAAAAAAATGTCGTCAAATAACACCTCTCATATCTGAATATATCCCAAGTTTAGTTTGAAATCGGATAGTGTTTATCCACTACGGAGGTCTGGATAAAGATAAAAGTAGAGAATTGGCTTTGGAGTCTGGGTCTGAGTTTGGGAAATGGAACTTGTCTCAAACAATTCTCAGGATTTAGAGATCCTTGAAATAACTATGATTAGATATATCACTCCTTTTTTATATTTTTAGGAAATTCTTATAAATCGTTCAGTTTCTGAAACTGATCATATTTCGATATCTTAGACTAGTGCCCAAAGACTATAAAAATGAATCAGGAATGGATTGGACGTTTTTGCATAGAATTCTAATGTTCCAGACCTATTGATAGTGATCTGGTAAGTTATTCAAATATTAAAATCTGGAAATATGAATATATCAATGTAAAACAAACACACATTGGTTCATAAGAAAGCAATGCTGTTAGTTTCGTTATACTTAATTAGATATTTCTATTGCTATTGCGGGCTGGATTTGTGAATATTGCTTTGGATCTAGAATAAAGTTATCCTACTAATTAGTACTATAGAGGTTTATCTACCAGATTCCTTACAGATACAATCAGATCTTCTAGGAAACTCTTTCCCCAATTGTATTTCACGTCAAGATACATTAGAGACATATATATACATAATAGTTTCAAAAACAGTGATATTTCTTTTCTAGCTTTTTCCTTAAATTGCATAAATTTTATTATTGCTGTTTTAAAAATTTCCTTAAATCTAAATATTAATGCGATTGCAAAAAATTTGTTAATCTATATTAAGATCCTCGCCCCTCTCTCCCTGGTTCTCCCTCATTCAAATTAATCCAAGGATATGATTTTATGAGATTTACAGATATGATTGGATTTCATAACGATATAAATAGCCACCATGAGAGAGCCGAAGATAATAGCGGGGGAGGAGGAGTAACTAGCAATGAAAATGACCAATCTGGAATTATGATTGCTACGCCAACAACCACAACTGCAACAAATTCGCAACCATTATTACAATATAATAATATCAATTCCGAAAAAACATTTCATCAACTAGATCAACCTGGTCACCTCTACAATCATCATCACGCGTACCACCCATATGTCTATCCGACCCGACCGCTTGTCGAAACAATGACACAATCTCATAGTATGCCGAATTTATCCACCCGACAACAACGAAACAATTTTCAATACATTCGCCATAATCTGGCCACCGGCGGACAATTTGCAGTCAATCTTCGCTTCGCTAATGACCTAAACACCATGACCCAGAATTGGACCCTTGCCGAACATGAATCCCGAAGAAGATTGGTTCGGTTTGAATTTGAACAAAATCAACAAGATGGAATGAAGACGATTTATTTCGAACCCATTACTCCGGACCAAGTGGAGCTGTCGAAGCCGATTATAAGTTGTATTCTCTGGCAGGAGAGAAATCGATATATCGCGACACTGGTGGATATTATATTGATATTGGAATATTTGGTGGCTCAGAGTTTTGGAATTGAGGAGAAGAATAGGATAAGGAGGAATTTACAGAGTTTGAAACCTATAACTGTGAGTAGATCGAATGTATGTGATTGTGATTTTTTTAATTTGATTATGAGTATGGAGAATCCGAGACCACGGAATATTGAAAAGGATTTGAAGGTTTTTAATTGGGGGGATTTGGGAAAGGCGATTGCGAAGGTTATGTCGAAGTATTCGGTGATTTTTAATCATCCGCCACCAAACACGTCGTCGTTGTCATCCAACCAGAAGCAGAATTGGGAGAACTCAGGTGGTGGTGTTGGTGAACCATTTCATCAATCGGGGAATATTCCGGTAAGGGGTATACAATCCCGACTGAATATATTATATTCAACCCATAATATAAATGAACCACGCGGGGTTAATGTCCAATTCATAAACCCCTTCGCACCCACCGCCACTACCACCAGTTCCTCCTCCATGATTGGATCTACCAGTATGGAACACTCAAGAAGTTCAAGCAGTATCCTAAACATGCCCACTTCAATTGATAATAGTTCTCCAATCAAGATGTTAGAACGGGCGAATTCATTTCCTGATTCATCATCATCGATATCAATCCCGGCAATGTCGAATTATACCCCAATACGATTTCCACGGGGTGATTATCACCAGAATCAGAGGACGTATTATAAAATCGTGAGTTGTTTTAATAATACTCAAGAGAATCAGAAGGAGAATCAATCAGAGGAAGAAGTGGTGGAGACGGTTAAGGAAAAACTTCCATCGATTTCACAAATCCTAAAACCAGAATATCAAATCCCGGGGATTTGTTTATTACCTCCCATAGATGGAAAAGACAAATTACCATCAATACGAAAAATCGAACGTTGGAGTTCTCTATAGGGTATTATATATACATATGAAAAAATGAATAATAAAAATATATTTATGGTGTGTGTGTTGTATATATACATGTATGTAATGTATAGGGAGGTTACTTTTTTGAAGACGATTCTATTTGTTTTACCAGTTCTGAAAAATCGGGTGTACTTTTGAATACTGCTCCCTTTCCTGGTTTGATTGTTACGTAATTTAAATAATCTGAACTTGTTTTGTCAACGGGCTGTGATTCTGCTGTTGGTTGAGGTTGGAGAAATTCACCAGGAGGTGGAGCGGTGGACTTGGCGGATCTATTGTATAATCTCTGACGGGATGGACCAGTGATCGTGTTTGATTGGAGAAGGATGTTCCTGGGCCCGATGATTTTTATGAATTCTTGATTTCCAACTAGGATATTATAAGTTTTTGATTTACCCCAATTGGTATAATTTGCAATTGTTCCAAAGAAATTTGAAATATATTTCTGGATATGATATAATTGATTGGAAATCTTTCCCCATTGAGTGGATGATGATGTTGATTTTACTGGTGCGGGAGTTTCTACCTCTTCTATGACCTGCTCATCCACAGGGAATGAATATTTAACTATACAATTTTGTAAATCATTTGATCCATTCACAGTAATAGCCAATAAATTCTTTTTATTAATCAAAATTTCTTCCCCATCATCTAGATTAATATTATATACCGATCCATTCCCCACTAATCCAACTTGTCCTCTTCCATTAATCAAACAATATCCTAATTGTTTCCAAGAATTCAATCCTGTTGGAGTTCGACCTGATATATTCAATTTTTGAGATAATTTCCGTGATATTGTTCTAGGTAATGGGTGCATATCAAGATTTAGTGAGTTCCCAGTATATATCTGAATAGCAGATCTATTCAACACGGCCCAATCATTAGTTCCGTCCAATGATAAACAAACAAATGATTTTTGACCCGAGCCACTAGAACCAGAAGTCCTTGATATTGAAGTTACTAATATTGAAAATGGAGTAGTTGAAATTAATTTTTGATAAGAAGATACAAATCCTCCATATATTAATTTTTTAAACCATTTTGGGAATTCTAAAGTGGATCTAACTGATGAAATCAGGGATATTTCTTGTAATCCATATATTGACAATAATGATCCACGACGGACATAGATTGGAACTGAAGGTGGCGAGTTTATCGAAAGGATTGTTTGGGGGTTGCCTAATGCTTTGAATTCTGCAGTTTCTAATGTACGATATCCTACTAATTCTTCAACATCTTGGATATTTGTTGATTCGGTGGTTGTTTTGGTGGATTCAGTGGATGAGGTTGATGATTGGGAGATTGTGATTGTTCTTCTCAAGGTCAATTGAGTGAGGAACAGGGATATACTTGAAACTCGAGGTTTCAAGGTGGTTATCATAGTAATATGAGAGGGAGTGGTAGGTGGTTGCTTTCTGGAATATTGTAATTTGTCAGATTGTTTGGAGAATAAGGTTTTTTTTATTTTTCAATAATTAGTAAACAATTTCCATTGGCTAACAGGAAAAAAAAAAGACCAAAGAAAGAAGAGTTTACTAGAAGAAGAGAAGAAGAAAGAAGCAGCCATGATGTTTCTGATGATAAATGAATAAAAGATAATAATGTACTTCATAACTTTATAGAGTGAATATTAGCTACCAAAATACAATTGGAGAACTAAAGAGAACAATTTAATAATTTTATTTTATACCTAAGCTTCATTTTTCCCATTGAACGTAAAGACATTTGCAATTAAGATCACAACTATTTCTATATATATATATATATATATGTATAGGGTAAGGTATTGTAGATTTATCTTAGACTGTTATACATATATTCATCTATGTATATATCTCTCTATCTCTTTTGTAAGTTATGACCATAGACACTTAATAATAATATTTCCCGAGAATGAGTCTCTTAAATGAACTCCCACCCAAGTAATTCCAATTTCTAATGATAAGTTCTGATTCAATTACTTCTGTTGTCCAATATTCAAAAAACAATCAACTATCTATATGAAGTTCAAGCTTGAGGTTAGTTAATCATTTCTTTAGAAGTTATAATTACTACTAACTAAACACGGTCTGCTCCAAGAATATTGGGAGTCGAGTCAACATTCATAACATTTTCACCACTATCTTTAATTGCTTGTATTAGCCACATATCAATCGATATATGGCTGATACAAGAAATTATAAATAGTACTGTAAATGTTATATAATATTGCCTCGACTTCTTGGAGCCTACCAATAATGTGGTTAGTTGGTAGTAATTAAAACTTCTTTTTAATGTATATGATATGATCTGTTAGTTATCTCTAAAATCACATGACAATAAATAATAATCTAGTATGGGTGTAAAAGATTTGTATTTTTGTTGCACACAGTACATTTATTAAATAACACCACCCCCTTACATTTTGATGTGACATTAATACTTACTATTTATTACTTATTGTTACTAATTAATTATTAAGAGTAATATAGTAAGTATATATCATATATACTTCTAGTTTATAGATTAACAGTAGCCAAGAACAAGTAGAAGAAGAAGAAGAACAGGTAAGCACTGCGGACATAATTGTAACTTTTGTGATTTATTTTATTTCGTAAATTTCAAGTTTTTCGTCAAGTTACACATTACTATTTTATTGTTCTATAACTTACACAAAGAAAATTCAGAACAAAGAAGAGGATTTCATCTGTATTTCCATTTCAATTCAATTCACTCTCTTTTGATTTCATCATCCATCCTAACATTGATTATTACTATTAACTATCTACTATCTACTGCTGGTCCATATAGTAAATCACATCATTACATTATCAACCAACCAACCAACAGACAATATTAATATTAGTAAAACATTCAACCATTTTATTTTTACAACATCCTTCTTTTTTTTTTACAACCTTCCCATTTTTTGTTAAATTTATAAATTCATTAATTGTATGGAAGTTATAAACATAAACAATTACTAGTAACATATAGACATACACACACATTCATACACTTAAATGATAGTACTATCATCAGCTACTCCCACTACAAAAACTACCATATCACCACAATCACATCATATTCCAAATGAACAAGAACAACAAACATCATCCATATTAAGAAATAATAATAATACCACAAATAGTAACAACAACAATCAAAGGATATCCTTTGATAATGATAACAACAACAACAGGAATAAACTCTCAACATCATTATCTTCATATGGCTCAGCTGATAGTCAACCAACAACTATCATACAATTAACAACAACTAATTTAATACAAAATGTACCTAATGACACAGCCGCCGATGTTGAACCTTCAACACCAACTTCAATAAAAGGATCACGATCAGAAACTTCAGAAGTATCTCATGAAACTGCACCTTCCTCAATAGAGAATAATCATATAGAAGTAAATGATACACTTTTTAAAGCACCCACTACTATTCGTACTTCAATAGAAATTGATCCTTTAGATGGCAATCACAGTCCAACTCCAAGTTCACAATCAACTATAAAGAATACTCCAATTAGTGCAAATAAACCTACATCAACCGCGATTGCACATTCTACATCATTACCCGCAACCACAAATATAAGGCGACACACAACTTCATCTATTGGTATCACCAGAGCACATTCATTACATACAAAGGTAATAACAACTCATAATAAAATAATTGAAATTCCAACTTCTACTACAACCACCACCACCACCAACACCGCCACCGCCACCACTACCGCCGCACGCATTCATCCAAATAGAACAGAATCAGCCATTGCATTATCAAGACATTCAATAGCTTTTGAAAGACCACTTTCAAGAAGTACATTTCCTGCATTCACTTCACATCAAGAATTACCAATATCGACCAAGAATGATTTACAAAAAATTAGAGATTCAATCTTAATGAAACGTAATTTAAATAAGAAAAAATTAATGGAAGATGATAATCGAGTTTTAATGGGTAATAAAATTAGTGAAGGACATGAAAATTTCGTTATGGCTTATAATATGTTAACTGGTATTAGAGTTGCTGTATCACGATGTTCAGGAGTTCGGAAAAAATTAATTGATCAAGATTTTAAATCAACTAAAAAATTATCATTTAATATGGATGGAAGTGAATTAACTCCAAGTTCAAAATATGATTTTAAATTCAAAGATTATTGTCCCGAAGTATTCCGAGAATTACGATTATTATTTGGAATTGATCCAGCTGATTATTTAGTCAGTATTACGGGGAAATATATCTTATCTGAATTAGGATCCCCGGGGAAATCAGGTTCATTCTTTTATTATTCCCGAGATTATCGATTCATTATCAAAACCATTCGACATTCCGAACATCGACAACTCCGATCTATTCTCAAAAACTACCATCAACATGTTAAAGACAACCCAAACACCCTAATCTCCCAATTCTACGGGCTTCATAGAGTCAAAATGCCAATCAGGGGCAAAGGAACACGAAAAGTCCATTTCGTAGTCATGAACAACCTATTCCCACCCCATCGTGACATCCACCTCAAATATGACCTAAAAGGATCCACTTGGGGTCGAATCACCAAACTCGACCCTAATTCCCCTCCGGAAGAAATCTCAAAACATACCCTAAAAGATCTCAATTTCTTACAATCCCACCAAAAAATCCAATTCGGCCCCGCTAAGAGATCACAATTCTTCAAACAATTAGAATCAGATGTCAAATTCCTCGAATCTATAAAAGTCATGGATTATTCCCTCTTGCTTGGGATTCATGATGTCAAAAAGGGGAATACGACATATAACCAAACTGGCCTTTCCGTATTCGAGCCCCCACTGTCTGATAAACGGGCCCTCATAGCTACAAACCCTCGTGATCTCAAGTATCAGGATTTACCCAATGATGTATTCCCCGGCCGATCGAAATATGTCTTTTATGGCCATGATGGGGGGATAAGGGCCACCAATGAGGATGATAATTCTCCATTGGGGCAGATTTATTATTTGGGGATTATTGATTGTTTGACGGGATATGGACCCAAGAAGAGGTTGGAGACGTTTTTTAGGGGGTTGGGTGGCAGGAATAAACGGGAGGTTATTAGTGCGGTGCCGCCACGGGAATATGGGGAGAGGTTTTTGAGGTTTATTAAAGAAGGAACGAGTGGTGGGAGAAGAGGAGGTGATAAGGCCAAGAAGAGGGATTAGAGAGAGTTGGAACGAAACTTGCAGATGGAATTATGTGATTGTCTTGTTGTTGTTAACTAATGAGATGGTTATGGTGTTGCTATGTGATTGACATTGTTGATATATTAGAACTAATGTAGAAATGGCAATATGTGGAGTTGGGTTGGCTTTTTTTGGTTTATTTATTTTACGTGGTTTGCTGAAAAATTGTCTTTACTGGTTTAAAGGAAATAAATAAATAGAATATTTTCTAGAAAGAGATTTGATAATTTTATAATACTTACTTTATTAATAATATGCATTTACTTATTTACTATACAAGGTCTAACGCTTTTGTTTATGTTTACTCTTCTTTTGTCTTCTATCATCATATTCTTCCTCCATTGGAATCCAAATCTCATCATCTTTAGCTTCTTCAGGCAATCTTGGACCATTCTTATCACGAAATACTTCCTTTCTCCATTCTTGTAAATTCTTCTTCTTGGTATATTTCCGTTTATCTTTCATTCTTAACTCCCTTGGTCTATATGGAGCAAATTTCTTAATTCCAATGAAAGTATTTAATTGTTTATCATCGGCCAAAATGATTTCACGAGTTGATAAACCGAATGATTCGGGTGATACTTCACGATATTTGAATTTAACCTCTTCACGACCTTTCAGACGTCCACGCTCTTCTTCAACTTCATCTATGAGTTGATGGGTATGGGATTCGATTATTTTTTGAGCGGTTTGTTTGATGGATTGCGATTGTTTCTTGAGGGATTTCTTTTGTTTAAGGATTTCCTTTTTGGATTGTTTTAATGGCGGCTCTTCAATTTCTGGTTCGTCATCATCTACTTGATCTTCTGATTCTGATTCCGCTTGATTGAAGTCAGCCATGATTTCATCATCATCGTCCCATTCCGGTTTGGTAATCTCCGCATCATAATATTGTTCATTAAAGATTTCTGCCATCTTATTATCCCAATCCGCATCATCAAAATCCTCCTGCAACAAAGCATCACCAAACACTTTTTCAATAACCTCATCACTCACTTCCCCACCCACGGCTTCCTTTATCTTAGTCAACCGATCAACGACTTTTTCCAACTTATTAGTCTTCTTCTTCTTTAATGCCTCCGTCTTCTCCCGTTCTTCTTGTGCCTTAAGTTCTAATTTCTTCTCACGTTGTCGTTTTCGACTATTGGTAGCCCCACGTCTCAAAGTAGCTTGATTACGAGCATATGAAACAATTTCGGCAGAATTAGCATCTTCATAACGGAAATTATATGTCGTTTCGAATTTTTCAACCGCATTGTCGAAATCTTCTTCGATGTCTTGATCGATTTTGTCGAGATTGATGATCTTGTCGCCCTTTTTGGGGATCCAGGCTTGTTGGTCTAAGAAGGCATTAAGGAATCCGGAAGGGTTTTGGTCGGGGTTGGGTAAGGCGGTTCCAATAGGTAAGGTGGTATCATCATCGTCTTGTTTGTTTGATTCTTTCTTCTTTAAGAAATCACCATCGTCTTCTTCGTCATCATCTTCGGGAATGTCATCTTCGAAGGCTTTTTTGATATCAGAAAGGATTTTATCTCTTTCTTCTCTTTGTTCAGTCACATATGACTTCTCACCATCCACTGTCATTCCAGTATCTTCTTCTTCATCATCTTCTTGATACCCACCTGATAAGAGATTCATTCGATGATAATCCTTTAAATAGATTGGTTTTTCTTTAGTTGACCCACTAGTGGTTTTACTTGCTCCCTTTTCAGGATCCTCAAAGAATTTGAGATCGGGGTTTAGGAGTTTCTTAGGATCAGTTTTTATAGTTTCCAAGACTTTATTTATCCCTTGTTCCACGTCTTCTGTTATTAAATCTCCGAATTCATCTTCTTCTTCGTCGGAAGAGGAGGTTGGTGATTCATCTGATTCGTCGGATGGAGGAGATGTTGGGGTGCGTTTTGGTTTTGGGGTTGGTTCTGGGGTTGGTTCAGATGGTTCTGCTGCTAAGAAGGCTGCTTTCTCAGCTGCTTCTCTGGCCTTTTTGGCTGCTGATTTCTTTCTGGCCATGATTGGTCTTGGTTTATTTTGGGTATCTCAAGTATCGGTTTATGAAAAAAAAATTTCAAATGTTTAATTATAATTTTTTTATTTTATGAGAAGAGCCTAGAGAGAGATGAGATACAAAACCTACGACATTTATACAATGTCGCCTAGATTAGAATGTCGTGAAAACCTCGAGTAGGAGTCATTGTGTGAATGTATAGGATTATACCTATTGTAAACACCGAGAGATAGATGAAATATCGTTTTCTAGGAAATTTCCTTCCGAGTTTCATGCGGTCTGGAAAACTAAACTATTATAATAAATTGAATATAAACCTATGCTGCCTTAGATAAGGGTACATCCAGAGGTGGTGCATCCAGAGGTGGTGCAACCAAAGCTGTCGCCGCCGTTTTGGTCACCTTTGGTTTAGTAGGATCACCTTGTGCAAATAGAGGATATTGCTCTGGTTTAGGTAGTTCCATCAAATCATAAAATTTCTTTGCCATCCTCCCAATCACACTGTCCCTATACCTAAAATCTTTTCCCGGGTTACAAGCACAATTATGTTCACTCCTATATTCTTCATCCAAGGGACATGTCTGAAGAATCCCGTGTCTATATCCTATATCAAAAAAGTGGATTTGATCTTTGGGAATGAAATGTGTTGCAGCAACTGCATGAAGCGGACCGTCTCCCCATCTTTCATAAAAGAACCCACCGGCTTGGTCCATATGCTTGAAATATTCTCTATATGCTTCTGATCTGAAGAATTTCAAACTTCCGATTTCAAGATTTGACCAAAAATGATTCCCATTAAATGAACTCCGCTTATTATTAGTTATAAATTCACTTAAATTATTCTCAGCAATATATTCCGGATGTTCATCCAAAAATTCTTTCGTTGACTTCCAAAACGTCCTTATCGTTTTTCGAATTTCACCAGCCACTAACGAAAATCCAAATAGTTTATTATTATCTTTCATATATTGGAAAACATCATAATCAACATCACAAAAGAATTGTGTGTTTGGTTCTACTAACCAATAGTAATCATATTCTGCCATTTCGTCCAACTCGAAGAAAAATCCACTCTTGAATCTACACATATGTCTATAAGATTCACTTCCACCATAAATAATCTTCTGTGCCTTCATTTCTTCTCTTGTATTGGCTGCCTTATCCTGATCAATCCACCATGGATATGACCAATATTTCATAGGTATGAGTACATGTTTTACCCTCCCGGAAGCAATTGCGCTCGTGGTATTGATGAAATCAGGGGAAAACTGTTCATTGTTGAGGAATACCCAATCATATTTGAACTTTTTATTAAATCTGTCTTCGAGCTGTTGCATGGTTTTAGCCATAGCTTCGAGTTCTTTATTTCTGCATAGGGCCATAATAGCAGCTTTTGGACGATCATCTACATCGTCCTCGGTGAATTTAAGTTGAATTGACAATCTTGATTGGGATGTAGTATAAAAGCATATTATTGTGGCTATTATGAATAGCGTAAGAATATCGTAAAGTCTTTTTCTACGAATGTCCATAGTTGTTGTGTTCTGGGATAATGTCAAAAAACAAAGATATAGAGTAAATTTTACAATATAGCGAAATCGGGATTATATAGATAGTTGAGAAACTGAAGCTCCGAGGACTAACCCTAAAAATAAGCATAATGTCTGACGACTATGTCAGGGGATGACATACATAATGTATGAAGAGGTAAGATTTCAAATATTTTAGTGTTTACATAATGAAAATATGGAGCAGAAAACAATGCGCCTGTTCTAATTCCTTTAAAAATAAATTATTACATCATTTGCATATTTCATATGTATGTTATTATGTATAAGAACTAGAATAAATGGTTGTATTATCAGAAAAAAAAAAAATGAAAATTACTAGGTATTAAGAATCAAAAGAAGGAATAAAATATTATGACATGACTTCGCTCATCAAGACAACAACATTTTATCAAATATGATAACCAAGATGAACTGATTAACTTTCACAAATAAATATTTAGTACAAGAAAAAGGAAAGCGAGAATTATAAATATGGAAAAGAAATGTGAATATTTTGAAATAAGCCGTGCCATAGATTTTGTGAGCTACTTTCATAGCTTGCAAGATTTGAATTCAAGCTGTGGACTATGTACAATCGGAGTTCCCAATGGAACGATTTGCTTGTTAAGATTAACTTAGTGTAGATTTTATCATTTTATAGTTCTAGTTGACTGATTTACAAATTATTAACCACCCCTAACGGTTTCACAGTCCATAGTATCTTATATTCATTTCTCATAATATCAAGCTCGAGGTCCTAGTGACGAGTATAGTTTATCATTGTCTACACCAAGTCTATATATTCCACTAGATACCGGTTCTAAAATAAAATACTACATCTACTGGCATTCACATATTTTTTATTTATACTATCTATAAACAGAAGCTAGTGCACATTCTTTTGGTAATGGGTTAAATCTTCGAAATTGTACCCAATCTCCTCACAGACAATTCTTTCTCATTATACCACCATCTAATCCCCACTTCTGCCCTATTCAAATCCAATTCCTCCCCAATCGTCTTCCATAACCTTCCAATCAAGAATTCTTGTTCTGGTCGACTACTTCCACAAATCAACACCCAGACCCGGTCCAACCAGGCTGAAAACACCGAGATTGGGAAATAGGGGATGAGGGAGATGATTGTGGTGATTAAGGATTCCCGGATTGTGGATGGGGTTTGTCTGACTTGGAATTGATATTCTGATTTAGGTACCCGGTTGGAAGTGTCATTGGAGGTAGATAATTCTTGGAATGAGATGGGTGTGGTGGATTGGGATTTTTCAATTGGTATTCCAGGGAGGATGGGGATAGTTTTTGAAATTAAGTATTCAAATAGTTCTTCTGCTGAATTTGCATATTTTGAATTCTGGTAGGCGATGGGTGACGATAAGATCTTTTTGCCGATTGTTTCAATGGCGATATTTAATTGATGAGGTGATATCCGGGTTGGGAATTGTCCAATTAATAATTCAACATATTGCCTACTTTCATTCACATCTACTTCTTGTATATTTGCGAAATGGAACAAGACAACTGAGTGGCCCGATTCGAGTAGGTCCGTATTGATATATCTCCTATCATCGGCAATACTGATCGCAATTTCATAGATTTCTTTCGAAAAGCCACCACTCACACTCGAGCCCGCCAGCTGGAGATAATTCTCCCATAATCCAAGCACAAACATAACTTTCGAATGTGTGATGTAGTCATTGTTGAGTACGTCTGGATATAAGTTGACCTCATGATAGTTCCCAATTAAATACTTCGTAAACCTTTCAAATTCCGGTCCGGTTGAAATAGCTAATTCCAATGCGAGATGATAGACGAAATTATAATTATCGAACCCTCCTTGGCCAATAGATAATAGGATGAAATTGATATAATAAAGATTGGATAAGAATTTGTGTGAAAGTTGACGATATTCTGATTCGATTATGACTTGGTTTCTTCTCGTGAAAAACGAGAAGCCTCGGGATGATTTCGAGGTGAGGAAACGGGTGAGGATACCTTGGAAGATTATGATTTGTGAAAAGAGGAGACTTTTCATTATGTGCCAGAATTGTTGGGATAAGTAGGAAGTATCAGCCGGTCCATTGAATTTGTTGAATCGAGATGATTTGATGGAGTGGGATAACGTCTTATTGAACGATTCGATTTTAAGCATGGTTTCCATGACTAGGTTGGCTGATTTCGGATCTATTTCTAATTGTGAAAAATATGCTTCAAGTAAGAATGAAAGCTTATTCAAATGTTTGATTACTGGTTTTTGGATAATTTCTTTTGATATAATTGATTCAAGTTCAGGATTGGATGGATTGACATTCAAGAATTTTTGATATACTATAATTGAATACTCAGGATGAAGATAAATCAATGAAACAAGCTTATTAATAATGAACCCATCAGCAACTTGCAGGGTATATGGTTTTATCAGTTCTTCTTTTCTAAATACCAATGCAAGACTTAATAAACTCAAATTAACGACATCTTCACTATGTGTGTGGGAAAGACTATAGTTAAGACATTTCTTAAACAATCCAAGCATTTCATGATCCCAATTTTTGAAGAACCATTTATATTCCACATAATTATGTTCAGTATAAAGACCATCTCTTAATTGATTTGATAATAACATTCCAGTAATAATAGGTAATACCTTCCAACTATTGGCAACTGGATTATAATTAGCAAAATTAGATAATTCTTTTAATAAGATGGTGTAAAACTCTTTAATGGTCAATGTAGGTTGTGATATCTTTAATTTCTTATCAACAATCAATTTAAAAACTTCAATAATGAAATAATTCTCTTCAAATGAGACTTGTCCACTAAAGCAAACAGGAGTATTTAAGAAACTAGCAATAACTACTCGTAAATTATGTTCATGTTTGATATAAGGAACATAACTATATAAATATCCTAATACTTTTGAAACATTTGTATCTGCCCTGGGGAACCGTAATTCATTAATTAAGAAATCCAAATCCTGCGGTGCGATGGTAGTTGAATCTTCATTGAAATGAACGACACCTGGCTGTTGTTGGTGTTGGTGTTGGTGTTGTGATAATAGAGCTCTTCCTTGAGGACCCAATCTATTATAAATATCAGACATTGCTAACTGGGGGATCTCCTATAAGTATGGGTGTAGAAGAAGAAAGAATCGATTTCATTCCACCAATAATTTAAATATTTCGGTGTTCCCCCCCACCGCACACTCAAAAATTTCAAATGTTACTGATTTTTACCCCGAGGATGAAAAAAAAATTATATGGGGAACTATATCACGTGACTTATACGGATAAATAGATTTTAGAGGTTAAGAATTTATACAGTTAATTATGTCTTTTGTTACTCGCTTAATACTTTATATCATTATAAGTAAATCTTTTTCATTTCATTTCACTAATCACATATAAACATCATTACGTTATCTTTTTATACAAGGGAAATAAACTAATCGTTTAGAAAGAAAATCATAAAACTTAAATTAATTAACTATTTACACTCATTAATTCATTTAAACCCATTCAACAGGATTCTTTAAAACTTCCAACAATTTAGCTTCTTCAGTACCTTCTTCAGGATGATGGTCATAAACCCAACTAGCAGTTGCAGGTAACGACATTAAAATACTCTCAACTCTTGATCCTGGGGTTTGTAATCCAAATTGAGTGCCTCTATCCAAAACCAAATTAAATTCAACATATCTTCCTCTTCTAATTTGTTGCCATTGCTTTTGTTCAGGAGTATAAGGAGTATCCTTTCTCTTGGCAATAATTGGACAATAAGCAGGAATAAATGCATCAAAACAAGATTCAATGATCTTTAAGATTTCATCAGCTGGTTTTGAATCAAAATCATCAAAGAAAATTCCACCAATACCTCTAGTTTCACCTCTATGTTTAATATAGAAATATTCATCACACCATTTCTTATATTTAGGATATAATTCAACATCATGTTTATCTAAAGCATCTTTATGTAATTGATGGAAATGTTTAGCATCTTCTTCATACAAATATGATGGAGTCAAATCAGCACCTCCACCAAACCACCAAGCTTGAACCTCATTAGTATCTGGATCAGTAGTTTCGAAATAACGATAATTAGCATGTGTGGTAGGAGCATGGGGATTAATAGGGTGAATGACCATTGACAATCCACAAGCAAAGAAATTTGCACTACCATCACTAGCACACCCCTTTAAATTAGAATGATCAGCTTTCATTCTATCAACTGCTGCAGCTGGTAATTTTCCATGAACAATTGAGATATTAACCCCACCCTTTTCAAATGTGGTTCCGTTTTGTAAAACCATGGATTCTCCACCTCCTCCATTGTCACCTCTGGTCCATTTATCGGTATGGAATGTGACGGTGTCTAGTTCTGCAAGGGCATTGGTGATCTCTTGTTGTTTCCAACGGATAAGTGCCTCCATTCTTTCCCTGATTGGGAATGAAGTGTCATGAATTTGTTCTTTTGTAACCATTGTTAATATATGATGGTTTGTAAGTTTTATAACAACTCTATAAAATTCTGAATTTTATACTTTTCAATTGATCTTTATAAGTTTGAATTGAAAAATTGAAAAATTAAGAAAATTGAAAAATCGGTTGATTTTTTTTTTGTATGTGTAAGTTGAATAATTTTCCTGTATATAACATAAACAATCATTATCAGACCATATTACATGTATTATGATACATGATTACATTTATTTGGAATATTCAAATGTGGCGTGTTGTATCAAAGTTTGTTAGTTTTTAATAGATCAGATGATGTAATCTTATGGTTTTGGAACTCTATTTTGTTGCATTCTGTTCCTCGTATCGCTGTAAAGAACATTACTAATGTAAGGTAACATAGATGTTAAGTAAATACGCAGTACTATCTACAATTTAAGAAGTGATTCAGTATACAAATATAATGCAAACATCTATGAATATATACAGAATTACAGACACACATACACATACCACAGTCTTCACAAACTAAGAAGCTTTACTCTTCTTCATCCTTCAATGTGATCGTCTTCTTCTTTTCTCTACTACCTTTAGGTACTCTAGCTAACCAATAAAACACAATCGCAAGAATAATATTCACACCAATAAAGCAAACCACCAAAGCCCAATTTCTCCATCTCTCACTAAACACCGCATTAATCCGTGTCAAAAACTCATTCGTAGAACTCATAGAACAATATAAGCAATTCCCCGAGACCGGTTCAGTCTCCACATATCCTCCTGCTGCCAGCACAAATGGTCCCATAAACGCCTCACAACTCATCCCTGAAGGTGGTTGAATCTCAACCAATTCATAATCAGCACACACAACTTCATTATCAGCCAAGCCCGTCCCCAAAACCCCTTGCATCAAATATGTAAATGGATTGCACCTGTACATAAAGATCCAAAACCGGGGTAACTTATCCGGGCCAGCCAACACACCACAAAACATCAAACAAATAGCAAGCAATAAATGGGCAAGTATGAACGCATTCTGATCAATTTCATTAAATGAAATACATAAGTGTCCCAATGTCGTAGCATAGACATAAAATGAAACCAAAAACATCCACATCAAAACTCCACGTTGATTCGCAGAGTCTGTCGATATGGCATTCTCATAGAACCCTACTGGATAATACCAACAGAAGAACGAAGCGGTACCTACCAACACTTGAAATGGAATTTCACTGGTAATTTGTCCAGAAATGAATGCCAACCAACTGAATGTTCGTGAACTTGCTTCTCTAGCTTCGAAAATTTCACGTTGTTGGATGTAGTGCGGAAGCATTTGTTGAACAATGATGTTTAGGGCCGGGAATAACATAAAGACGGAAAACATCTGGTTTTGGAGTCCTTGGAGGGATCTATCGGCTTTAAAGAATGAAAATCCATTAAATAAGGCGTCGGCAGTGGTGGACAAGAATTTGGAATAGATGTAATTGGGAGATCTCCAGTCCAGAATGATGGCTCGATGGGAGACAAGGAGATATTGTTTCCATAATGGAACAGCATATTTTAAGTGGGCTTCTGGATCTTCTATTCTTGGTAACTTGACTAATTCTCGTTCCATTTCATCGAGAGTGTTTTGAATTTCTTGATATTCGGTGGAATTCCTCCATACTTCAAAATAATCCTGTTTGGCATGAGAACCAGGAGCAGCGCCTACAACTTGTAACATCCATTCAGCTGGATTTGCATCTTTAGGACACGGATCAGCACCATATTTTTCAAAATAATCAATCAAACTCTGACAATTCTCACCTAAATCACCAAAATAAACAGTCTGACCACCCATTTGTAAAAACAACAATCGATCAAATTCCTTCATCAATAAAGCCGATGGTTGATGAATAGTACATAATATCGCCTGACCATGATCAGCCAACTTTCGTAACAATTTACAAATCGACCAAGCTGTTTGAGAATCCAATCCCGAAGTAGGTTCATCTAAAAACAACAACAATTTCGGCTTTGCGACCAACTCAACGCCAATGCTCAATCTCTTTCTCTGTTCAACATTCAATCCTTCTCCAGTCACGCCAACCAAAGCATCAGCATATGGATTCATTTCTAACAAATCAATCACATAATCTACATATTTATCCTTTTCTTGCTTAGATACCGATTTAGATTGTCTCAAATATGCCGAAAACTGTAATGCCTCCCTGACCGTCGTTGTCGGAAGATGTAGGTCCGCCTGTTGGACATATCCTATCGATCTCCGGAATGAACTGTCCAAACTATGTCCATTCACCATCCTTTTTCCATCAGTGATGACACCCACGGTTAATCGTTCAGATAAGCAGTTTAATAAGGTTGTCTTCCCGGCACCCGTAGCACCCATTAGTGCTGTGACTAGCCCTGGTTTTACCCACCCATCAATATGGTCAAGGATTGTTCGTGGCTGTTTTTTGATTGAGATTTCGTAGGTTAGGTTCCGCCAGAAGAAAATCTCGCTTGAGTCTAGTTTGTTCAGCATGGAATCACTTGGTGGTGGAGTTGGCGGTGTGGGAGAAGATGATTCAAATTCTTCTTTGAATGTGAGTTTTTCTTGAATGGGAGTTTTAGTTTCAATATCTGATTGGATGAGTTGTTTTCTTTTACGTTGAGTTGGTAGACTTGACCTCAAAAATAATACAAGCTCACCTTTTTGCATTGCACCTTTGTTGATTTCAGTTAAGAGTATATATGCCAAAGTTAGGGTCAACGTATATCCAATCACAATACCAATATTTCTCCACCGATGAGAATTATGATAATCATAAGCTAATTGTAAATATTTCGTACCGCTAACAATAAGACTCCCCGGTTCACCGCCCACAACTGAGCAGACTCTATTTTCATTACTTAAATCCTGATATCCTGGTCCAGTAGGTATAAAAACCCCACAAGTAAAGTCCCTCCCATGAAATTCGTTCGCCATTAATGATTCAAAAACATAATACGTAGGATTTATGTAACTTATCCACTTCGACCATCCCAACATCTTAGGCACAGGAATTACAAATCCAGTATAGATAATCAAAGCCAACAACACAACACTAGCCGGAGTCATGGCACTTGGCAAACTCGTAAAAACCGACCCAATACACCTAAATAACATCGACATGACCAACATACACCACATACAAGTAAACCAATAAAAGAAGAACCTTCCTGGTTCACGTCTGAAATTCACCATAAAATAGAATACAAAATTAAAACTCATCGACATTAAGAATTTCACTGGGAGTTCGGAGATTATGCTCGCAACAGCATCGGCAGCTGGACGATATAGGGCGTATTTCTTATGTTTCTCCACGATCTGTCTAGCTTCAAAAAGTGCCAAAATTTCTAATAGGGACCCAAGAGCATTGAATAACACGGCAAAGAAAAGGGCAGCTCCTCGATAGTAGAATGATTCAGTTGTGGGCGGTTGATTATAGAATACCGAGGATATGATGAGACCCATGATTAATTGGGCGAATATAGATACGATTGGAATGGATGGGTTTCCTTTTTGTCTGAGCCAGTTTCGTCCTAAGATGTATCGAACTTGCATGGGGAATGATACTGTGTATGGAGAATTAGCGGAGAGGTTTTTGGATTGTTTGGCAGAATGGTCTTCATGATAGATTTTCTTAGTGTTTAGACGTTCACATTCTTGGAAGTATTCATCGATTTCTTTGATTAGGGAAGTGTATTCTGGGGAATTTTTCCAATAGCTTTCGAAGTCTTTTGCGGTACGGGGAACTTTGTTTTCATATCCGGGCAATGGTTCTCTTTCGGCTGGATTGGTTAATGAGGTGAGGAAATCTGCTGTGGTTTGTCGTTGAGGACACTTCCATCCCATATCGATAAAGTATTGTTTTGCCTTCTCGGCGCTTCCAAAAAAGATTTGATACCCCTCATATAAGACCAAAACGTTGTCAAACAAATCATAAGCATCTTGTGAACACTGATAAAGAGATACAATTGGAGTAGCTTCTAAAATTGTCGACGAAGTTTTCAAGGCTCGTATAAATTCTAAAGCAGTAGCTGCATCCAATCCTCTAGTTGCATTATCCCAACATTGTAAATTTGCGCCACTTAATGATACTTCAGCAATGGAGACTCTTTTTCGTTCACCTCCAGAACAACCTTGTATAAAGGCATTTCCCACCTTGGTGTTCCTAGCAATAAGTAATCCATAAGTAGCCATATATACACTAGTAATATGGTTTACATAAGATTCTCGATCAATTCCAACACCTCGATTCTGTGGTGTACTCAATCGAGCTGCAAACTTTAATGTTTCATTAACAGTCAACATGGGGAAATGAACGTCTGTTTCAGCCGAATATATCACATCACCACGATAATGTTGCTTAATATCATTCTGAGTTAATCCGTCATAAGAAATTTTCGATTGTTTATCCAAATGGAAACCATATGTGTTTACAGCCAAAGCTTTCAATAATGTAGAACATCCAGCCCCTGGCCTCCCGAGTACAACAGTAAGATCACCGGGTCTCATAATTGCATCCATTGGTTTCAAAATATCGAAATATCTCGATCCATCTTCCTTACGAAAATGTCTAGCTGCAGCAGCTAGATGTTTCCAGAAATAGTTTGTAACAGTAGGTTGATAATCAACATCATTAGCTATTCCATAGGCACGCAAGTTACGATATGCCACTCCCAATTTGGAATGTCTGAAATATTCAGGGTCTGAGTCATATAGTTTCCTAATATTTTTCACCCAGAATTTAGCATTGAATTCAGGAGATTCGGGGTCTAATTGTGTGTGTTCGATTGATTCTGTGTAGGGATTGATTCCTGGAACATCTGACATTGAAGTTAAACAACGTTCTAGATTTAATGAATCTTGTTCTTCTGGGTTTTTGGATTCATTAGAAAAAGTTCGTGCTAAGTCTTTGATATAGTTGCTTGTCCCCTCGGTGAATCCTTGATAATCTTCATTGCTACCATTGAACATGGTATCTGGTTCTGATTGAGAGTTTGAATTGTTCTTCTCAGACATTCAGTTTCAATATTCTCTATATGTTTCCAAGAAAATCTTCATATATAAAAAGTAAATTACATAATTAAAATTAATCGTCTGTTTTTTTTTAAGGTTTTATGGGTTTTCAAAACGTTCTCTTAGTCTTCGTCATCATCATATGCAATTGGTCGTAATTTGAAAATTATTATTCTCTTTTGGGGGGGGGGGGGGGGGGTTGGAACAAATCGAAAGTAAATAATTTTCCCACTATACAATCCTAGACTGCACATGAAAGCACCTGAAGTAACATTAGGAATCGACAGGTTAGTTACTCCCACCAAAACTATGATGGGATTAATCAATTTGATGGATTTAGAAAAATCCTTCGTCTCAGGGATAGCCATTTTCTGAGCAGTATTCATCACGGTCTGTCGTGAACTGTATTATGGGCGTATTCGCACATGCAGTTCAGTTTGCCAACTTTCAGAAGATAAATCAGGGGTTAATAGAATAATACGTGGAGAACATATCAGACAATAATGTACATACAATAGGTTCAATTCTCAATTGTTAATGAAAAAACAATAAGCTTCGTCTGGTGATAAAGCCGGTCACTATTCTCATTTTCTAAAACCAAGAGAAAATAAATCCGATTGATTGCGTCGCTTAGTCTACATGTAAATTCAACGTAATTGAAGAAGGTACAGTATTAATATGGGTTTTAACCAATACTCATAGACTACCCATTTTAGATGTCCATATAGTTTTTCGGTTATACTTTTATCTTTTGTTTCGATTTCAGTAACTAGTAGATCACAACCTTCATTAACATAAATTATTGGTTCTCCGCAACTGCTAAACGACGCAAGCTCCTTAGGTGCAAATTCATATTGTAAATGACCGTCTCTAATACGCCAAAGTGGATACGCATCTTGAATGATAAAAGAAAGTTTTTAATGTATTATCTGCAGGACTATCATAAACAAGTTATCAACAATTCTTGAATGATTGTTAATGATGAGAAGCGAAGTCGCAGCCTTAGAATTTGGAGTTGGCATCACTGTTTTGGTTCTTGATATCATCAAATAAAGTTTGGCTTTTGGATCCCGATTGGTGAACAATTTGAATGGTCCAAATTAACAGTGTATCTCGGTAGTCGTATTATTAGTATGTCCTAATTTACTGCTAGAGACCTCATCCAAATTCCAATTACTAAATTTAAAATCCTGAAACGAAACCCGACGGCGAGTGATTCTTCATGAATGGCTGTTACCATGTGCTCAAGAGCTACCATATGAGGTCGTGCAAGCCAATTGAATCTACGGTTTACATTCTACAAAGTAATATTATAGAGACATTTGATATTAGTAGGTATTTGAAACTCGTCTGTCCCTGGTATATCCAGGAGGGATGGTTTTATGCTTGGTAGCAGTGAACTCCATTTACTACTTACATAAGCATTGAGTTCAATTGTTGCCCACTTTGTAAATTCACGAAAACAGCAAAGAAACAGGTAGTCGCTCAAGGGGTTTATTCAAAGTGAATACCTTAGAGAATTCCAGCTATCCTCTTAAAAAATAAAAGAACTCCAATTCCTCTTAATTCATGAATAGATATATTACGGTTTCTAAGAGGAAAAAACGCTGTATCAAAGAATTTTTACATTTCATAAAAGTAAACATGTATTATCATATAAAGTAATCTAGATAAAAGTAAGCATATGTCATAAACGAAAAAATTCGGTCATATTTAAATAAATTTCAAGAAAAGCAACTCAGTCTCAAAGAAAAATCAAACATGGTACCAACACACTTAAAAGTGTAACTAGTGATACTAAGTACGATTGATTGGCACCAGCTACTTGTGGAATTGGGACTTCATCGCCAGGAGGAGTTACACCAGGTTCTCCACCAGGGACTGCATCTGGAGCTTTGCCAGGGGCTACATCGGGACCTTGCTCGGGGGCCGCATCAGGAACTTTGCCAGGGGCTGGTTCAGGAACGACACCGGGAGCAACGCCAGGAGCAACGCCAGGAGCTACTTGGGGACCAGCTTCGGGAACATCGTCAAGGCCGGCAGGACCCTTAGACGGAGCACCATGTGGGACAATAACAGTAACAACGGAAGTTACATAATATGTAGTTGTAAGTTCGTGCACATGCTCTCTACAAGTATGTAAGTCGCAGCTAGTAATAGTTTCGGTGATTGTACGAACAACTTTTTCAGTTTCCAAAGGACAATATGTTGTAATGACTGTTCTGGAAATAGTAGTCTTAGTCTCACAGATAGTTTCTTCAACACATTCAGTCACAGTGACAATGACTTCATTTGTGACAGTGACAGGTGCACTCTCGCTGTCGTCGTCAGGGGTTTGAACAGGATCCGTAGTAGTCCCTTCTTCGCCTCCAGCAGTAGGTTCTGCAGGTTCGTCTTCTATAACCTCAATCTTAAGAACTAATGGATCACAATCTTCGTCGACATAGATCGTTACACCTTCACAATTACTAAACAACGCGTACTCACCTTCTGCAGTCAAATATACTAACGTGCCGTCTACAATAGCCCATTGTGGAGAAGCATCCTCAATGTTGGGGGAAGTAATCAATATCTTGTCAGCAATTGCTACATATAACTGACCAGTTTTCAAATAATTGTCAACGATGAAAAACTCTGCAGCACGGTCGGCACTATCTAGAACAATAACGCCATTCTCATCTACACTCAAGTAAAGGGTACCGTCCGCAGATGCAGAAATTTTAAATGGAGTGTTAGATTCAGATTCTTCTGGATCTTCTGGATCCTCTGGGTTTTCTGGGTCTTCTGGGTCTTCTGGGTCTTCTGGGTCTTCTGGGTCTTCTGGGTCTTCTGGGTCTTCTGGGTCTTCTGGGTCTTCTGGGTCTTCTCGGTTCTCTGGGTCTTCAGGATCTTCAGGATCTTCTGGGTCCTCTGGGTCCTCTGGATCTTCTGGGTCTTCTGGGTCTTCAGGATCTTCAGGACCAGTTGTAGGTTCTGGTTCTGGGTCGTCTGGTTCAGTTGTAGGTTCTGGTTCTTCGTCGTTTGGTTCAGTTGTAGGCTCTGGTTCTTCCTCGTTTGGTTCAGTTGTAGGTTCTGGTTCTTCGTCGTTTGGTTCAGTTGTAGGCTCTGGTTCTTCCTCGTTTGGTTCAGTTGTAGGTTCTGGTTCGTCATCGTTTGGTTCAGTTGTAGGCTCTGATTCTTCCTCGTTTGGTTCAGTTGTAGGTTCTGGTTCGTCATCGTTTGGTTCAGTTGTAGGTTCTGGTTCGTCCTCGTTTGTTTCAGTTGTAGGTTCTGGTTCGTCCTCGTTTGTTTCAGTTGTAGGTTCTGGGACTGGTTCTTCTGGTTCTTTTGACCCCACGCCGAATGCTTCAATTTCGATACAGCCATCGCCATTGTTTCCACTGATCTGTAAATCACACGAATAAGTAGATTGAACCGTAAGAATCTGCCCATCTTCAGAAAGGGTGGCCAAAAGCAACAGAGTCTCGTCATCAAGCTCTAGCAAGGTCAAGCTCTCTTGGTCAGAATTGGGGTAGCCCACATACAAGTCTCCAACCATGAGGAGACCCTGATTGCCATCATAGGTAAAGTCAGTTGCATCATCTTCCTCAGCTAAAACACAACCAATTTCTTCGTCACAGTGAAGGTAATACGTCTCACCATCTATGGCGTAATTCAACTTAATTGGTTCTCCTGGTGCTCCTGGTCCTTCTGGTTCTTCTGGTTCTTTTGACCCCACGCCGAATGCTTCAATTTCGATACAGCCATCGCCATTGTTTCCACTGATCTGTAAATCACACGAATAAGTAGATTGAACCGTAAGAATCTGCCCATCTTCAGAAAGGGTGGCCAAAAGCAACAGAGTCTCGTCATCAAGCTCTAGCAAGGTCAAGCTCTCTTGGTCAGAATTGGGGTAGCCCACATACAAGTCTCCAACCATGAGGAGACCCTGATTGCCATCATAGGTAAAGTCAGTTGCATCATCTTCCTCAGCTAAAACACAACCAATTTCTTCGTCACAGTGAAGGTAATACGTCTCACCATCTATGGCGTAATTCAACTTAATCGCCCCCGACAATAGGGCTAGGTAGAATGTAATTATTAATCCTAGAAATTTCATTTCTTTGGTTTCAATTACTGGGAATTTCAATTAAGGTGAAGGAGTAAAATATAGAAAAGTCTTTCTCTTAGGATTGTAATAAACGTCAAGGCGGAAAACATGCTGACTTTATAGTTGATCTATAAGGATGGTTCCCAGGTCTTGTTACTACTGCAATAGTATGTATGCGATGGTTTGAGGAAAGATACAACCCGCAAAAATGGCCATGTCTCAAAACCATTCTCCTTATTTGGATTTAAAGTTCTAATTCTAACACGTTATTGGCGTATTTTTATACTTTTTATTTTGCGAGTATAAATTGGATTCGGTCACGTTTCTCCTCCTGTAAGGTGTGCCAAGAGATGTTAGTTAGTTTCCATATTACGGAAAGTAGGAATGGTTCAAAGATATTCACATTACTTTGGTTTGGAAATTAATAGCAACCGGGTGGATTATTACCAACAGCTTTATGTGCTACAGCCTAATTCCATGTTACAAAAACACGACAAGTCAAACCTTAAATTATGAATTTACCAATAAGCCAAAGGGGATTTATTTGTTTTGAAATAATAAGGTTATATCACGCTTTCAAGACTAACTTTGGGATGCAAAATGAAACGTCATTACAGTTTAAACTTTCAGTAAAATCGCCATTCGAGATCTATTATTAGAAATTTACCAGCAACCTTCTTTCCTTGAAGGGCAGTATCAGCAATAACAACAAAAAATTTGCTTCAAACAAACAATTTAATGACTAGCAAATACTCCTCATCTTCCACGAAAGTTTAAATTTACAGTTCTTTGTTTACTTCAAATACATTCTTGGCTAAGTTGTAAATTTAAATGAAGTTAAATGTGTGACATAGATAGATCAGCGATAGGTAGATATAGATGATTAATCTAAAGAAATAGCTCCTTGTTGTTATTTGTCATGAAATATCGCAAGTGTAAGCATTTCGGTTTTCTAAGCGTTTTTTATGGAACTGGGCTCTATTATTTTACACAATCGCGTCTGAATTGCCTTGTATAGGTGCTTTTTCGAAGTCTTGGATTTAGAACCATCTGATGTCCATGCTGATGGGTATCGCGTACAAATCTATACCCCTCCCAACTCAAAAAAATTCTCGCGATGGAAAGTTGCAAGGGCTCAGAATGTGGTACCATTTTGGGCAATGTTTTGGCCAATTACGTTTGTTCTTTAGTTATAGTATTTTCATCGTGCGTTACCTGAGCATCATTGTCACTTGTTATCAGTTCTTGAATACAATTATTCATGTACACTCTAGCACATCGGATTGATATACGTTATGGTTGTGCATTTTTTAGGGAGACGACTGTTGGGACTCTCTAGAACCTTTCTGCATTTTGTTGGCAGGAGTGGAAGCGTGCGATTTGATTAACTTTAAATCTTGGAAAAAAGAAGAATTTAAAATATCTGAACCAAAAAAATTGGCGTCTGTAAAATAACCAAAAGCCTAAAGTTAAAAGACAAAGGTTAAAAATCATTCCAAAAAGTTGTTTGAAAGTAATTATATTTCATTCATTGCTATTCTGAAGTATGGCTTATACAGAACTATTCAATAGCACTATTGGTTCAATGACAAACAGGGAAACCTACAAAGGCTGTTTTCTACTGGTTGGGCAATTCATAATTCAATAAGCATGCCAGAAACATTTCTTTCCTTAGCCATTAATTTAAAAAACTTCTCAAAAGTAAGCTTCTTGAGCTTACTAAACTCCGAATGACCACCAGAAATTGTGAATAAACTGATGGAAACGGGCAATGTCTTAAAGGATAAAGGCTAGAGTTAATTAATAAAATATTCTAAAGCGGAATTTTATTCCCATTCTTTCCTCTTATTAACAAACATAAAGGTGATTCCCTCTTTTCAATATTATTGTGTGGGCATTAGAAAATAATGAAGAAATATACTCATTCTAATCAATTTATTAATTATTATAAAACATTACTCGATTTATAAACAATAGACTACAAACACTCTTTGCTTCTTAAAGAAATCAACTTGTCTTTTGTTTGTCTTTCTTCTTCCTCTCTCTAGTACCTTTGGGAACTCTTGCTAACCAATACAAGAATATAGCCAATATGAGATTTACAACAATATAACAGGTAAAAATTGCCCAATTCCTCCATCTTTGACTGAAATATGCGTGAGCACTGGCCAAAAACACATTCGTATCACTCATCAGACAGAACAAACAATCGCCAGCATCACTCGTAGTCACATATCCCCCAGCAGTTGAAATAAACGGATCCATAAACCCTTGACAACTCTGACCCTCGGGCGGTACAATCGTAACTAATTCTTGAGGGGAGCAAATCACATTCGAATTTGCTAACGCCGTAGTCAAAATGGCCTGTACAAGATATGTGAAGGGATTGATCCGATACATGAATATCCAAAATCCTGGCATTTGTCCTGGACCAGCCAATACACCACAAAAGATCAAACAGAATGAAAATAACAAATGACCAACATTTCCCGCATTGATTGGGACTTCATTAAATGAAATGACTAAATGCCCCATACTCGTAGCATATACCATAAAACTACATACCAACATCCACATCAAAACTCCTCTACTGGCAACCTGATGGGTGGGGATGGCATTCAAATAGAACCCAGCGGGATAATACCAACAGAAAAACGCCAATGTTCCTACCGCAATTTGATATGGGATTTCACTCGTGACTTGGGCTGCCATGAAAGTAATCCAGCTAAACATTCTCGAACTTGATTCACGAACCTCATAGATCTCACGATGACGAACAAAATATTCCAACATTTGTTCAAGTAAGGTGTTCATTGGGATGAAGAATAGGAAGACTGCAAACATTTGATTCTGAAGACCACGTATGGAATTATTGGCCCCAAAAAATGAAAACCCGTTGAATAAAGCTGAGGATAAACATAAGAAAAGTTTCGAATATATGTATCCTGGAGTTCTCCAGTCCAGAACTATAGCTCTCCGTGATACGAGGAGGTATTGTTTCCATAATGGCGCAGCATATTTTAAGTGGGCTTCTGGATCTTCTATTCTTGGTAACTTGACTAATTCTCGTTCCATTTCATCGAGAGTGTTTTGAATTTCTTGATATTCGGTGGAATTCCTCCATACTTCAAAATAATCCTGTTTGGCATGAGAACCAGGAGCAGCGCCTACAACTTGTAACATCCATTCAGCTGGATTTGCATCTTTAGGACACGGATCAGCACCATATTTTTCAAAATAATCAATCAAACTCTGACAATTCTCACCTAAATCACCAAAATAAACAGTCTGACCACCCATTTGTAAAAACAACAATCGATCAAATTCCTTCATCAATAAAGCAGATGGTTGATGAATAGTACACAAAATAGCCTGACCATGATCAGCCAATTTTCTTAACAATTTACAAATCGACCATGCAGTTTGAGAATCCAATCCGGAAGTAGGTTCATCCAAAAACAACAATAATTTCGGTTTAGCAACTAATTCAACCCCAATAGTTAATCTCTTCCTTTGTTCAACATTCAAACCTTCACCAGCAACACCAACTAATGCATCAGCATATTCTTCCATTTCCAACAATTCAATAATATAATCCACATACTTATCCTTCTCTTTACGAGGAATAGAATTTGATTGTCTCAAATATGCCGAAAATCGTAATGCCTCTCTCACGGTCAGTTGAGGAAGATGTAAATCCTGTTGTTGGACATATCCAATTGATCTCTGGAATGATGAATCTAATGCATGTCCATTGACCATTCTTTTCCCATCGGTGATGACTCCGACTTTGAGTCGCTCTGATAAACAATTCAATAAAGTTGTTTTACCAGCACCCGTGGCACCCATCAACGCCGTGACTAGACCAGGTTTAACCCAACCATCAACTCGGTCTAGGATTATTCGGTCTTCTTTTTTAATTCTGATTTGGTAGGTTAAGTCCCTCCAGAAGAATATTTGGTCTTGATTTTGCGCTAAGTCTTTGGTTGCACCATTTCCAACTGCCTTTGCTGTAGATTTACTGCTCGAGCTATCAGCCTCTGCTTTTTCGAGATATGATACTTTGTCATTCATTCTTCCATTCTCAACATCAGCATTAGCACGTTCCTTATCTCTCTTGTGTCTCTTCAATGACGACTTCAAAAATAATGCAATCTCACCCTTCTGCATAGCACCACGATTCAATTCCGTTAATGATATATAAACCGCCAAGAAGAAAAACACATATCCCACACAAATCCCCCAATTCCTCCATTTATGAGCATTCTCATATCCATACATCAACCGTAAATATTCCGTCCCACTGACCATCATACTCCCCGGATCGGCCCCTGCTACCGAACATACCCGATTCGCATTCGTGATATTCTCATATGAGGGTCCCATGGGAATGAATGTCGAACAGGTGAAATTCCGACCATGGAATTCATTCACCAAAAGCGATTCAAACGCATATCCGACCGGGTTAATATAACTGATCCAACGGGCCCAGCCTAACATTTCTGGTTTGGGAATGACAAAACCGGTATAGATGACCATGGCTAATAATAAAATAGTTGCTGGGGTCATGGCACTGGCTAATGAGGTTGATACTGCTCCCATACTTCTAAACAAATGTGACATGATTAATGTACATGTGAAACAAATTAACCAAAAGAAGAAAAATCTTCCTGGATTTCTCCGGAAATTAACCATGAAGTAATAGACTAAATTGAATGATATGGACATTAGGAGTTTCGTGGGGAGTTCAGTTATGATACTTGCTAGTGCATCGGCTGAAGGTCGATATAGGGCATATTTTTTATGCTTTTCAACGATTTTTCTTGCTTCGAATAATGCCATGATTTCTAATAAGGATGAAAATGCATTTAAAAGAACGGCAAAGAATAATGCAACACCTCTATAATTCATGGATGTGGAAGTGGAATCAAGATTGTAGAATACTGAAGATATGACTAGACCCATAATGGCTTGGGAAATAACTGACATTAGGGTGATTGATGGATCACCTCTTGTTCGTTTTATGTTTCTTCGGATAATGTATTTGACTTGCATAAAGAACGAAACAGTATATGGGGATTTTCCTCTAATGTGGTCAGATTGTTTGGCAACATGAGAATTATGATAGATTTGTTTGGTATTAAGTTTTTCGCAATCAATAAGGTATTGATCTATATCTTGGATCAATGCCGCATATTCTGGTGAATTTTTCCAATATGTTTCAAATTCTTTAGGGGTTCGGGGGACACTGTTTTCATAACCTGGCAATGTTTCTCTTTCGGCTGGATTCGTGATAGATGTTAAAAAATCAGCAGTAGTTTGTCTTTGTGGACATTTCCAACCCATATTTTCAAAGAATTCCTTACCCTTGTCAGCTTTACCAAAAAAAATTTGATAACCATCATACAAGACTGAAACATTGTCAAACAAGTCATATGCATCTTGAGAACATTGATAAATGGCAATCACAGGAGTTGCTTCCAAAATCGTGGCTGAAGTCTTTAAAGCTCTAATAAATTCCAATGCAGTAGCTGCGTCTAATCCTCTAGTTGCATTATCCCAACATTGTAAATTTGCTCCACTAATTGAAACTTCAGCAATTGATACTCTTTTTCTTTCACCTCCGGAACAACCTTGAATAAAAGCATTACCAACAGGAGTATTTCTGGCTGGAAGTAAACCATAAGTCGCCATATATACACATGCAAGATGTTTTGTGTATGTTTCTCTATCAATTCCTTCACCACGATTTTGGGGTGTACTTAATCTGGCAGCAAATTCTAATATATCTTGTACTGTCATACTTGGAAAATGAACATCGGTTTCTGCTGAATAAATTACACTTCCACGATAACTTCTGGCAATTTCTTCAGGTTTAAGTCCATCATAACTGATTTTTGATTCTTCTCCAATATCAAATCCATAAGTATTAACAGCAATGGTTTTCAATAAAGTGGAACAACCAGAACCTGGTCTACCTAAAACAACAGTAACTTCACCTGGCCTCATAATTGCATCCATAGGTTTCAAAATATCAAACATTCTTGATTTATCTTCCTTCCAAAGAGAACGTAGTCCTTCACGTGCATGTTTCCAAAGAAAATCTGTGACTGTAGGTTGATAGTCGACATCATTAGCTACACCATATGCTCTTAGATCACGATAGGCAACACCTAGTTTTGCACGACGATAATATTCAGGATCTGAATCATATAATTTACGTAAATTCTTAACCCAATATTTTGCATTAAATTGAGGTGATTCTGGATCTAATTGAGGATTATCAATATCTTTTTTGAAAGTATTTATACCAGGTACTTCATCCATTGATGTTAGATAACGAATTAATTGCATCGAAGATGTTTCATTGTGAGATAAAGTCTTAACTAAATCATGGATCTCTTCATCAGTTTGTTGAGTGAATCCTTGATATTCGGAATGATTATTATTATGTAGTGTATCATTTGAATCATCCTGATTCATTGAATTATCTTCTTTATATTTAGACATTGTTATATCTATTTTAGTTTAATTAAGAAATAGAGAAAGAGAAAGAGAAGGAAAGAGAAACTAAAGAGAATGAAAGGACATAATCAATTCCTTTTAAACTCCTGGTTGTTAAAAATCATCAGATATGATCTGCAAGGGAAGTGATGATGATAAATGAATGATGTAAATGAAATTTATTAGTCGGATTTATATTTAAAGTTAATGCCGAAACTCAGATTTTTGTGTACTGTAGACTGAGTAATTTACCATTGTTCTTTTTTTTTATTATGTTACAGCCGTAGATTACTCCATATATTTAAAAAGCTTTTGTGAGTGTTCTTTCTACTGATTGATTGGGTTTGGAATGGGTTCATATGTAACAAATGGGCTTAACAGTTAGATCATCTATTCTTGTTAAGCGTATTGTTAATTCTAAGATTCTGCAATGTCTAATGCGAAAACGATAAACGTAGTATGGGTCATTTTCAAATTCACCGAGAGATTACACTTTCATCCAATCCTCCCAACCCATAGTTCAATTTTGTAATTTATTTCTTGGCTATTGCCTGATACACTTGTTGTAGAAGCCCTCTTCTGGTGGTGTGTCAATTCTAATATTAAATTCCCCGAGATTGTTCAATTAACCAGTAAACATACGATTTAAATCAGTTCCTTGAATTCCGATTTTCGGATGGCGGATTATATATTTTTCTTTCGATTTAATCCGCCGGATCATTTTTGTTTCATTGCTATTTTTATATCTTCACAAGTAGTAATAGACAACCACAGGAGGAGGGAATTATTGAACAATATCTAGAGAATAACCGTATGTTCTAGATATTAAGATAATTAAATGATTATTCAAAAAACAAAACTCTAAATTATTTATATTAAAAATGTATATATAATTAAATTACTATAAAGAAACTCTATTAAGCAAGATTCTAACAAACTTACTTATGCTTTCTTTCTCTATTTCCCTTTGGAACTCTAGCTAACCAATAGAAGAAAACAGTAAAGATAATATTAATAACAATAAATGCAAGGAAAATACCCCAATTTCTCCATCTTTCGCTAAACATAGCATTGACAGATGTCAAGAAATCATTAGTTGAATTCATTTGACAGAAGTCACAAGTTCCAGCTTCATTAGTCAACACGTAACCACCAGCAAATGAAATATATGGATCCAAGAATTGATCACAAGTAGTATTAGAAGGTGGAACAATGGTTAATAACTCAGCAGCAGAACATGTAACAGTAGTATTAGCCAAACCAGTAGATAAAATAGCTTGAATCAAATAAGTGAATGGATTGCATCTATACATGAAAATCCAGAAACCAGGTAATTTATCAGGACCAGCTAAAACACCACAGAAATTCAAGCACATAGTAAATAACAAAACGGCCAAGTTGGCAGCATTATCAGCTAATTCCATGAAAGAAGCACATAATTGACCCATAGTTGAAGTATAAACAAAGAATGAAGTCATCAATAACCACATCAAAACACCACGAGAATGTACTGCATCGGTAGGAACAGCATTGTTATAAAGGCCAACAGGATAATACCAACAGAAGAATGATAAAGTACCAACAACAATTTGATATGGCATTTCTGAAGTAATTTGACCAGTAATAAATGCAGCCCAACTAAAAGTTCTCGATGGAGCTTCTCTAACTTCATAAACATCTCTATGTCTAATATAATATGGTAACATTTGTTGAACTAAAGTATTGAATGGAATGAAAAACATGAAAATGGCAAACATTTGATTTTGTAAACCTTGCATTGATCTATCAGCTTTAAAGAATGAAAACCCATTGAAAAGTGCAGACGATAACACCAAGAATAATTTGGAATAGATATATCCAGGAGATCTCCAATTTTGAACGATAACTCTAGCAGACACAATAAAGTATTGCTTCCAAAGTGGAGCAGCATATCTCAAATGAGCTTCTGGATCAGTATCTCTTGGTAGCTTAACTAATTCTCTTTCCATTTCATTCAATTCTTCTTGAGCATCTTGGAATTCACTTGAATTTCTCCAAACTTGGAAATAATCTTGTTTGGCATGGGAACCAGGAGCAGCACCAACAACTTGTAACATCCATTCAGCTGGATTTGCATCCTTAGGACATGGATCAGCTCCATACTTTTCGAAATAAGAAATTAATGATTGACAGTTTTCACCTAAATCACCGAAATAAACAGTTTGACCACCTGATTGTAAAAATAATAATCGATCAAATTCTTTCAATAATAAAGCTGATGGTTGATGGATAGTACATAAAATAGCTTGACCATGATCAGCCAATTTTCTCATCAATTTACAAATAGACCAAGCAGTTTGAGAATCTAAACCAGAAGTAGGCTCATCCAAGAATAATAATAATTTGGGTTTGGCAACTAATTCAACACCAATAGTTAATCTCTTTCTTTGTTCGACATTCAAACCTTCACCAGCAACACCAACTAATGCATCAGCATAGTCGGTCATTTCTAATAAATCAATAATGTAATCAACATATTTATCCTTTTCTTTCTTGGAAATAGAATTGGATTGTCTCAAATAGGCAGAGAAACGTAAAGCTTCACGAACAGTAGAACTTGGTAAATGTAAATCTTGTTGTTGAACATACCCAATAGATCTTTGGAAAGATGAATCTAATGAATGACCATTGACCATTCTAACACCATCAGTAATAACACCCGTAGTAACACGTTCAGACAAACAGTTCAATAAAGTAGTCTTACCAGCACCAGAAGCACCCATCAAAGCAGTGATTTGACCTGGTTTAACCCAACCATCAACATGATCCAAAATTACACGATCTTCCTTCTTAATCTTGACTTGATAAGTTAAATCTCTCCATAAGAAAATTTCCTTATTACTTGGCAATTCATTATCACTTGAACTTCCTGAAGAAATACCCTTTTCATTCTTAATAGCTTCAGCTTCATCATCATAACCAACCTTTTCATGAGTTCCGGTATAATTTTCAGCATCAGCAGCATTGGCCTTCTTGGCATCAGCTCTTTTTCTGTGATTCTTCAAAGATCCTCTAAGGAATAAGACAATTTCACCCTTTTGCATAGCACCTTTATTGAATTCAGTCAACATGATATAAATTCCCAAAAAGAAAACAGCAAATGCAATAGTAATACCCAAGTTTCTCCATTTGTGTGCGTTTTGATAGTTATAAGCCAATTTTAAATAATTGGTACCATTAACGATAAGATTCCCTGGTTCAGCACCAACAGCAGAACAAACTCTATTAGCATCAGGAACGTTTTCAAATCCAGGACCAGTAGGAACAAATGTAGCACACATGAACTCTCTATCGTGAAATTCGTTAACCATTAATGATTCAAACACATATCCAACAGGATTGATGTAATTAATCCATCTTGACCAACCAAGCATCTTTGGAGTAGGAATAACAAAACCGGTATAGATAACCATAGCCAATAACAAAACAGTAGCTGGAGTCATTGCACCTGGTAAACTGGTAGAAACAGCCCCAATGGATCTGAACAAATGTGACATGACTAAAGTACACCAAACACACATTAACCAATAGAAGAAGAATCTACCTGGATTTCTTCTGAAATTAACCATGAAATAAAACACTAAATTAAATGACATTGACATCAAAAACTTAACTGGTAACTCAGTAATAATGGAAGCCAAAGCATCAGCAGAAGGACGATAAAGGGCATATTTCTTATGTTTCTCAACAATTGGTCTAGCTTCGAAAAGTGACATGATTTCTAATAACGATGCAAAAGCATTAAACAAAACGGCAAAGAACATGGAAGCACCTCTATAGTAGAATGATTCGGTAGTCTGATTCAAGTTGTAAAAGACCGATGACAAAATTAAACCCATTACCACCTGACCAAAGATGGAGAATATCGTGATGGATGGATCACCTTTAGTTCTAAGAATATTTCTACCCATGATGTATCTGACTTGCATACCAAATGAAACAGTGTATGGAGATTTTGATGGAGTATGTTTGGCTTGCCTAGCAACATGAGCTTCATGATAGGTTTGTTTGGTGTTCAACTTTTCACAATCAATGAAGTATTGGTCGATTTCCTTAGTTAATGCAGCATATTCTGGAGAATTTTTCCAAGCGGCTTCAAATTCCTTGGCTGTTCTTGGGACTCTGTGTTCATATCCTGGCAATGGTTCTCTTTCAGCTGGGTTAGTTAATGAAGTTAAGAAATCAGCAGTGGTTTGTCTTTGAGGACATTTCCAACCCATCTTGATGAAAAATTCCTTGGCCTTATCAGCTTTACCAAAGAAGATTTGATACCCTTCGTATAAGACAACAACATTGTCGAATAAATCATAAGCATCTTGAGAACATTGATAAATGGCAATCAAAGGGGTAGCTTCCAAAACAGCAGCAGATGTCTTTAATGCACGAATGAATTCTAAAGCAGTGGCGGCATCTAAACCTCTAGTAGCATTATCCCAACATTGGATATTAGCACCACTTAATGAAACTTCGGCAATTGAAACTCTCTTTCTTTCACCACCAGAAACACCACGAACGAAATCGTTACCAACATTGGTATATCTAGTATGTGATAAACCATAAGTAGCCATATAAACACTAGCCATATGTTTTGCATAAGTTTCTCTTGGAATATCTAAACCTCTATTTTGTGGGGTTCTTAATCTAGCAGCGAATTCTAAAGTGTCACCAACACTTAAATGAGGGAAATGAACATCAGTTTCAGCAGAATAAATGACATCCCCACGATAATGTTTTTCGATTTCATCAGGAGTTAAACCATCATAAGTAATTCTAGATTCTTTACCGACATGGAAACCATAAGTATTTACAGCAATAGTTTTCAATAAAGTTGAACAACCAGCACCTGGTCTACCTAAAACAACAGTAACTTCACCTGGTTTCATGATAGCATCCATAGGTTTTAAAATATCAAACATTCTTGATTCATCTTCTTTTCTAAGACCTCTTGCTGTGTCAACAAGAAATTTCCATACTCCATTAGTGACAGTTGCTTGATAATCAGAATCATTAGCCACACCATAAGCTCTTAAATCACGATAAGCCATACCTAATTTCGAAGGCTTATAATAGTCAGGATCTGATTCGTATAATTTTCGAAGATTCTTTACCCAGAATTTGGCATTAAATTGGTCGGAATCAGGATCTAATTCAGGGTTGGAAATATCATCAGAATAAGGATTTACACCTGGTACTTCTGACATATGGGTTAAATATTTGAGTAATGCAGCTGATGATTCAGTATCTCTCATTGAGTCATGGGTTAAAGTTCTTGCTAAATCTTGGATATCCCTTCCGGTATCAGTGTCAAACCCATGATATTCATTTAGACTTGGTTCATATGAAGAATCAACCGAGCCAGATCTTGATCTAGGGGAACCTTGTTTATGTTCCGAGTGTATTGATTCTGGCATAGTTGCAGTAGTAGTAGTAGTAGTAATAGTAGTTGTATTTCTATCTGACTGACTGGTAATTTTGTATTAATTTGATAAAAATGTATAATAATCTTCTAAAAGGAAAGTGGGAAACTAAAATTAGAATTAATAAAATGGATTCTGTTCAAAGGTTTAAATACAATTCTTATTTCATTGAAAGCTGTTTTATATTTTTATCGGATTTAACTGGAACTAAAAAAAAGTAAAATAAAAATAAAATTTTCTACCTGCAATTTTTGAAATTTCTCTGTGTAAATTAATATTTATTTCTTGGCTTATGATGGAGGAACAAAAAATAATATCAACATTTTTCCGATTGGATTATATTTTAAATTTCTTTTGATAATTCTTTTTAATTACAGGCACATGTTCACAGAAAAGTTCATTGATTGATTAAAACCTGTATCATTAGTACTGATAAGCTCTACTATGCTTCACCTCTAGCTCTAAAAAGGACTTGAGTCGGTACTGTATCTCCATGTGAAATAAAACAAATGCCTTCCATTGTGTTGATTTGGAAAAATTCGGATTTAATTCTTCGGATGTTTTCGTTTAACCAGAAATTGCGCATCCTTAAAGTTCCGCCGTCCTTTTAAAAATTATAATATTTCATCATTAAACTATACGGAAAGTGGGAAACCCTGTAACTATACGTAATTGTTAGTGGTCATGTTTTGTTTGTTTGTTTACCACTAAGCATGTGTCATAGTTGTACATGCAAAGGAATACCAAGTTTTGCCGGGACGGAATGACTAAACATGTGACAGTAAACATTCCGTTAATAAAAACAATTATTTTTTATTTTTTTCTTGCCATTCTTTTTTTCTTTGAAGTTTCGGAAAGGAAGTAAAAAAATCAATCTTTGAACTCATCCGTGTTCCGAACAAATCATATCCTGTACACCAACCTGCTTTGTCGATCTTGTTGACTCGCACAAAAACGGAAACGAACAAACGGACTTGAGTCATAAGTTTCTTAACGCATTGGCTTATTTTTATGATTTGCGTGTTTATTTTGCAGCGGAATATCTTCATAAATGGCAACAATGGACTCATTATGGACTATCATTTGTTTCTATTGAATCAGTATTGAAGAACTGGGTGGGAATTTATGTTCAGTCGGATTTAAAGGGCCGAGGGGTAGGCAGTTTTTTTTTTTTTTTAACAAAAATGGTTCAAACTTTATTTTTAAAACAAACTATATATGCAGTTTATTGCGAGACGGAAACGCAAAAATTATTTGAACAATAGGACAAGGTGTATTCTTGCCGTTTCTCCCCGTTGTTTAGTCTTCGAAATAATGTGTTATTACATAGTGATTCAGTAATGCCAATTACGAATCTTAGTTACATAACGGAAGTCTTTCCTAAACTGGATACTGCGCCTCATTCCCATCTTCCTATCGTTCTTAAATAGATTTTGAATGATCTCTTGGTGAATTGGAACTGATCAACCCAAAAAATTTCGTAACTTGACAGAGCGGGGCATTTCTTGTATTTCTCGAGCCGTTATTATTCAATTTAACTTTATATTATCACACTTAAAGATTACACTGAAGTTACAAACATTTAAAGCATTATGAATATATATTGGAACAATTTGCATGCTTTTGGGATAACTCGATAAGAGCAGGTTTTTCTGTATAGTTATCTCTAATTATATAGTTTTCCTAATAGATATGAGAAAACATAAAATGAAATCATTCCAAACACACCATACAAGTGTAGCCACTAGTAATATCAGTCATGGATATGTAATTACTCCTACCTAGAATCTTCTTCTTCTCGTCTTGTGAAAAGTAACTGTGGTTTAGTGAAGTTTTGGAAAACTCTTAAGAGACCCCTTTCGCTAGAAACTTTGCAAAATAATCCAATAATTCTTTCAGGGTCCCATATAAATTATTGGGCATTAGGAGCGTTGTGAGCCTTAATATCCCACTCCTGTAAAGCTTCTTGTTTGTCTCCATAGTTCATTCTTCAGATATTCATGCACTTATTACTTGAACAATTGTAATGAAAACACAATGTAACATTTGCAACCAAGTAGTTTGAATTTTTACAACCAATCCTGCATAGATATGTCACATAATCTGATTACATAATCGAATTATTTTTCGTGGTTGTAAATAAATACAAAATCAAAGACACAAGAAGAGAACAACTACAGATCTGATTGGTACTATAACATTTTAACAAACAACAAAGATGGAAGATACTATCGATCCGGGAACAGTTTTATCTGTGGATCAATTACATCATTTTATTATTAGTTTTGTTTCAATTAGCAACAATACACCTGTTTTCGATAGAAACGATGATATATTGTCAGGGTTCATATCAAGTTACAACCCAGATACATTATACATTTGTAAATACAATAAAGACGAGGAATTCAGGCTTCATAAAGAAATTAATGAATTAGAAGAATCGGCTAAGAGTATCAATACCTTAATTATCTTAATTAAATCAAAGGGTAAATTATTGCTGAATGTACCACTTACCAAGCAGTTAAACATCATCAACATTCCCATTAATATTTCAGAGGAAGAAGGAGCAGAAGCTGCCGATAAATCTAATGAACTATTTGAAAAATTACGATTGACTATAAATCTCGGATTGTCACCTTATTTCGATTTAATTTCAGCATCAAATGAGGAAGCTTCATTAGCTACCACCAAGAAAAAGTTCAATGAATTATCTTTATCATTACAACATCTTCAACAAAGAATTCACATCCCCAACTTGTTGATCACAACCCATCCCAAGATTACGCAATTGATTGAGCAAGACAATGGCAATAATGAAGGTTCAATTACGGAATTGCTTGAAGATACAACTTTTTTGAATGAAATTACATCAAGTACCAATAATTGGATTAGACAAATTCAGACACTTACAAGATTAAGTCATGACCCATTGGATGGAGAATCAATAGTGGACGATATTCAATTTTGGAGATCCATGGAAACTGCATTGATATCATTGAACCAACAAATCAATTCCCCCGAAGTGAAATTGACAATTGATGTGTTGAATAAAGCAAAGAGATATCATATTACTTTGAGTTTTCAAAATGACATTGGATTGAATAAGAAATTAACCGAGGCCAAGTTGTATAACTCTTTATTGAAGGAAATACCTATTAATGATTTGATCATTATAAATGAGGATGAAGATTTTTCCAAGTTTGAAATTGCAATTATGAGCATATTTAATCACTTAAAGGTTAAATTAAATTCAATCCCGTTAACAAGAGCAACTGAAACCATTGAGGTCATTTTGAATGATATTGTTAGGAAATTTCAAGAATTATTGGCCACATGCTCGATTATGTCTTTGCCATTGGCAAAATTTAATCAGCTTGTTGATACATGCTCTCAAAAGCTTTGTGATATCATTGAGCAAAATATTAAGTATTTGGTTAATTTATTAAGAGAATTGTTAAGAAAACGTCAAGAAAAGTTCAAGATAGTTAAAGTTGATCAAACAAATTTTGATCAATTGAGGGCAAGACTTTCCCATCTTCAACAGTTTAGATTCAATCATTCAAATTTATTAGATGTTATTGAGAATGTATCATCGCCTGAAACTAAGATTGATTCAATTAATAGACTCAATGAAGCTTACAATCAATATATTGTGCCTATTAATGTGGTGGATATTTCCCATCAAGGTACTTTAATTTGGTCAATGAATGAAGAAGCTTATCTTGCTGTCTCAAACGAGTTAAATTCATCAATTATCAAAAGAATCAATAGTTTTTTCAATGATGCTAATACATTTATAGACTTTATGGCATTATACAACAAGTTTTTCAGTTCTAAAAGTTCATCTGGTTTGTTAGTTCTGATTTATGATGAATTCAAATTGAAGATTTTGACAGTTGCAGAGATGGAGATTCAGAAGCTTATTGAATTGAATTCAAACTCAAGGAATGAAATGATGGATAGTTTGATTACAGGAATTCCCTCGCAGCAACCACATACGACCAAAAATATTGTTTCTGAGATTATTTGGAATGCAAGTTTGATTTCGAAATTATCATTCTATAGAGAAAATTTGGAGAATTTGTTAGGATCAAATTGGAAGAGCTATTCATTAGGTGTCAAGATTGATGCAATTATCAATAAAATCATCAACAGCTTAAACCCGGAACCTATTTTCAACAAATGGATCGAAGAAATTAGTCAAAGTGGAGTATCATTTGAAAGCTTGGGCCCTATACTCAGAGTCATAGAGAGATCAAATAATAAACTTGAAATTATTGTTAATTTTGATTATTCATTTCTTGAAACATGTCAGCAATTAAATCAATTATCGAATATAGGTTATAAAATCCCAGCTTCAGTAATGATGCAATACAAAAAAATTCATCAATTATATCCTTTTGTCGTTGGATTAAGAGATCATGTTAATTTACTTTCAAGATTATTCGAAGTGGAATTGCAAACTTCAGCATACGGCAAATCATTGGGATTTTTGGTATCCTCTCAAGTGAAGAGAATTGAAGAAACATTGAAAGAGGTGATAGGTTCAGTTACATGGATACACTTGTTACAAGCTATAGAATTGCAAAACTTGAAGGAGCCGCTTTTGACAAGAAGTGATAATTTAGTGGAAGTTAAATCATTGAATAAATTGAACCAATTTCAGGATTCTGTCATTCAATTAAGTTCACAATTGAGCAAATTAGAACACTTCTATTGGTTTATGAATACTTGCAAACATAATTTGAAAACTGTCCCTTTTGAATTTTCGCCTATTGAACTGCAATTGAAAATGCTTCAAGTAGAGTTTAATAACTTATTATTGGAGAAAATTGAGCATGTTGAAGAATTAACGGAATTTGTTAATAAGGAAGTCGAAACAATTCTTAGTGAAAGATTACAAGTCCAATTGTTTATTTTCAATAAGAATGCATTGGGGTTCAGTAGTGATGATAATGAAGAAATTGAAATAATGGAACTTGATAAATATATTCAAGATATCGATTTATTTAAACATTCACTTGGGTTTCAAGATGAATCATTTGTACTTGTTCCCCAATTGGGACATGGTAAACAACATGCCTTTGATATTTTAAATAAAATGACATACATAGTTGAGAGTCAAATTGTTATTAAACCAGTATCTTCACCTCCAATGAATTTCAAAAATATAATTGTCGGACACGAATTAACTAGAAATGAGTTTAACTTTGTTTTAGAAAAGATTGAACACTTATATGATGAGGCTGAAGAATATATTGATAGATGGAGGTTATTGCAAAACTTATGGGAATTGAATTTAGAAGATCCAGAAGAGTCATTGAAGTTATTGAATGAATCGGATTCAGTATTGACTTGGTTTAAAGTAGTACAAGATGTTCTTGAAAATAGAAGGATTTTTGATCAAGCAGAACCAGAGAAAAAGTTCGCTCAATTATTTATTGTGGATTTTGGTAAAGTTCAAAACAGAGTTACGTTAAAGTTCGATGCATTTCAGAAACAGTTATTGAATAAATTCTCTAAGAAGCTTGAATCCGAATCAACATTATTTAATCACCAGTTAGTGTCAGGTAGAGAAACACTTGAAGTACCATTAAGCTTCCATTTGAATTCTAAGAAATTGATATCAAATATTGACAATCATTTTGGTTACAAACAGCGATTGGAAGATTGGAATCAGAAGCTTGTCAGTTTCAGACAGATCCAGAACTATTTATTTCGTCACAGATTCAAATTTCCCCCAGATTGGATGTATACTGAGCAATTAGAAAATAATTTATCAATGGTAGCCTCATTAATTGAACGAAAAGATAAATTAATTGAAGAGCATTTAGAAATTATTTCATCAAAGGTAAAAGCAGAAGCTACTAAAGTCAACGATTCCATCAAATCTTTATCTCAAGAATGGGCGACCAAGAAACCTATTTCAGGTAATTTGAATCCATCATTGGCCATTGTAGATTTGGATAATTTTCAAACATTGTTTACAAAATTAGAAACGCAATCCAAATCCCTATTAAATGTATCAACACTGTTAAATATTTCAATCGGTTCCATTGATGACGTAAGCTTGGTAACCGAGGAAATAAAGGATCTTAAGTCAGTTTGGTCTTCTGTGAATGTATTATGGGAAGATCTCGAAAGATTGAAAAATTGGAAATGGTCTGAATTTCAACCAAGACAATTATATCGTACATTAGATGATTTATTGAATGCCTCTAGATCCTTACCAGTTAACATAAGACAGTATGCAGCCGTAGATGAAATTCAGAATTCACTAAAGAATTATGTAAAGACTCATTCAAAAATTTCAGAGTTGAAAGGTGATTGTATGAAACCACGTCATTGGAAAGTTTTGCTAGGACAATTGGGTTCGAAAAAGCGCTCAATGGAGGATTTGACCGTAGGAGATGTCTGGAATTTAAACATTGCTTTGAATATACAAACTGTTAATGCCATTTTGGAACAAGCTAATAATGAAAGAACAATTGAAGAGAAATTGAACAGTATTAATAGTGGTTGGTCTTCAGTCACGTTTGAATTATCTAATTATGAAAATAAATGCCGATTAGTTAAGAATTGGGATAACTTATTTGATCAATGCAACAATGATATCAGTGCATTGTCAAGTATGAAGAACTCGCCTTATTTTGGAAGTTTTGAAAGAGAGATTAGTGAATTGGAAAAGAAATTGAATATTCTATTTGTTATATTAGATACATGGATTGAAGTTCAACGACAATGGGTTTATTTGGATGGAGTTTTTGGAAATCACAATAATGATATCAAGAGTTTATTACCTATTGAAACTACTAGATTTACAAACATTACTTATGAATTTTTCAACATCTTAAAGAGGATATACAAGTTTAATTTAGTTATTGATATTATATTAGTAGGTGATATCCAACCAACAATGAATAAATTTTTGGATAGTTTGACCAAAGTAAGAAAATCATTGACTGATTATCTTGAGAAACAGAGAGAATTATTTCCGAGGTTCTATTTCGTTGGGAATGAAGATTTATTAGAAATTATTGGGGGGTCTCATGATGTTAATAGAGTCAACAGGCACTTTAAGAAGATGTTTGGTGGTATCCAAGGGGTTAGATATATAAATGAATCTTCATCTATTGTGGGAGTGTACAGTGAAGAAGGAGAAGAATTGAAATTGAACAATCCTATTTCGTTGATTAAGTTCACTCGTTTGAATGAATGGTTGAAAGAGTTGGAATTAGAGACTAGATTATCAATTTCGCAGCTTGTGAAATCCAACATTAGTGTTTGCAAGGAATTATTTGTTGCCAAATTAGATACAGAAAATGTGATGAATTTCCTTAGAACGATACCAACTCAAGTTGCAACATTATCAATTCAAATATATTTTACCAACCAAACAGAAGAATCATTGAAAACTGGACAAATACCGCAACAGCTTTCAAGTTTACATCTTTTCATCAACATGCTTACAAAATTGATAGACTCTAATATTCTGAATTTAGAAAGAAAGAAAATTCAATATTTGGCAATTGAGACAATTCATCAACGTGATATTCTAGAACGTCTAATGGGTAGCAATTCGGAAATGGAAAAAAGTTCAATTTGGAATTTGAGCCAAAGGTTTTATTACGATGTTTCAAATAATGATTTGCTCACTAGTTTAACTGTTAAGCTTGCAACTTCCAGTATAACATATGGCTTCGAATATTTAGGAATACCAGAAAAATTGGCATATACACCATTAATAAACGATTGTTTCACCGCCATGAGTCAAGCAATAAGCATGAAGCAGGGTGGGTCACCATTTGGACCGGCAGGTACAGGTAAAACTGAATCTGTAAAAGCATTAGGTCATAACTTGGGGAAAATGGTACTTGTATTTTGTTGCGATGAATCTTTTGATTTCCAATCAATGGGTAGAATTTTCCTTGGTCTTTGTAAAGTTGGTATTTGGGGATGTTTTGACGAATTCAATCGTTTGGATGACAAAAATTTAAGTGCTGTGTCGCACCTGATTGAAAATATTGAACATGGTTTGAGAAATCCAGAAGCTTCTATTTCTGTTTCTGGACGAGATATAAAGGTGAATCCTGATACTGGGATTTTTGTTACTATGAATCCAGGATATGTGGGAAGAAACGAATTACCTGAAAATTTAAAGAAATTGTTCCGAAGTTTTGCAATGACGAGGCCAGACAGTGAAAAAATCGTTGAAGTTATTCTTACATCTCAGGCATTTGAACATTCCAGGGAATTGGCAAAGATTATAGTGCCATTCTTTTCTAAATTAGATGAGCTGGTGTCTAAACAAGCACATTATGATTTTGGATTGAGGGCTCTTAAGAGTATGTTACTTAGATGTGGTGTCACAAAACGAAGGGTAGAAAAAGAAAGTGAATTGGATACAAAAACATGGGAATATAGATTGGTTCTACAAAGTGTATGTGAGACGATATTGCCAAAGTTGGTCAGACTGGATGAATTATTGTTTGAACAATTGATAGAAGAGTTTTTCCTTAATGTTAGTTACGAAGTGAATGATAATGCGAAATTAATCTTTGAAATCGAGAAATTTTGTGAATCTAATGGTTTGCTATATGATGAAAGGTGGGTTGCAAAGGCATTGCAACTATATGATATTCAAAAGTCTCATCACGGAATTATGTTAGTAGGAGAAGCCGGATCTGGAAAATCATCTATCATGAACCTGTTGGTACAATCATTGCTGGTTGTCGAAGAAAAAGAACATGTCACCTTCCATATCGATGCAAAAGTTCTTTCAAAGGATCAGATTTATGGTAAATTGGACTTAGTAACCAGAGATTGGGTGGATGGGCTTTTCACGAGTATTCTAAGAAAAATTCGGGAGAATTTAAGAGGTGAGTTGTCAAAGCGGATTTGGATTGTTTTTGATGGAGATATTGATCCACGATGGGCTGAGAACCTCAATAGTGTTTTAGATGATAACAAAATATTGACTCTTCCTAATGGAGAACGTTTGGGATTGCCTCCGAATGTTAGAATTGTCTTTGAAGTTGATAGCTTACGGTACACTACTCCAGCAACTGTAAGTAGAACTGGTATGGTCTGGTTTGATAAATCGTTGATTTCAGTGCAGGCCAATTTTAGAAAACTCATTCATCAGTTAAGATCATTCAAAGTCGATGTATCAGAAGATTTCGGCCCCATAAATGGTTTTAATAGTTTAAAGAATCTATTTGTGGATAGAATATCTGAAATTTTGAATCCAGAACTTTTGTTAACAATCTCGAAAATTTCTCAAAAGATCGGTCACATAATGGAATTTTCTTTTCAAAGGGCAGTAAAGTCTTTTGAAATTTCATTGCGCTCCCATTTAAGACGCTTGCTTGACTTTGCAACCAAGTATGAATTACCAGATGAAATCGATATTAAGAAGTATGCCAGTAAAGCAATTCTTCTTTCATTCCTATGGACATTTGCAGGGGATGCATCCCAATCTGATAAAGAAAAGTTTAGTTCCGAAGTTTCTCAATTGAATGCCTTCACTCACCTAGAACCAATTACTGGAAATTATATTGATTTTGATATTTCATTACCTGACTGTGAGTGGATATCTTGGAATAGCAAAGTAGAAGCAATTGAGCTTGAACCGCATGAAGTTGCAAGTCCCAATCTTGTTGTACCCACAATCGACACTGTTAGACATGAATATCTTGTCTATCTGATCTTGAATGAGCATCGCCCGTTATTACTTTGTGGACCGCCAGGTTCCGGTAAGACTATGACTTTATTTGAAGCACTTAGAAAGTCACCAAGGTTAGATGTCCTTTCATTGAATTTTTCTAAAGAAACTTCACCGCTTTCTTTAATGAAATCATTGGAACAGTTTTGTGAATACAAAAAGACCAATCGAGGTATTCTGCTTTCTCCAAAAGTTAATGATAAGTGGGTTGTTGTGTTTTGTGATGAAATTAATTTACCTAAAGTTGACAAATATGGTACTCAGAGGGTGATTTCTTTAATTAGAATGATGATTGAACACAAAGGGTTCTGGAGAATTAAAGATCAGCAATGGGTTTCACTTGAGAATATTCAATTTGTGGGTGCCTGTAATTCACCTAACGATCCTGGAAGAAATAAATTGAGTGAAAGGTTTTTGAGACATGCTTCATTAATTATGGTTGATTATCCTGGAATTGCATCAATGAATCAGATTTACCAGACATTTAATTTAGCTTTATTAAAGTGTGCTCCAGATTTAAGAGGATTTGCAAAAGCCATCACTGATGCAAACATAGAGATTTATCAAAGATCTAGAGAAAGATTCACCACCGATATCCAAAGTCACTATATTTATTCACCCCGTGAACTCACAAGATGGAGCCGAGGATTGTTAGAAGCACTAAAATCTAAAGAATATACAAATTTCAACGCTTTTTTGAGATTATGGTATCATGAAGGATTAAGGCTATTTTATGATAGATTAGTTACGGATGAAGAGAAGGGTTGGACTTTACAGTTGTTCCATGATGTCTCGCTTAAATACTTCCCCAATATTGATCTAGAGAGTTGTTTTGAAGGTCCTGTCTTATTCACTAATTGGTTAACATTGAATTATGAATCAGCAAATAAGAATGAACTCAAATCTTTCCTCGTGGAACGTTTAAGGGTATTTAGCGAAGAAGAAACGGAAGTGGATTTAGTTTTGCATGAGGATATGTTAGATCATGCTTTGAGGATTGATAGGGTGCTCAGACAACCACAGGGTCATATGCTATTAGTAGGGCCCAGTACCAGTGGAAGATCTACGTTGTCCAAATTCGTAGCGTGGATAAATGGGTTGAAAATTGAACAGCTCCATGTTAAACGAAACTATACAGTTGAAGACTTTGATGACACTTTAAGGAAGCTTTTATTAAGGTGTGCAAGTGGAGAGAGAGTTTGCTTTATTATCGATGAATCAAGTATCTTGGAAACTTCATTTGTTGAAAGAATGAATACATTATTGGCCAACGCAGAAGTTCCTGGTCTTTTTGAGGGTGACGATCATACTGCATTAATGAACTTGTGTTTAGAAATTTCACATGCCAATGGTTTATTCCTAGATACAGATGAAGAATTATATGGATGGTTTACGGAACAAATTTCCCAGAATTTGCATGTTATATTTAGTATCAGTGACACTAAAAGTGGTAACAATAATGCGGTTGTTTCTTCACCAGCATTGTTCAATAGATGTGTTCTTAGTTGGATGGGTGATTGGTCCGATAGAAGTTTATATGAAATTGCCACGGCGCGTATTGATCCAATCCCATTAGATGTGTCAACGTATTCTATTCCAGCCACATTTGAGCCATGTATCAACAGAGTGGCAGGCAATTTTAGAGATGTTATCGTAGATGTCATGATTTTCATACACCATCAACTACCAAATTATGAGGCAACCTTATTTTACGAAAGAGCACCAAGCAACTTTTTGAATTTTGTTGAAGCGTTCAGTACATTGTTTCATAGGAAGCAATCCGATATGGAGGAAAGTCAACGTCATATTAGTGTAGGTCTTGACAAATTGCGAGAGACGATGGTCCAAGTTAATAAATTGAAGACTGAACTAGCGAAGAAGAAAGATGTGTTATCTTACAAGGATAAAGAAGCAAGAGAGATGTTGAATAAAATGATTACGGACCAAAATGAAGCAGAAAGAAGACAAGAGTTTTCGGTTGCAACACAGGCGGACCTTGAGAAACAAGAGATTGAAATTGAAAAGCGGAGAAAAGTAGTGTTGGATGACTTAGCTGAAGTTGAGCCCACCATTTTAGAAGCACAAAGAGGTGTCCAGAATATAAAGAAACAGCATTTGACAGAAATACGGAGTATGATGAATCCTCCTGCAGCTGTTAAGATGACTATGGAATCTGTATGTATTCTCCTTGGATATGACGTAGTTACATGGAGAGATGTTCAATCGGTTATTCGGAGAGAAGACTTTATATCTAACATTGTTCGTTTTGAGACTGAAACTAAATTAACACCAGAAATCAGAGAATATATGGAGCAAGTCTATTTATCAAGGGAAGATTATACATTCGAGGTTGTTCATAGAGCAAGTAAAGCATGTGGCCCATTGGTTGTCTGGGTAAAGGCTCAATTGAACTATTCTAAAATTTTACAACGAATTGATCCTTTAAGAGAAGAGATGCGAAATATTGAATTAGAGACCAAGAAGACAAGGGCGAAGTTGATTGCTATTGATCAAATGATTCTGGAATTAAATGCAAGCATCGAAAGTTACAAGACTAGTTATAGTGAAGTTATCAGAGATGCTGAAAATATAAAAACGGAAATGAGAACAGTGGAAACGAAAGTTCAAAGAAGTCTTGCGTTAATTGAAAACCTAAAGGTGGAACGAGAAAGATGGAAGCAAAGTGTAAGCAAGTTCGGCTATGACAGAGAACGGTTAGTTGGTAATTCATTACTTGTGTCTGCTTTTGTTGTATATGCGGGTATATATGATCAGAAGGGTAGACTAATATTAATGAAGTTGTGGAAGGAGAAGTTACTTAAAAGTGGAGTCGTCTTTGATGAGAATTTAAGTATTGCGAATTACTTGACAGATTCTAAGGAGATTTTGAGATGGGTGGAATGTGGTTTGACCAATGACGAATTGAATGTTGATAATCTTTCCTTATTGCAATATGCAAAGACTCCTATTGTTATTGATCCAGCATCGAGCATTGTTGACATATTGGAAAAAGCTGACGTGACTAGATCTGTGACGATAACAAGTTTCTTGAATGATGGACTAGTCAATCAGCTTGAAAATGCTTTAAGATTCGGTGGAACAATTGTAATTCAGGATTGTGAATATTATGATCCACTTTTAGATCCTATATTGAGAAGAGAAGTAAAAAGAAATGGAGGAAGAATGATAATTACATTGGGAGACCAAATGATAGACTTTTCTCCAAACTTTAAGTTGATATTATGCACCAAAGATCCACAGATAGTGTTACCTTCATCGGTTTCGTCAAGAACAAGTATTGTGAATTTCACTATTACCAGTGGAAGTCTAGAGAATAGAACATTAGATATTGCATTGAAGGTGTTGAAACCAGACGTTGAAAAAAAGAGAGCTGATTTAATTACTCTTAGTGGTGAGTATAGGGTACGGTTGGAGAGTCTCGAGAAAGAACTTCTAGATTCGCTCAATCAAAGTGCTGGTGAAATATTAGAGAATGATTACGTATTGGAAACCCTTGAAAGATTAAAATCTGAAGCGATTGGAATTAATGAAAAGTTGGATCAATCAGCCGATGTTATTCTGAGCGTGGAAGAGACAAGAAATACATATCAAGAAATAGCCAAACATTCGTCTGCTATATATGCTGCAATTGAGATGCTCGGATCCGTTAATCCATTCTATAGCTTCTCACTTTCCACCTTTATTTCTCAATTAACAAAACACCTCGTGGACTATGGTCAGGATGAAGTTCCTTCATTTATTGCAAAATTATATCAAGAGTCATTTGCGGGTATATCACCCTCATTACAGTTTAGAGATAAAATCATATTTGGGTTGTTATTAGGAATTGCTTACTACTCTGAAGACATTGGAAATATATTCAAAGAATGCTTATTGCAAATCTTAAAGCTGGTCAGCTCAGATTCTAAAGATGCTGCTATTGGGAGGGTGTTTGAAATATGTTTGGTAAAAATGGAAGGAAACGATATTGATGTTGCTAAGCTTTTAGAAATGAATCAAGATAGTGCTACTTTGAAGTTACTCTCAAAGACAATATTGACTTTAAGTGATCCAAACCAAAGGCAAAAAATTGTGGAGACATTTAGTGATATTACTCCATTTTTGTATAGTGGTGCTGCTCCATACAGTTCTTCATATGATCTTGACTACTGGTGCTCTGAAGGCAAGTTTAATTCAATCATTATGACTTGTCCGGATGGTTTTGATGCATCATACAAGGTAGAAAAGCTCGCTTTGGAATCCAACAAGAAGTTAGCAATTGTATCAATGGGTTCAAAGGAAGGGATAGAGATTGCAAATTCAGAAATTGAAAGAGCCATACAAAATGATAGTTGGGTGATTATACAGAATATTCAAATGTCACCTCAATGGGTGACACACTTGGAAATGAAATTGAATATAATGACTTTTGGTCAAGAGGTGAGGATTTTCTTGACTTGTACTAATAAGTCAAAATTACCGGCTGGTTTGATTGCAAGATCGAAAGTGTTGAATTTTGAAACCGAATTGGGATTAGCACGTATTGTACTTGATACTTTCAAATCTATTCCTTCCAAGATAATGGAATCTGGACCGATTGAAATTAGAAGAGTGTTTGTTTTATTGATTTGGTACCATTCGGTGATTACAGAGAGGTCAAGGTATGTTCCTGTGTCATTTAAGAAAACATATGATATTAATGATTCTGATTTTGCTTCTGGTTGTTATGTTATCCGTCATGTTTTTGAACCGTTCATGTCAAGAACGAATATCGATCCAAAACTTGTTCCTTGGGAAATATTAAGGCATCTTATAGGAACGATCACTTATTCAAGCAAAGTTTCAGATGAAGAAGATAAGAAATATTTCAAATCCCTCGCTGAGTATTTGTTTACTGAGAAGTCATTTGATGCTACATTTAACTTGATTGAAAATGATTTGACAAGAGAGTCTCGTGAGGTTTTAAATATGCCCGAAGGGAATTCCATCAGTGAATATAAAGAATGGATTATGAGTCTACCAGATCAAACTCCATTATCGTGGATTGGATTGCAAGAAAATGCAAATACGCTTGTTGATGAGAAATTAGGACAAGAGGTTGCTTCTCGTGTAGTCAATTTATGTGAGAACAGTTAGATATTTGAGAATATGTATAAATAGTTTGTAGAATAAACATTTTAGATTGTTAATGATTTTTTCAATGTAAGAACGTAAAAGTGCTACAGGTTTATAGTTGGAAACGGTCTTGAATATTATTTATATTAAACGTTGTTTCGTAAGGATTTTTATATTATACAGATAGAGAACCAACTATTAAATAATTTATTCGTCATCTTCTAAGGTTTGAGCAGCAATACGATCTAAATCTCTTTGACCGTTTTCTGAGATTCTTCTACCACCCTTTGGAGAAATTTCTAAGACACCGATCTTTTCTAAAGATTGCATGACCTTTCTGTTGATGGAACCGGAAGCATCAGCGTGTCTGTGTGGTCTGAAACCTCTGTTGGCAGCACCACCGTATAACTTGTTTAACTTACCGACACCGACTTGTTTTCTTAAGTAGATGTGTCTGGCAACAGAAGCAGCTCTCTTGTAGAACCAAGTTTCAGCTTCTTGTGGTGGTAATTCATTACCAGCAGAAGTCTTGACAATGTCAACGTAACCTGGGACTTCTAATTTACCTTGTCTTTGCAAGAATTGAGCATAAGCGTTGATGAAATCTTGAGCTGGAACGTCTCTAAAAGTATAACTGTTAGTAAATTTAGTTCCCTATAATCAAAATGAATGCTAGCAAAGGTCGAAAATACTGTTATGAAAGGACATGCAATCTTCAAAGTGTCTTAAAATATTAACCAAAGGTTTATTTAGTGATCACTAGGAATCAGAATGATATGAGTTGTCTTGATATTTCTTGAATACCTTAAGTAAAGGAAAAGGTCCCAATTGTAATATCAGATATTCACAAGTCATAATTGCAAAGAGAGCAAAATCACAAATATGTGATGCTCTCACTATCCACCACGACAGTACTTCTAACTAGCTCCTGGAACGAAGACTTACCTAACGGATACACCTGGCATATTGTCTTCTGTTTATTATGGATTAACGGTGGAGAAGTAAAAAGGGTGAAATCTACAAATTTTTTTTCACAGTGACATATTTTTTTGTTTGTTTAGTAAGAAATTGTTAGAGAGCTGAGAGAGAAAGAGAGGAAAAAATTGTTAGTGCTGAGTACTGCAGATAAGTCTGTCTGAAAAAAAAAGCAGTCACAATTTACACGTGACGGTTAATACTCTGTTTTTCATTTCCTGCGCACAAAAATCTGTTGTGTTGTAAAAATAGAAGTATCAGCACATCAAATGAAGAAAAGGAGATGGATACGTCTCCTACTAAATGAGTGGTATGTGGTTTATTATATATATTTAAATAAAACTTGAAGCGACTATAATTATTTCTAATGGAAGGAAGGAATGAGAGTGGGATGCGGGACGTTGGAGAATTTATAACTTACCAAACGCCAATTGCCTGGCTGCAAACATCATCTATTTCACCCCTGCTAGTCCCATAAGAAAGATTTCCTTTGATGTGTGGAATACTGCTCAAAATCGACCAATGAAGTTTCGACACTCCAAAATGACCTATTGATACTTCTCTCATCTCTTGAAATAAAGGTAATAACTTGAACTGGTTCATTTATTCGTGCTTCCAAATCTTGATACACAATATCATATGTATCTCGAACGCGATAGCTTGGGGAATTGAAAGGCGTTTTATTCCATACAGCTATGTCATCTAGCCTTAGCTGTTGCATCGTTCTCTTTGTCAAATTCTTGGACTCCTTCAGATCCTTGATTAAATTGCCAATATACTCTCGTTTTATCGAATCGTCAGCAAGTGACCAACATTTCTCAATCGATAGTTGGCGTAGACCAGAATATGGAGTATCGTCATATGATGAGGACATTTTATATACAAAGTCGGTGACAAGTCTTAACACACGATGATGTTCATCTGCAAGTGACTCCCCATATTGAAAATTGAACTCTGTGAAGAGACAATTATGCATTAAGATTAGAATGTTCTCTTTAACATTGGAGGGAAATTGGATACTCAGTACAGGGTCAACTAATGTTAATTTCTTTTCCATCAATGAATCACGATTCACCGAGGGAGCTTCTATGGAGTAGGTATCTGGATGGAATCGTAGGGCACCAAGAACGCACATGTCTAAAATCACCTCCTCGACACCTCTGATGAGTTGTAGTATTCTATCACCGACAAATCCCTTATACAACGGCCATGGACGCTGGTTGTCCCTTGGATCGCCATAGAACTTTCGCCTCTTACTCCTTATGGTTATTCGCTTTACATTTCCATTATCAACAACGCTTGCAAGAAGCCCGATGGTGTCAGCATTATAGATTCCAAATTCACTATTGAGGAACAATACGAGTTCTTGTAATATATTTCCCCGTTCGAGTTGATTCATAATACTCCGAATCGCTTCCTGATTACGGAATTCACTATAGTCCAATAGCAAATCCAATCTCTTTATTCTTTTCAAACTACCTAATATACCAGGCGTATTTGTTAATGTTCTCGCATTGATGGCTAGATACTCCAACCGAGGTAGGTTGACTTCACCCAAGTTGAGCTCGACCGATGCTTCATCCAATACTTTCAATGCTTCCAATTGAGGAAAAAGTGAGAGAGTCTCATACTTCAATGTTGAATTATCACATTCTAAATACGTCACAAAATTATTGATCGCAAATTGACTTTCAAATCTACTCTTAAACTGTTTATCACCACGAATGTATTCTTTGAAACTGTTCCTGGCAAGATCTGTAGTTGAACAATTAATAGCATTAACTTCCAACAATTCTCTGAAGAATTGTCTTATATAGGTTTTCTTGTCTGAATATAACTCTCTATTCTTGGGGGATGATAAAGCTGAATCTATCTGATTTTCGCGTACTAGGCTCAAATTCCTAAAGATAACGGGACCGAGTCTTTGTCTGAAAAATGAACAAGTTGACGATAAGGAGATCAACTCAAAGTGAAACCCCTGACAACGAATTTTATTCAAACAGAATGAATAGTTTGGAATGTTCTTGTCATTGACAGTCTTGTTAGAGGAATGTAAGTTGACTTCTCCCTCAGTTAGCCAGTATATAATTTCATCTATGATATCGAGAGGGAGATCTTCAAAATGTATAGGCTCTTTCAATGCGTGACCGGAGTCTTGGAATTCTTCCGATCCCGTTCTTGAAGTGTTCATATAAATGCTGATAGCTATGTTTAGTGGAGTGTTGGGTTTAGATTATGGTTTTGCCCTCTGATTAATTGATTTGCATGACTCAAAAAAAGATTACGGGGTAGGGAGATTAGCGCGTTTCCCACTTTCCTGATAAGGAAATCCTACAACTGTCTCCGAATAACCAATATGACCTTTAACTATAAAAAAACTAAACAAGAAAATATAAAACCCAATCGACTTATATTAATATATATATTATACAAAAGTGTTTAATTACTAGCCGATGAAGGAACTAAAAGAAATGAGGTATAAGATATAAACCAAAATGATACAAAATTGATCATCTAATTTAGACCTTGAAACCCTTAGAGTTTCTTCTACCTCTAGCTCTTTCGAACTTTCTACCCTTAGATAAGATTCTTGGAGCCTTGTTCTTGTGTGGACCGAAACCAAAGTGTCTAACGGCTTCTCTGGCGTTTCTTGGACCTCTGACGATTAAGGTGTTTTGACCCTTTGGAGCTCTTAAAGCTAATTGATCTAAAGTGATAGCTTCACCACCGTTCTTTAAGATGGTGGCCTTGGCACCAGCGGTGAATCTTAAAGCAGCAACAGTAGCCTTTGGGAATTCTAATAATCTGTTGTCATCGGTAACGGTACCAACAACGACGACGATCTTGTTTTCAGCACCCTTTTGTCTTAAAGCACGGGAGATTCTGGAAACAGAAACAGGTGGTCTGTTAATCTTGGATAAGAATAAAGACTTTAAGATGACCTTGTTGAATGGAGCATCGGTACGACCTAAAAAAAGAAATGTTAGTAAACAAAATTCCATACTCTGCTCAGAAGACGCACAATATTCCATTCAGTCAAAGAATGAATGATAATAAAGTACTCGCAGAATGGTTTCATTTTACTTCTCATTGATAATGAAAAGTAGTTATCAACATGGACAAAAGCCACGGATAATGAGAAGGTCCTGTGAAAATAGGGAGTCTCATTCAATTGTACATACTTGTAGTGATTAGCTACACAACTTTCTTATTCTTCATGTCTTGTCAGTTTCTTTACTGACCATGAAGGGTAAAAGTGAAAGTCATTTCTGCACTCATTCAAACAAGAAGTTCCTTCAAATCGCAGTGCCTTCTCGAAACCATAATTCAAAAGCCATGACGACTTTTATTTAGACTATAATAATAGTCATTCTCTTAATGATATGGAATTCCTTATCATCGAGTTAAATTCATTTTGGAAATCGTAACATCTTCTAAGGTATTTTGTTGGACTTGGATTGGGTATTACATACGAGCTAAGAAAGAGTATAACTTAACCAATAACTTTAAGTAAACGTTATCGGACTTTGGAGCTTCTCTGTGACCGGATCTAGCGTGTTGCTTGGTGGTGTGATCTCTACCCATTTTGACTTGATGTTAATGTTTAGTAAGAAAAGTAACAATGAAGTGAAAGATTTTTTTCTATTTTTCAGAAATACAAACTTCTCATCCAGTACAGTGTGAACTGAAAAAAAAAAATTTGTTCGTCTAGAAAATGAATGCGCATCTGTGAAAACCAAAATTGTAGATAATCAGGGCTGAGCCCTAATTGTGATCATGTGACAATAGTCATGTGATCAAAATATGCGTGGGTTCAAATTTGTGTGTGATTTGCCGTTCCCCGTAGTTTAAGGCAAGATAAGAAGATATTTGGTAATCGGTAGTTACCTTTGTTTCAACCAATCAATTATGTCTCAACTCACTCCTATACCAGGGTTCATAAATACATCAGTAACGCGTTCCATTTGCGTGTTTTCAACAATCATAGTTTTGAGTATTTCAGTATTAGAAACCAAACATTATGTTCGGTTAATCATAGATCCATATATAATAGAGTATATGCAATATTGGCGGATAGCTGCTTACCAATTATCAGTCATAAATGAATCCGATTATCTATTGACTATACTATTGTGGCTTCAATTTAAAGTACTAGAGCGATTCTTTGGATCCAAGAAATATTTCTCCATCGTGGTTATGTTTGCCATCTACAACGCCCTTGTCTGTTTCTTGATCATGACAATTGGTCAATTGGTCATCTATTACATAATGTATTACTTTAAAGCATTGATTTCCCATTCAGACCCGAGTGATATTCACTATACTACAACTATTTTGAATGAGGTAGCTTCAGGGGCACTAGGAATATTGTCTTCCTTGTACATCTGTTATGTGACATATATTCCCGTTTCCTATCGATTTTCAATTTTATTGACAAAGCCAAGAGTGCTTCAAGATCAGCAACTACAAACGGGTGAGAATAGGTCAACGAGCAAGGAACTTATTTTATCAAATAGATTTCCAGTACACGTTCTTTATTGTTTGTTATTTTTGAATAACGGGTTTCAATCGATAATAGCATGTTCGGTGGGGTTAGTTGTCGGACGTTTGTATACGTATGATCTCCTTCCTGGGTGTAAATCTTGGTCAGCTCCAACGTTCCTTTTCAAACTTTTCGTGAATCCAGTCAAGAAGATTAATAGTATACTGAATGCAATAATCAGAAGAGTCTCGGGAAATTATCAACCTCTCAATGCTACTTCTAATATACAAGTTACTACAGTTCAAGAAAGAGGGGAAGAGCGAGCCACTGAAGAGCCAGAGGATGCTGATGATGTTTTGGATGAGGCTCAACAACGTGAAAATCAAATCAGGGCCGAGAATCCAGTACGGCCACTAGGTAGACAATTCCTTGATACTTTTAGAACATAGCATATTCTGTTTATTATAGAATCATTGTATTAAATTACTATAGTTACATATTAGCTCTAATGAATTATGACACTTCTTAAGCCTTGGCCCTCTTTCTTCTTTCAACATCCCAATTATATAATCTCGCGGTATTAACTTCCATGGTTGTTATGTTCTCCCTCAAGAACTCTATATCTTCTTTAACAATTCGCAATTGTTCCTTATTCTTTTCTAATCTTTCATTCAACAACTCGGTTGCTTCGTCTAACGAATATTCGAGCATGACTTCAGCACCAAGCCACAAATATACAGAATCCAATTTATTAACATCAACAGTTGCTTTGGTATATAAAGTATCGTTCAATTCGTAATTAGTTTCTATTTCATCTTCTCCATCTTCTTCCGCGTCGGTTTTGGCTTCTTTTAAATGACCTACTATATCTAAATTCTTCTCAATATCGGGGATTTTAGTGTTCAAATCAGCCATTTGCTGCTTTTTGGATAATTCCATATATTTATATTGTTGAAGCCTTTGTTGAAACATTTGCATTATCATTTCAAAATCAGTTTCGGGATTCTTGACCACATTTTCAACTTTGTCTATAAATGGAGCCTCTGGTATCCCACGAGGATTGGTTTTATTTGGTCTAGAAGATGGTTGTTAGTTTAATTGCATCAGAGCAATCGATCGTAGAATGTATTACTTACTTTAAGAAATCGGCCATTGTTAATGTGTTGCTTTTGAAGTAGCCTTTGAAAGTTCAATGGGCACCGCTTTAGACTCAATTTTCAAAATCGGAAGAATCGAAAAATGTCGCATGGTCAAAATGTCGTCGATTTCACAAATAATGACACATACCGATTATGCGCCTACAAGGCCCTTTACAAATACTGTCGTATAAGAACAACCATGTAGTTTAAGAAAATGAGCTTAATCATATATTCCTTCCTATACAAATCTTTAAAAAAATAGAATACCAAAACCTATATACAAATCTACTTAGAACCATAACCAGTTTGGTTTTGTTTTTGTCTGTAATCAATTGAGTTCAAAACTGCTTCAGCAGCCTTAACCCCAGAAAGAGCCATAGCACCAAAAGTAGGACCCATTCTATTAGATCCATCAACTTCAGCCAATTCCATACCAGCAACAACCAAACCTGGGACAACTTCTCTTGTACCTTTGACAATAGCATCTTCGGCCTTATTCATATCGAGACCACGCATACCACCTAATTGGAAACCATCAGCTGGAGCAGTTGCTGGAGCCTGTTGTTGCTCGGATCTTGGTTTGAAACCTTGAGTGAGGTCTTTTGGAGCCTTACCCAATTCTTCCAATCTCTTGGCACAGAATGCACCAAATGGACCATCATGACCAGTGGTGGATAAGACAACGTTACAGTTGATAGTGTTTGGGTCCATACATGATTGAGTATCATGGTTTAAGGCGACTAATGTCCAATTAGTGACCACACCTGCGATTCTTAATTCACCGGTAGTTTCGTCACGACGAGTGATTAAATCTTCAACAGCGGTAGCGTTGAATAATTTAATATTTGGGAATTCCAAGACTTTTGAAAGCAAAGTAGACATGAATAAAGCCGCATGTTTGACAACAACATAGTCACCTTCATCCTCATAAGCAATCTTCAAATCGTCCAAGAAGATATTCGCTGGTTTTCTCAAAACCATAGCGGAGAATAATTGACCACCTAACCAACAACCACCACCTGGGGAAACAGAAGCTTCAATAATGGCAATCTTTAAATCTGGTCTGTTCTTAGCTAAGACATAAGCAGCAGATAAACCGGCAGAACCAGCACCGATAATAACGACATCAGATTCAGTATATTTATCCAAGTCGGCAAAGTAACGTCTGGTCATAGCACGAGAAACGGTGGATTCTCTAATTGGGGCGAACTTAAAGTTGTCCCAGTTGGCAAATTTGACTTTTGAGTTGTCTTGTTCTTCGGAAGTTAATTGAATGGTGTTTTCATTGCTTGTAGCAAGCTTGAAATGTGTTTCGGTAGCAGCTGCTTGTAACATAGTTGGAGGAGCCATTTTTGATTGTATCGAATTGTGCTTAATAAGTAAGCATATATTTTCTTGATATTTCAGGGAATTTTGACCCGTATTTATACCCCTAGAAGGGGGGAGATAGGGGTCAATCTTACTCGAACCTCTAAGAGCATATCACTTATCTAACTTGTTTCACCATCGTCCCGAATAAGCTTTTACGTAACTTTAAAATTAGGGATGGTATCATAAATTTTTTTGGGTATTGTTAAGCGCATAAAGAATGGTTGCAAAATTGAAACAATCAAGAAAAATAAATTACCGGTGAGAATTATAAGCGCATAAGTTACTAAAAGGACTTGTAAGCGCATATTAAATAACTTGGTTTACTTAACCAAAGGGTTGAATCATAATTGCGGTTCAATATCCCCTATAATGAAGTTATGAAAAACCGCTCAAAACACGGACCCGTAAGAGAATAAACTCCCCGCAACTACGTAAACCGTTGGGAGGAAGATGGTACATGTAATAAAAGACGTTATTATTGTAGGGTATAATTACCTCAAACTTTAGTCGCATAAACGAATATGTATTCTTTAAAATGATCTTTAAAATAAATCTATCAATCTATCCATTCAAGTTCTACTTTGTTCATTAAATCCTCTAAAATATCTTTCTCTAAAGTTTTTAATATTTTGTTCTTTTAAACCATTAATAGTTTCACCATTGTATGATTCATCCCTTTTAACATAAACTAATAATCTTCTTGACCATTTATTAAATTCTTGTTCTAAATTATACAACAATTCCAAATTCTTATGTTGTGGTATTATATTAGGTTGGAAATCATCATTTGCAGTTGGCATCCAGAATGCCAATCTTCCATCCACGGGTAATCTATCTGCTGCAAATTGTAATAAATCATGTAATAAATTAGCCAATTCATATGGTTTTTTAGGTGGAATGAAATCACGTCTTAAATGAGCCTTTTCCCCATCAATTTCATGATGCTCTCTACCAGCTGCTTTTTCGGGATTCTTGGCTCCACATACTCTAAGGCCCTCTCTAACTCCATAAGGTGGATCACAAACTATAGTATCTATCACAAAATCGGGACGGAACGCATGATTGGTAAAATCCATAGTAAGAACATCAATATATTGACCAAGGGTACCATATTGTTTAAAGTTCCTTTTTATGTTACATTGTGGACCTTTCCCTTTTAACATTCTTACATCAATGTCTGATCCGATTGGTAATGCTCCGAAATTTGCTGCTGTGACTAAGAAAGATCCGGTACCTGTGAATGGATCATATGCAATTTTTCCTGGACCTACTTGGGCTACATTACAAGTGACCAAAGATAATTCTGCATCAAATGATGTTGTCCCAATATATTTTCTTCTTTTCAATTCATATTTGTCTAAAATATTATTCATTCTAGCACTTAATTGGATTTGTCTACCAAACCAAATATTAAGAGGAGTATCTGCTTTTTCCATTCCTGAAACTTTGTATTCTTCTAATACTGTATAAATTTCTTGAGGATTTTTTAAATCAATAGAACCTTTAAATGCCAAATATCCGAATGATTCGATGATTTGAACTCTTTCGTTTCTACTTCTACTTCCCATAAACCCTTCAAAATTAAACTTGAAAGTTTTATGTTTATATATTTCAAATTTATCCGGAGATTTTTCTTTGACATCATTATGTAATTCTTCATATGTAGTACCATGACCCCATAATTCATATATGCCTCTTGCAAGAATCGATCTTTCTAATATTTTCTTTGCTTGATCATCATTTTCTAATTGGACAATCATAAATGGATTCTTTTCATCATGATTGGATAAATCTAAATGTATTTTATGTAAATCTGCTAAAGATTCGAGTTCTGCTCTTCTGAAGTTTGGATATGCTTGAGCAAAGTATATTAAATAATCTTTCATATCTTTACAGGATTGGAATATGGTTGCAAAACAAGTCTTGTGAGAAATATTTTCAATCACATCTCTTCCCATCAAATAAATCTACATCAAAAAGAAACCAACAAAGAAAAAAAAACGGTTTCGTGCGGCTTGCTCTTAACTATGGGGAATATAACTTCTTGCAACGCAACTCTTCAATTCCTTTGGTATTTATAAACTAAGTGCTAATCTAGTGTCTAATGTAACCAGATTGCTGAATGATCTTGTGAACTTAATCAAAAAGATTTCGATATATTTGTAAATATCTTTTAATTTCCTTGACGCCATGACTAAAGAATTGCTGCAAACTTTTTACCAACAATTTCTTACAATGTTTATCAATTTGCAAGGATGGAATTACTCTTAAAATGACATACAAACTTATTTTCTTTATCTCGATTAATAGAATTCCTTAAATCTGATGAGTATCTGCAAAGTTAAGTTAATAAATGAATCTATGCTTATAAATTATTGAAAACTTAAGTTTATTATGAATAGGGATATCACGTGACAGTAGTGTATAAACCAAAAGTCGTTTCTAATAAATTGCCATCGCAGTTTTTCTTCAACCAACCAACAAACCAGCAATCCAAAAAAAAGGGATTTTCAACAAAACTTTAAAATTTCATTTCCCTTTCTCTTCTCCTTACAACTACAACAACTTAAATATTTGAAAGTAAAGGTAATAAACTTTTGATAAAACTTATAAGTAAACCATTGTTTATTTTAGAAAACAAATTATTTAAATAGAAAAAGTCATATTTTAATTGCAATTCAGATTAATATATTGATTAATTGAAAATTGTAAATTTAACTTGAAGTAATAAAAATCAAATAGATTTGTATAATTAATCGAATACATAGTTTATTTAATAATCTTTTTGTTTAGTTTTTATACAAATCAATAAAAAGAACAAAAAAAATACATAAGATAACAAATTCCTCGAGTGTACTCCCTTAGTAACTATCTTAGTTTAGCATAATATTATATATTAGTCATGTCGAATATTGATGAAGATGAAGCTCTTTTTGAAGATCTTTATGGTGATGATGAACAAACAACTTCAAACACAGAAGTAAAACCAACAGAAGAAAAATCAGCTGAACCAACTCCAGTAGAAGAAACCCAGGAACCAGCAAAAGAGACCGAGGAATCTGCTTCCCCTGAAGTATCCGCTGCCCCTGAGGAAACCAATCAACCTCAGCAAGATGCTCAACAACCCCAAGAACCACAACCAGAACAACAGCAACAACAAACTCCACAAGCCACACCAGATACCGTGCCTCAACCCCCACAACAAGCTACCAATGCACCAGGTCAACAACAATTCGATCCTAGTCAATTTCAAGGCTATCAACAATTTCCAGGTATGCCACCATTGCCCTCAGTTCCAGGAATGCCACCTCAAGGTTTCCCAGGAATGCAAGGAGGAGCAATGCCTCCAGTTCCTCCTGCACCTCAGGTTCAACATGAACCTTCTCAAGTAGGTAAAGATAGCGGAAAGATGTTCATTGGTGGTCTTAACTGGGATACTACTGAAGAAGGATTAGTTGAATACTTTTCGAAATTCGGTGAAGTTAGTGATTATACGATTATGAAAGATACTGCTACTGGTAGATCAAGAGGTTTCGGTTTCTTAACTTTTAAAGATCCTAAATCAGTCGATGAAGTTATCAAAACTGATCATATCTTGGATGGTAAATTAATCGATCCAAAAAGAGCTATTGCTAGAGAAGAACAAGATAGAATTGGAAAAATCTTTGTAGGTGGTATTGACCCAATGGTCAACGAAAAAGAATTCTATGATTTCTTTGCTCAATACGGTAGTATCATCGATGCACAATTGATGATAGATAAGGATACCGGTAGATCAAGAGGTTTCGGATTCATCACATATGATTCACCCGATGCTGTTGATAGAGTTACTGTTAATAAGTACTTATCTTTAAAAGGAAAAGCCATGGAAGTAAAGCGCGCAGAACCAAGAGGTCAACATCAACAGAATGTATTGATGCAACAACAACAGCAGCAGCAGCAAAATTACTATAACCAATATGGTGGTGCATCGTATGGACAAATGTATCCTCAAGCCACTGCGGCAGCATCAACTGGAAACATGTATGGTCAACAAGTCAACCCAGCTATGAACCAAGAATATATGAGATATTATCAATGGTTTATGTATCAACAAGCCCAACAAGCCCAGCAAGCAGCAGCAGCTACCGCAGCTGGACAATCACCAACTATGGCTGAAAGTCAACCCGCTCAACAACCTTTGAATCCTCAACAACAAGCTAATGACCCTGAGCCAGAAGCTCAACAAGACTACAATAATGAAGAAAGATCAAATCATAATGATGATTATGACAACCCACATCGTGATCAAAGAAGAATGAACGTGCCAAAGGGTCCAAGAAGGTCATATGGACAATCCGGTCCAAGAGGTAGAGGTGGTTATCATAGAAGAGGAAGAGGCTATCATCCATATAGCAGAGGTGGTAGAAGATAAATAATAAATATAGCATGTAAATTCTTGTATTACAGTTGACTTATAATCAAAAAAAAGTATTATTACGTATTCTATTAAATATACATATATTATTAAGTACACAAACAGTTTTCGATTATCTCTTTCTACTTGGACGAGCATTCTTTGCTCTCCTCTTTTCTTTAAGTAATCTAGCCTTTCTAATTTGTTCAGTAGATTTAAGTTCTTGTTGTTGTCCTGGCTTATTGTATCCCCTAACTCTCATACCTGAATCAACTGCCTTGTCAACCTTCTTCTTTTGTTTATGGAAATCGTCTCTATACTTATCTGGAAGTCTAGGAGCTTGTTGTTTCTTATGTTTGAATCGTTTATTACTATCATTTCCTTCATTGTTACCAGTATCGACTGAACTTGTAGGCTTAAGATTTCTTTGTTTTCTCCATTCTTCAAACTTACCTGATTTGAAAGTAGCTGGAATCTTTTGCCCACTTTCACCAATAATATATTTCTTATCAGTTGAAGTAGAATTGATATATTTACCCTTCTTTCTATCCCATTGCATGACTTGTTTATTCTTTTGAGTTTTATCATCATTATCTAAATCAAAAGTAGCAGCCTGAGCATCATTTGCAAACGATGAAGAGATTGATAATTGTTGATCTTGAATAACAGAAGCTGGAGCATAATGACTAAGGAAAAATTGAGGATCACGGTATGATTTCTTATTTGATATCTTATCTGCATCTTCAAAAATATCTTGTAATTCATTCTCATCGGCTTGATAACCTTTAGTTTCACCTTCTTCTTGTAAGATTTCATCTTCGATACCATGAGTCAACCCTGCGATTCTTTCCTTTTGTAATAATTCACGACGCTCTTTTGCTTTACGTTGTATAGGTGCTAATTGACGTCTTCTTCTATTCATGAATTCGACAAGACTATTTTCATCCTTGTCATTACCCTTTTTGTTAAATTCAAAAACAGTTTCTTTAAGATTTCTATTCTGTAATTTTGCTAAAAGATCAAGTTTTTGCTTTTCAAGATTTGGACCAAATAATAAATGTTGTTCATCCCATGAACCAGTATCCATGATTTCTTTGCTTCTTTTAAGAGATTCTTGCGAAGCAGCTTGTCTTGTTCTATGATATAATTTCTCCCCCTTGGCAGCAACATCCTTCAACACTTTTAATTCATAATCATTCCTGACTAAATTCTCATATAATTCTTGAAAGGTTTCCAAATCAAGTCTTGGAATTGAACCAACCACTAATCTTTCGGCATAGTTTACTTTTGGTTCAACATACGAATCACCTTGCTTTTTCTTTAAGACTTCACATTTGGATTCATGCATTGATGTCAATAATACTTTTCTACCCAAAAATAATTCCAAATCTAATAAATAAGGTAATTCCTTTTCATTAACAATAGAATAAGCCCAACCTTTATTCCCTGCTCTTGCAGTTCTACCAACTCTATGAATAAAAATCTTGGAGGAACCAGGCAAGGTGAAATTAATCACATTTGCTAAAACAGGAATATCAATACCTCTCGCAGCAACATCAGTAACAACCAAGATGTGAGTTAATCCAATTCTAAATTGATAAAGTTGATGTTTTCTGGCATGTTGATCCAAAGTACCATAGATATATGAAACTAAGTATCCTGCATCTCTTAATAATCTGGTTACGTACTCGACATGATGTTTTGTAGGTACGAAGATGATTGTGGAATGTTCGGATGGTAATGTGTTTGCGGAAGGCATTCTTTCTTTCTTGAATTTGAATTTACGCTTCTTTCCTTTATCATCTTCCTCTTCTTCATCAGATTCTACTTGTCTCTTATCTATATCTTGTAATTTCTTGATTTGTTCAGGGGTACCTAATGGCATCTTAATGACTTCTTGTAATACATACATCAAATTGGCTTCTCTTTCATTCTTTTTGGTAGTGAAGTATGCCATTTGTAATTGATCTGATATTTTACTTTCTGCATCCAATCTGACCAAAACTGGATTTGTTAAACCCGCTTTGGCAAAATCAACCAAAGATCTAGGTAATGTTGCAGAAAACAAAAGTGATTGTCTATTACTTGGCAATGCTGCCAATAATTCATTTAACTGAGGAGCAAAACCCATTTCGAATAATCTATCAGCTTCATCAAAAACAATATATTGAACACTCATTAAATCGTAATCCATCTCAACTTTCAAATGTAAAAATCTACCTGGGGTACAGACAATGATATCTGGTTTTGTCATCATTTTGGAAAAATCTTCTTCTAATGAATCACCCCCAATTAACACAATGGATTGTAAATTAGTCCCATGACTAAATTCCTTGACTTGCTTGTAAGTTTGTAAAGCCAATTCTCTGGATGGAGATAAAATAATCGCACGAACACCGGCGGCCAGTCTCAGCTTCAAGGTTTCAATTAATGGTAATACAAAAGCAGCGGTCTTACCCGACCCAGTACGGGCCATACCCACAACATCTCGGGTTTCCATAACCAATGGAATCGTTTTTCTTTGAATAGGGGTTGGTTGTCTATATCCTTTTTTGGCAATATTGGTTAATAAGAATTTTGAAAACCCAAATGAAGCAAATGATCCTGCCTTAGCCTTTTTGGCAGTTGGGTTATTAGCAACGAAATATGAACTTAATATATCATCACCTTCATCTTCTTCTCCATCTGATAATTCAAGTGATGGGAATGCAGGAGTGGTGGTGGCATTTGGCTTTGATTTCTTCTTTGGTGGTGGTTTTGCTTCCTCTTCTTCATCTTCCAGATATTCAATTTCGTCTTGGATTTCTTGTTCTGAAGAGGAATCGTCGGATGAATAGTCATCGTTTTCCTTTAAGGCAAGAGAACCAGCAATATCGAATCCTTCGTCGTCTGACATTGTTTGTTTGCTTTGATATTCCTTAGATGGTTGTAAGTGAGCAGTGTAATCGGATAATTAATTTTACAACCCATCTCATCTCTCACTTACAAAGAAAAAAAAGATTCGATAAACGAAAAAAGTCGTCTAAAATAAATGTCTCCTTTAAAATATCGTAAAGCTGCAAATATTGGAACTTTTACAGCACTACCAACTGACCAATTTCCTTTCAATAAAATTCATTGTCCCTGCACCGCTGGTTATCCTATTCACGCCTTATGTTTTGGGGTACACTCTAGGATGTAATTATACGCTCATGACCAAAAAGAATGATCACTCAAAAGTATATGGAGTAGAAAAGTCTCGTTATCTCTCACTTACGAACTCCAATAAACCATGATACCGTCAAAAATCTATATGCTAGCGGAGTAATCTCTAATTTCTAACCTTAAATGAATTTTGAATTAAGGTTAATTTTAAGTTAGCACACCTTGCATATGGTGTCATTCAAGAAAAGCCAGAGCCATTATCACTCAAGCAAACAAATAAAGAAGATCCCTTGACTGATTTTGGCAAGCTTTGCCAAACTTTCGGAATACTGTGAATGAACTCTGGCAAATTTTTCCTCTTTCAACGGGAGAGTTTGGTTGATTTCACAGAGATGCACACGGTTTTAAAATAGCCGAATCAAGGACCTGCCTTTTCCCCCCACACTTCCTTTGGTCCTTTGCCTGTGCGGTAATTACGCTTGTGATAAACAGATTAGATCCCATACATAAGGAATGTCATTTATTGATATGTTTAAGCGAGAACCCTATTTAGGGTTATTAGTGTCTTGGAGGTTTTATGTCCAATGGACTAAACACTCATAACCAAAACGTATCTCATACCCAAACAAATCAGGAGGGTGGTGTGACTGTTCGTAATTTGTTATTTCATATAATTTCATCCGAGACCCATGGGAATAACCACCATTAGATAATACCCGATGTGCATATTTTGGGTAGGGGAAGTAAAGCGTTAACTCCTGAGACTAGCCAAATTCAGGTTATTGCCAAATATTATGCCAAGAAACAGTACTTAAAAAATATCAGAGAATAAAAAGAAAGAAAAACTCGTACATAATTTGGGGGAATCAAAATTTTTCATGAAAATTAATGAAAACACAAAACACAAAAAATATATATTCGCGAACCTAAACATTTTAGAGATATCACCCCGGTGGCTTTATTTTAACATCAACCGCCTTAAACATACTTGCAATCTTGACATTTTCCTACTTCTGCTTTCTATTACGTAGTTGGTGGAAGAAAACAACCTTGTTTCTCTTAATGCATGCAAGTGTGGGATTCAAAGTCCGATACGCATTGAAAATACAATTGATTCACGGTTGGCTATTTATACCAAGCTTCTTCGCTTCTGTTAGTCGTCTTAGTGTGGGGGATACAAGACGAAGATGCCTTTCGGTTGTAATAGCGCATAAATGGGGCTTGGGCCCTTTATGTTTGTCTAGGTTTGAAACGTAAATCTCGAAGAAAGGAGTGTAGCGTGCCGAAAGTATGGTGACGCCACACCTTGACATCAGATATGCACATCATGGAGGCGCAAAATCAGGTATCTGACATTCGCAGATCCGATTTGGTCGGCTTCTCTTCCTTCTTTGATGGACGGATCGCGCGCCTTGCTGTAAGGTTATGCAAAGCCGACTTACCTGGAGAAAGTAACACACATTATGAGCAAAAAAAAATACTCCCTGGAATAAACTAAGGTAGTCTAGAGCGAGTACTGGTAATGTCGGATGTATACCGTACTCTTTAACATTTGAAACAAATTCTATATCGATCCGATCCCAAAAGATTTGCGAACTATTTCACAAAATCAAATGGAAATCTTGTAAGGCGAAAGAACAATAGTTCAAAATATTTCACTTGTTGATTTTTCATCGATTCGGTTTGGCTTGGTTTGCTTCAAAAGAATCTACCAGTTTTTGGATTTGTGTGTTGTTCTGGCCCATAATACATAATTTTTATTGTTACGTATTATGCATTGAATGAGAAGTTAGACTAAATTAGATATGCGAGTTACACATTTAAATGATTAAAAATATTTTTCGATTGCATCAAAAAAATATGATGAAACTCAATTTGGGGGGACTAACATTTAATTAAGTCATATCAGGAGATAAAACCTTAACAGGTGGCTTATTTGGACGTCATGATATGATATGTTGTAGCAACAAATAATCAAAGATACAAACGTTTTATAGCCGACATAAGTGCGGGTCACAGTTCAAGTTATAAAACCAAGTGATTACGTAGAAAATATTGTCAACTTTAAGCGGTTCAAGTATTCGAACTAAAAATAAAAAGAACACAAGAGTCATTCGTTAAGCAAACGAAGAAATCCAAATTGAAATAGCCACGTTGAAAGAAAGAAATTGCTGTGCGAAGAATTACCTTCTATTAGCCACAGGTGAGTGATTAAACAAAATAATATGCAACGTTTCGTTTGTGGCACAGTAAAAAAGTAATTCGCCTAGGTGTGTAATATCATACAAGTTTATTATTTAGAAAATACATAGGGAGGAAAAGCCCCCTTGAAATCAAATATTTCTCTGAAATTTGGTCATTCAAAGGGGTTGCTGGACCGTGACGATATACATTGTACATAATCTTGAAAAAAGAAAGTGGGATAACAAAAGAGCAGAAAAATAAGAGATAGGATCTTCGTTTAGCGCTAAAAACCTTTTTAAAAAAAAACTCAATTGGAATATTTTTCAAAAATGATATTTATTTTTTATCTTCTAATTTAATTGAAAAATATTTTTTGTGCACGATTTTCTAATTAGAATTGCTATTTAATTAAATTAAATTAATAATAAATTCCAGATTTACCCAACAACTTTACTTAACAATAAAAACTTCCATTTATGGGTCATACATTAAGTCCGGGAGAATATAAAAATAGCGCGCAATCAAAGGAATTAATTAATTAGCCACAAAGCTATCATGTAGTTGTTACATTGTTAAGTAAATCTTAGCCTCGAATCAAAAAAAAATAAAGGTTTAAACCCAGAATTAAACTTTTTAGACTTCGATTCTTTTTTTTAGGGAGTGTGTACCTCGATTTACCCTCTCCTCCTTTTTTTTTTATTTTTCATTCTTCTCCAATTTAATTAAAATTATTTTAAAAGAAGGGCTGATCACATAAAAACCAAAAACATGGGCGCGAAAATAGGCTAGTTCAACGGGACATAACGAAAAGTCATCGATGAATCAACGGAATATTATAAGAAAATCAGTATTTTCTTGGATTTTCTTTGCTGCCCAAAAATTCTTGTATGGAAATATGTCACAAATACATTAATTACACAAAGTAAGATAATTTTTTTTTATTAAAAAGATTAACTCTCGCTAAAAATGCTGCCTTGCGACAAACTAAAATTGTTTTTCCATTCGTTCCGTCTGTCATGTCACTAGTTTGAAGTGTCGTAAATCTCCAAGCGCATCGACAAACAAGATTAAAAAATACTTTTGAAAGGAAGAAAATAATATTTTTTGAAATACTTTAATAATAATATTATTGAATCCCAAGTGAGATTTTTTTATATTTTTATTTTTTTTGGTTTTTAAATAATATCAAAATCCATCAGGCAAGAATCAAAATGGGAGAATAGAACCGCCCTTTGCAGCAAATTACACATTTCTCTATTTTAGGCTGAAAGGAATCAAAGGGTGAAAGAAACAAAAATGAAGAAAGGATGTACAAAACAATTAGTCTCTACCATGTTACCATTATAATAAGAACTTTGGGCTAAAACATTCAACGTGTGGTTTTGTTCAATAACAAAGAGCAACCAAAAATTGAAATAATTGAATGTTTCAAAATGAACTATGCTTGCTTTTTCGTTTGTTTAACCTACCGAGAGCTTGTCGCTGCTAAGAGAGAATAAAAGTGTTCTAGATTTTCTTTTTGGGGATTAGAAAAATAAATTATTATCCTTATCACCCCTCCTCCTCATTTTATAAACCTCCTCTTTATTTCCTTTTGATTACTAGAAGTGAGAAAAAATATCTGAACATAACATGTCATTTTAACATAACCTGACCTGAGAAATTTTCTTTCGTTTGTTTCTTTTAATTCTTACGTTTACGGAAATGTGTACCTCATGTTCCCTTTTCACACACGGCATTGTTTTGCCGATTGTCATATTACATAGGAAGGTTTGACTCCTTAGCGTTACATCCACAAAAAGATTCCTAGTTGCGTATTTCTAACCCAATATACCCAACAATATCCTTCTTGAACAAGAGTCATTATCGAATGTTGTTTGTTAACCAACAAAGAAGAAAAAGTTATCGCGTTATTTTCTAAGGGTTGTTATTTTTAGAACTTCTTTGTTGTGCACTCTTAGCTACACAATATAATAAAGCCTTGTTGGCAATTTTACCCGAAAACGCAAAATAAATGTACGAAGAGCGAGAAAAATGGGATTATGTCAAAGCATGATGTAATACGGAACTTGGCTATGTCGAGATCTGCTATCATTCGATTGACGTATATAAGAAAGTTCCCAAAAATAGAAAGCCAATTACGTCAGATGGATCGCGTTTGTGAAAATATGTGAAAAAAAAATCAGACATTCTTATGTTCGCTCGTAAAGGCAACTGATTTTGTGAACCAATTTAGACAATAGTACAAAATATAACAATTACTTCAATTAAATTAATAATTTTCTTAAACAATATCTCTACTACCCAAAGTGCAACCTCTTCTTACCTTCCGTTCCGGTTTGTTCGGGGAGCGAATTTTATTGCGCTAAGACTTGGCACAGAACTAGACTTAATTTTGCGGATCGAACGAAAGAAGCTCGATTTTAAGATTTCCAAAAAAGTTAATTTATATCGCTTTTTCTCCCTAGAATATACAAAGCTATTCGCGTTTAATTACCAACCTATTCTTCTCAAAGCTCTATCTATTGGATAAAAGAAACTCATATACGAGGATTTGTTAATTAAATTATTCTTTTTCGATCGGGTATTCCAAAGTTTTATCCGGGGAACTTTATGCTTTTTAATATTGTGACTCTTTCGCCAGAAGGGAACTTCTTGTTTGATTCCCGGGGCTGGGAAGGAATGACGGATGATACCTTTGAGGCTAATTTAGGAAAGCAAAAAAATAGAAAAAAGCTTATCTATCTAGCCACAAGAGTCATGTAGCAATGTGATTTGCCATCATCATCACCTCATTTAATGAATCATGTATGAACGACAAACTGAAATTTCATGACAGGGGTTTAAGGTTAGTTAGGCTAGTTTTCGTTGATAAACTCGTTTCTTTTGTACGCTAGCGGTAGATTCCCTAAAAGTGTACAGTGGTTTTATAACCTTATTTTCCTCAGAATGCAGTTTTTCCCGAATGGTTGAAAACAGAGACTGAGAAACTGGTCACCAAGTAAACTTTGATCCACCCCTTGGAGGGCGTGAATGATGTTTATCCATTTTGTTGAAAATCGCCCGATATTGCTGCTATAGACCGTATACTCTTTTGTATACATTCTTATTCAATTACGAGACAAATGGCCAAGGAGCTTTGGCGGTAGTATTGCATAATGCAGCAAAATCATTCATTTTTCAAAATTTAGCGAATTAAAATTTCAAGAAACTGGGTGCAGCTGTTATCGAAAATGTATTGCATCAGCCTCATGTGAAAATTACATGTTAAATATACTCCCGCTGGACTGTAGAAGGGAGATCATTTATAAGGTTGATCATTTAAAACATTGTGGTGAGAAATGTGCTTGAAGTTACTGTCGAATTATAATTACGGTTAGTACAAAGAAATAAATTGTTCAATATGCAAAAGCCTCCTTGATTTTTTTTTTCTGGACAAATAATTTTTTGGGGGAGATTCATTAAAAAAATAAATATATTATTTTTTTTTTCGGTTTGGAAAATATTTTTTTTTTCGATGATTTGATGCATGCATATAATTCTAAAAAATAAGATATTTTTTTATTAGGTATATGCGTACGCATTATTTCTAATTTTCAGTATTTTTATGATTAATTTTTTTTTGATTTCTAATACAATTAATTAGTTTTAATATAAATATATAAGATTAGATTATTTTCCTTTTAAGTTGCGTTTTTTTTTGTTTCTTCTTTTGCATATAAATTCTTTATTTTAACAAAGTTATCAAATTATCAAACAAACTCATTTTATTTTAAAGGGTCTTAAGTTTTTATTTAAAAGGAGACCCATAACCTATTTATAATACATACATAGTGGTACAAACTTAACATACACAGGATCAAAATGACACCGTTACCATCTGTAGCAGAGTTAATGACTTCAACCCAAGTGTTTCAAAACACTAGACGGTCACCACCAACTAATCAGGGTCCATTACCAGGAATCATAACTTCAAGCACATCACCCCGTTCACCAGAACAACAACTTAAACCAGAACAAGTACCATCCACAGCAACAACTTCACCTTCATCATTTTCAAATTATTCATCGTTACCCCCTCCAGTTCGTAGATTAACGGAGTCATCTATATATGCCACTGGTGGTGCTGGTTCATCATCGTCGACATCCATGAATCCATCTTCATCTTCAGAATCAAAGCTTGCGCCTCCATACATATTAGCTCCACAACCTCCACAACACCAACAGCAACCAGCTGTTGTTCCTGCTATAAACAAACAAATGCCCAATTATACAGTCTATAACCGTGAAGCAATATCGCCAATATCGCATCAAGGGTATCAACCCGGTCCACCACCAGGAGCACAAGCAATGGGAGTTCCACCACCTCCACCTCCACCAGGCATGTTTCCACAATATTACTACTATCCTCCACCACCACCACCTCCAGGATCTATCTCAGGACAACCAATGGATCCATATTATGCCGCGGGGCCACCAACACAACAAGCACGCGGTGTCCCCCCTCAACCTCAATACATGACCGGTCCGCCACCACCACAACCTCAACAACACCCTGGACCACCACCACCCCATGGCCACCTCCCACCGGGCTATTATGTGCCTGCACCTGGTGCATATCTCCAAAACTACCCACCACAAGCATATGAAGAAAACAACGCGTTAATGAACAAAAGAAGGATCATCAAAAGAAGAACCCGGACTGGCTGTTTGACGTGTCGTAAAAGAAGGATAAAATGTGATGAAAGGAAACCTACATGTTTCAATTGTGAGAGGTCAAAGAAGGTTTGTTTAGGATATGAGAATTTACATAATTTACAACCAAGGAGGCGAAATCGGGATACTAGTTTAGATTTGAAGGATGGGGTGAAGATGGAACTGGAACCTAGTGGATCTTCGGGGGATGGGGGACATGAAGAAGACCAACATAAGAGGCAGAATAACAATGGTAATGGTGGTGTGGCTGGTGGTTTGACGCTACCTCCCCCTATTCCAAGCTATTTTCCTGCAAACAATAAAATGTCAGTACATGATTTAATCAAGTAGAAAAGAAACGCGCGATTATGGTGATGATATTGTTAGCATTTATTGTTTAATGATAATGACAATTTTTATGAATTGTATAAATATGTTTTATTATTATTATTATTATAGCTTTTATAGTTTATATTTTATAACATGTATTTCTAATAAAGAACTATTTGGAAAAGGGATTGTACTTTTTTTATTTTCATGTGAATTGTACATGTATGTATGTACGTATGTAGGTTGTATATTACACAGTCAAAAAAGGGGGGTGTTTTGCATAATGCAACAAGCGGCTTACAAATAAAAGGAGTTAACAATACGCCTCTCATAAAGTTGCTGTTTTAGCCGGAATATTAAAGACAATAAGATTGTTTTGTCTATTTTCCCATTCTCTTTTTAGAAAAACATTGCACATACCCCTCTGGAAATATGACTAGGGGGGTGAAAGATATTTTTGTAACCTTCGTAAATGCATAGTTACCGAATAGACAAACAAAAAACAGGGATAGCGAAAAATCATATGACAAAGCATCCTTTTTGGCTTAGGTAGTTGAGGCATTTCACAAAGCGGTATCTACAAGCTAGAAGAAACGAGATAAGTACTGACGAGAACGTGGGAGGCATAGTGCAAGTTGAAAGGCTTTCTTTGATTTGGGATTTGGCCGTTTTGATAGAAGGACCCTGAATGTAAAAGCTTCCGTAATAACTTTTTTCTTGGCTGGCTAATGAAGCTTAACACCGACATGTCACTTTTCCGGGGTAACCTTTCTTTCTTCTTGTGAAATCCCGTGCGAATACATAATTGCCGCAGCATTCAATGATATCATGGCCCTCATAAGCGCATACATCATTTTTGAAGGGCGTTTTGTGTATACAGTTAAACAGCTGGAATACGCATTTCGGTTAAATTACCAAAGTATATCCATCGAAGAAAAAAAAGTTTTAGCCGAAAATAAAATTAAAAAAAAAAGAGAATAAGTTAATTAATAAAATAAATTATGTTCCACTAAATTGAGTTTGTTGCTACAGCTACTCTCTCCTGTGATTATTAAGCTTTTTCCAAATGAAACTAGCTTATGCATATTTTTTCCTATTGTAATACATGAATCACTTTACAGGAAAGAATGAGAGAAACTATGTGATACTTTAAAGTTGTGTGCAATCTGGAAATTTCGGTTATATTTCAGGCTGTGATTTAGATTTACCACACAAAATTGAATTTCATGTAAAATGCATTGAACAACTGTTACAAGTCAAGGGAATCTCGCTAAATATGACAAACCGTACAACCAAGGGAGATCTCGGCATCTTCCAAGCACATATACACAGGTGCCAAGTAGTTCAATCCTCTTCTTTTATCATTAATCAATAGGTTCTAGAACCAAAAGAATTGAAGTCTTTTTTTGTTGATTCCCATGAATTTCTTTTTCTTTTGTGCAAAGTATTTTTTTTAATTGCTGTTGAGTGAGTGGTTTTGTCTGATTTAAACGAAAATTTATAAATAGTCACACTTTGTTTAAATATGCGTCAAACTTCGACAAATTACAAAGGGAAACTATCCTGGATTCTATTTTTTTAGAAAGGGGTTTCATACAATGACAAAGCGATTTGATTAATTTGATATTTATTATTATTGTTTCTATTTATGTTTGCCAGTTGGGTCGTCTTTTTTTTGGTTCGATGAGATCTAACTAACTTCTCATAAATAAGCGAAATAAAAATGTAACATCACCTGAAACAAAGATAAGAATAAGTAACCGATAAGAATTAATACAAAAGTTTAATTATAGAGAGACAGACAGAGAAAGAAACCATTTAAAAAATGGGACTTACGGCATTTCTTTTATATAATTAAATCTATCAGTATAGTGAATAGCCTTACAGTTATCTAGCTTGCTTTTTTCCATGGAACGAGTCGTTTAATTTTTGCAAATTTCTGGCACTCCACAAAAAAATTAAATTTAGCAACAAAATCACAAAATTATAGAGAGAGAGAGAGAGAGACAGAAGAACTACAGACCCTGCTTAAAATTTGATGAATTTTTTCTTCCATCTGTGATTACTCTCTCTAACCAATCGAGTCCCAACCCCCTTATCTCTCTATCTCTCGAATGATAAAGCAATATTCTAATTACAAATATATCAAAAGTTTAATGCCTCTCTTTGGTTGTTGGTTGTTGATTTTTGCGGGCTTTTTTTTTGGTTGTTGAAATACCCGCCTTTCTTTTTTTTTTTTTTTTTTTTTTTTTTTTTTTTTTTTTTTTTTTTTTTTTTTTTTTNATCCTCCTTTTTTTTTTTTTTTTTTTTTTTTTTTTATTTCTTTTGGGTCTCTCATTCAATTTTTACTTTGCAAGTATAACATTGCAACAAAACAATTCTCAACAAATCAATCAGCAACTTACCTTTTACTTTGTCTGTTTAACTTTACAAGAACATTAAAACCTCCACCTAGATTATACACAGACCCCCTTCATCCATCCTCACTCACCACTCCAACACCAACACACAGCATCACTGCTCATACTTATATCGCCCCCCCATATAACAGTAATACCATACATACATACATACATAATAAATAACCATGCTGGTCAAGGCAAGAAAGATAGCAGTTGTTGGTTCTCGTTCAGTTGGGAAGTCATCAATGACAGTAAGATTTGTTGAAGATCATTTTGTTGAAAGTTATTATCCAACCATTGAAAATCAATTTAGTAAATCAATAAATTATAAAAATCAAGATTATGCCATTGAAATATTGGATACTGCAGGACAAGATGAATTTAGTATTATGAATGAGAAACATCTAATAGGAATACATGGATATATATTGGTCTATTCTGTTACTAGTAGACAATCCTTTGAATTGATTGAATTCATTAGAGATAAGATTTTGAATTCGATTGGAAATGATGAATTACCAATGGTTTTGGTTGGGAATAAAAGTGATTTAAATTATCAAAGACAAGTTGATACTAAAGAAGGTGAAGAATTAGCTAAAAGATTTAAATGTAAGTTTTTAGAAACTTCAGTTAGAAATAATGTGAATATAAATTCAGCATTTGAAAGTTTAATTGATGAAATTGAAAAAATACAAAATCCAATTATTAAACGAGATGATAAATGTATTGTTATGTAACAAAGCCAAGAGGCAAAGGCAAAACCCCAACCCCAGGAATGAGATGAGATGACATATATATACATAATACATAATAATAATATTTCTTTTTAAAATATAGAGTGGTTTTTTTTTAATTAGTTAATTAGTTAATTATATAAATTTGGAATAATGATCTTTTCAAATTTTAGTTCAGAAAGAGAACATAAACCATCGCAAGACACTAAGATTAATATAAAACAAAAGATATAACATCTAATATCAAACGATAAACTGTAAATTAACATCAATAGGATGAGAAGCAGATAATTGAGGTTTTTGACTATATTTACTACTCAAAACCTCTCTCATATTCTGTAATAAACTCAAATAAGATTGATCAGGATTTTGTCTCATAACAGTCATAAACGCATAACTCATAGCTCCCGTACTTTGTCCATCTTCTTTTGCATCAGCACTAGTTTGATCATCCTTACATCCACTCATAGAAATAACATCAGCAGGAGCCGTCTTTGTTTGTTTCGTCTTTTCATACGCCTTTTCCGCCTTGTCTTTATTCAAAAATGATTTAACCAACCCAGTAACCCCCTTAATCATAGCACCCGTATCTCCTTTACTATATGCCATTGCCGCCTCCATCAACCCCTCTCCAGCTTCCTGCAATACATTAGGCTCCTTAACAACTCCCTTGGTCGAATACATATATGGCAAATCCAACACCGACCCCGAATGACAAGAATCAAAAATCGCCGTTAATCTAACCCCCTGAGGCAATGTCTTCACCAACAAATCATGTAATTGATCATCGACAATAAACCCATTCGTCTCAAAATCTAACGGATATATAACTTCATCATATCCATCCTCTTCATCCCCATCTAAATCCGGTGTCTGGCCTCCGTGGCCACTATAGTGGAAAAACAAAGAATCATTGGGTTTGGCATCCTTGACCAACCATCCAATGGCATCAAGAATGTTTTGTTTGGTAGGGATGGCCCTCTGGGAGGTTTGTTTGTCATTAAGCATGACCATATCTTCGGCTTTGAATCCTTGAGTTAATAAGAATTGTTTCACGTTTTCACAATCGTTGATACAGCCTTTGAGTTCTTGTTTGGTTCCGATGTAGTTTATACCGACGAATAATGCTTTTTTCTTCCCCGAGCATTGGGAGTATTGATAGGTGTAGTTCCCGACTCCGAAGGATTGGGGTTGGGATGATGGTTGGGTATAGTGACCACGACCGCCAGATTGACGACCACTACCACTTGGTGGGGCTTCGGACGGGCGAGAGTAGCTACCTTGTCCTGATGGAGGACCAGAAGGACGGGAATAACTATCTTGTCCAGGTGGAGGCCCAGATGGACGGGAGTAGCCACCTTGGGAATAGCTACCTCCCTGACTAGGTGGAGCACCAGATGGACGTGAATAATTGTCCTGACCAGGTGGAGGCCCAGATGGTCTCAGATATCCACCAGAAGACCCATCATATCTATCATCATTCCTACCACCGTCATGACGTCTATTGTCATCATAGCTATGCTGACCAGGAGGAGGACCCGATGGTCTACTGTATCTTCCTTGTTCATTATCATTATATCTAGACTCGTGTCTTCTATCGTCATGTCTGCCTTCATTGTGACCGTAGCTTTGTCCGGGAGGGGGGCCAGATGGTCGATCATATCCACCCTGAGGTGCACCATATCCACCCTGAGGTGCACCATATCCACCCTGAGGTGCACCGTATCCACCTTGTGGACCACCATAACCTCCCTGGGGACCACCATATCCGCCTTGAGGTCCACCATAGCCTTGTTGAGGAGGACGATCTCCATAGCTTCCTCCCTGTTGTTGTTGGCTATGCCCGTACGTATGTCTACCTTGTCCTGGGAACATGATTTTACTCAATTATTTAATTGATTGATAATTAACAATTGATTGAAAAGAAGAAAGAAAGAAGAAAGAAGAAAAGTGAAACGATGAATTTACGAAATTTCGTGGTTTTAAGTTTTCCATTGGCATTGTAAAGAAGAATGTATTGAGAAATAATACAAAGAAAAAAAATTGAAATATATTTATGATGTCATCATTAACTAAGACCCTCGTGTCTTAGATATCAGTATTATAACTATAGAGATAGATACGCTAAATAAATAGGCTAATTATTAATTAGACCCTAACAAGTGGTAGCAGTTTACAAAATAATAATAATACTACACGCATAGTGTAAACACAGAGGAAATGTGTTAACATTCACTCCAAATAATTAATTGACACATTAACAAAAAAGAGTCAAGGGGGGAGGGGCAGTTCTGTACTGATGAAATTGATATGAGAGATTGAACTCCAATTTATTATTTATCCATATCAGAAAAATCTTATTAATATTATGTAAATCCCCTTTATTCCATTCTACCCCCTTTGTTTACACCCTATTGTATTATTATTAATGACACTCTGGTTAGTTCCACGATGACTACAAATGAATTGGAACACTGGTCTATATAAATTTTTGTTTGTCTCTCGCTTCTGACTGAATATGAAATTTTTCAAATTTTTCTTATCTTTCTTTCTTCCTACCATTTCTTCTTTGCAACACAAGAATATTACATAGTAATTATACAAGAACATGACAGCCCTCGGGAAACGTAAGAACAAGACAGGGAAGAGTTTGAAATCAAAACAAGCACCCTTATATTCCAAAGATGGTATTCCATATGACTACATTATCATAATTGATGCTGGGTCAAAAGGATCCAGGGTCTATGTCTATAATTGGTTAAACCCAACTGCTGCATTAGAGAATGGAATAAATTTGAATAGAAATAATCCTCTTGAACGAGTGAAATTAGTTAGAAGATTTGAACAACGTGACGACGACGACGACGAACAAGAAGAAGAGTCTAATGAAGCACTATTACCACAAGTTCAAACTAAAGAAAAATGGCATAAGAAAATAACCCCCGGTATTTCTTCATTTGATAAAAACCCAAAGAAGATAGGTAAACAACATTTATATTATCTTCTTGAACGTGCATCTCAAATCATCCCAAAATCACAACATTATCGTACTCCAATCTTCCTCCATGCAACTGCTGGTATGAGACTATTACATCCTTCAGAGCGATGCGTTTAGAATTTAGTTTAGACATTAATAAAGTTTAGTTTAAGGCTAAAGATATTCCCAGATTGTTCGTCTCATGTTAATGTTATCCATGGAGAAGATGAGGGGTTATTTGGGTGGTTATCTATAAATTCCATTATAGGATCATTTGATCATCCTGAATTACATCAACATGGGAATAATCATTCTACTTATGGGTTATTGGATATGGGTGGTGCAAGTACTCAAGTGGTTTTCCAACCAAATACTACTGAAGTGGAAGAACATCAACAAAACTTATATCATGTTTTATTAAACCAAGTACCTAAATTATCAACATCTGACGAAGATACCGAATATTCATCTCCCAATCCAATCGAATTTAATGTTTATTCTGATTCATTTTTAGGATTTGGAATGTATCAAGCTCATAAACAATATTTCAAATATTTACGAGATAAATTCAATAAAGAAAAGAATATTGATCATAATGCCAAATTTAGATCAAATATCCCTGACCCATGTTTACCTAAAGGACATGTCACTTCTCAAATAATAGATGGATATAATTATGATTTCACGGGTGAAAGTGATTTTAATGAATGTTTGAATAATATATTCCCAGTATTACAAAATTCAACTAATGGTAGTATTAATGAAAATTGTAATCAATTCAATGAAACTGCAAAAGCAAGTAGTTGTTTATTAAATAATTCAATTCCGGTGTTTGATTTCAATATAAATCATTTTGCAGCCGTCAGTGGATATTGGAATTCAATTGAAGATTTATTATCATATCAAAATAGCAAAAGAGATAAAGAAGATCAAAAGAATACATATGATTATAAAGTAATATTCGACAAGACTGAAAAAGTATGTTCAAGTTCATATTCCCAACTTCTTGAATTCAATGAAGATAATAAATCCCACAAATTGTCAGAAGAAGAATTATCTGAATTATGTTTCAAATCATCCTGGATATTAAATTTCCTTCACCTCGGGCTCGGATTCCCTAGATTCGGAATTGATGAAATCACAAACACAACCACTAATGGATTCGAATCACTTCAAATGATTGAACAATTAGGCGGAACCCAATTCTCATGGACTTTGGGTCGAGCAATCCTATATTCCAACGACGAGTACGTTCAGGCATATAACAACTATACCACCAGAACAACCAACACCACCGAAGTCAGTCTATTAAAGAGATCAGGATATTATCACCGTTCTTCAGAAAGTCTATATCACTACGGTGCCGAACAGAGTGGAATTCCACCGCGACCAGCATTCATCACCCCAAGAGCCGACCAAACTTACAAGTATTTCGATTATGAAAAATCATCAGCACCAAAACTGGAATTTGATTCAAGTCCTCTGAATAATCATCGATGGTATGGAATGTTTGCATTTTTGAGTTTGGTATTTGTGGTGGGGTGGTTGATGATTGGATCTAGTCGAAGAAGACAGGTTGTTCATAGAGTGAAGGCGAAGATGGGTGATTGGAGAAGGATGGTTCCTGGTTATAATGATTCGAAATATGTTCAATTAGGTCCGGATTTGAATGATGGTGATGATTTGGAGAATGGGTATGAGTTGGATGATATTGTGGATTCGACTAGTAGTAGTAGTAGTAGTAATATCGATCAACAATTTCAGATTGGAGATGAAGATGAAGAGGATGATGATTCAGAGAATTTGATTGTATAGAGACTACTGTTAAAGAATCGTGAATAAAACAATGATGGATATAAATATATTCTAGAATGGTTATATCTAATATAAAAGAGGTCTAAACACTAACTACGTATTTTTCACCCTTTGCCCCCTTATTTTCTAAATCCTTCAAGGCTTCATCAATAATATGAAGTCCTCCTTTATATTGTCGGTATCTAACGGGTTTTATCTTCTCGGTTTCTAAATAATCCGATGTGATCTCTATAAACTCCTTCCCAAATGAAATATCTTCATGAAATCTCTTAATTATGACTTCTTTTATTTCGACGGATTCGGGATGTTCTTTTGGAACACCTACAATCCCGGCAAATTTGGCTTTGTTATCATCAGTGTCGTCCTTCTTATGAACCAGATCGAGTATATTTAAAACAAGAGTGGATGTTTGTTTGGAAACGCAATCAACTCCGTATTGTATCCCACCCTCACCTGCGACCTCTTTTACCTTTTCGGTGATTTCTTCTTCAGATAAATGACGATCAATCAAATAATCAGCTCCTAAACTCTTAAGATATTTCTCATGAGATAATCCAGCAATTGAAATAACAGTCAATCCATACAATTTAGCCAATTGTGTAAGATAAATTCCAACAACGGTAGCCCCACCCCAAATCAATATGCTACCCCCCTTTAATTTCTTCGGATCTTTCGCCAACTCAAATCCAAAACTATTAAACAATATAACACCAGCAGTCACCAATCCGACTCCAATAGTAGCCCCATCCTCATAACTAAACTCTTTTGGCAATTTCCATACCAATCTAGAATCAATAGCGGTATATTGTTGAAACGTGGAGGTTCTGGTATCTCTGTAACTAGTGGAACTTACAATCACATCATCGCCAATCTTGACATCAGTGACCTGTTCACCTAATTTGACTACGGTCCCACTACTTTCACGACCATTTATCCAGGGGAAATGATAGATTCCAAATCCATATTTCTTTCCCTTCCAATCAACGGGATTGAGACCGATGGCTTTATTATGAACAAGAATTTCATGAGGGTGGAGGAGTTCTGGGATAGGATATTCGGTTTGGAGTTTGAGTGGTTCTTTGAAGTCGGTGACGGAGAGGACTGATTGACTTTTTTTCATGAAAGAAACAACTGTGGGTTGTTGAGATGATTTCTTCTGTGATCTTTTTGGTGAGGTAGGTTGTTCGTCATCGTCTTTGAACGTTACTATTTTCTTGACTTCTGAGTTGTTTGTTTTCAATCTCTTACGAGAAGGTTCTTGGGTTTGAGTTATAGTCACCATGTTTGGCTGGGGTTGAGAGTGAAGGAGTGAAAAAGTTCTGAAACGGAAATCAAAAGAGAAAACAAAGGAAGAGAGTAATCTAAAAAATCTTGACTATGAGATCTTCATAAGATATTTATATTATTCATTGGCCACAGCTCCAGGATAAAAAATTTTCATTGGAGAGCGTGGTGGGTGGGAGAATAAACAAATTAAGATAAAGAAAGAAGACACCGATAGCTAACGCTTTAAAAACTCAAAAAAAAAGTCGCGAATAAAAAATTAGTAAGGAAGGTTCCACAATTTTGAAGCGAAACGTGATATTGATAATTACACACAATTAAATGTTGTCATTACACTAACAATAATATTTCTTGACGATAATAAATAATGCGGATATATGCACCGAAGAAGAACGGATTATCTGATTGGCTAGAACTCTATGGTTTATACTTAGCAAAACAGACACTACTATTTACACCACCAAATCCAAATGAATTACACATTGCATATTCAACATCCATAGTTTTTGATTTATTAGCAACATAATCAAACTTAAATTGATTAGCATCATCATCTTTATGACCACCAACATTTTCCAAATTCAAAGTAGGTGGAATTTCACCAGTTTCAATTGCTTTAACAGTATATATCGCCTCCACTGCCCCCGCGGCACCCAACAAATGCCCAATCGACGATTTTGTAGACGAAACGGTCAATCCATCAGGAAATAATCTCTTCATGGCATTATTTTCCGCCCGATCTCCAATCACAGTCGAGGTCGCATGAGCATTCACATAATCCACTTCTTCGGGCTTAATCCCACTTTTTTTCAACGCCTGATTCATGGCATTATATGCCCCTTCTCCATCTTCACGTGGAGCAGTAATATGATGCGCATCCCCGGATAATCCATATCCTATAACCTCCGCAAAAATATCTTTTTCCGTCAATCCACGAGCTAATGCATGTTCTAATTTTTCAATCACTAATATCCCAGCACCTTCACTCAACACAAACCCATTTCTATTGGCATCGAAAGGACGGGATGCCTTGGTTGGTTCGTCGTTGAAATCAGTCACGACTGACCGGGCCCTGGCAAATCCTGAAAGTGCAAGCGGATGAATCGAGGATTCGGTTCCTCCACATACCATGACATCAGCATAATCGTTCCTGATGAAATTGTAGGCGTCTCCAATAGCTTGTAATCCAGTTGCACATGCCGTTGCGACGGAATGAAGTGGTCCTTTGAGTTGATACTTGATGGAGATGTTCCCGGCTGCCATGTTGGTTAATAATTTGGGGATAAAAAGTGGCTGGGTTTTCTTGTATCCGCCATTAGAATATGCTACTGAGTTGTCATAGGCGTCATGGAAAGAACCAATACCACTGCCTACAGCTACTCCAATTTTCGTAAGATCTGGAATTGTAATTTTTGAATCTTGGAGAAGTTTTGCTGATTGGAGAGCTTCTGTGGTTGATGCAATTGCATATTGGGAGAATAATGCGAGTCTTCTTGCTTCTGCTTTATCGAAATGATCTTCAGTTGTCCATTTATGTTCCGATATGGGTCCTTCGGGGACTTTTCCTATGACTTGGGACGGGATCTTGTTCCATCCTTGAGATTCATATTCGGGAAGAGTGGATGTGGAGATGAGACCTGATTTACCTGCTATAAGTTGTTTCCAATTGTGCTTGAGACCTACTCCGAGGGGACTTATCATCCCCATACCCGTAACCACTACTCGTGTCATTTACTGTAGTATTATAAATAATATATATATGTGGTGTCTATAAAAGATGGTTAAGAAGAAGTAGAAGAGATTTGTGCATTATAACAATTGAATCTTTTTTCATCACCAACTAAAAAATTTATTTCATTTTCCGCAATTTCCAAATCGATATTATTGATGTTTAATAATTGAATCCAATTATCAAAGTATGATATATTCTCATTATACTTATACGACCCACCTTTAAGATTACATTGTTTAAGATATTCATTCAATCTCGTTACTTTTAAATTTTCTTTCTTCTGCCCCTTCCCCTTCCCCAGATTTTCTGATTTCTTGTAATTCCGCTCATATTCGGAAAAATCATTGATGAATTTCTTAAATTTTCGAAACACCAATTCTTTCACATTATTCGTCAATTGAATCAGGTTTATATGTTGATAATGATCATTATAAAAGCTTTGATAATATGAATCCTTGACTGCTGATTTATTTTCCTGGAGAAATTTAAACAATAGTAAAGTAGGAGTAGGGAACCTGCCAACAACTTCCTCCACATCATCTTCCTCTTCGTTTTGCTCTTCCAGTTGAATCTGATCTCGATCTTCACACCATTTCTTAAAGATTTCTTCTCGTCTTTGTTTTGATCCAACAGAGTAGAATTCAGGATATTTTATAAACTCAGTAATGTTTTCATCTTCAATTAGATCCCAACTATCATATCCAGAATATTGGCTACAATGCTCTTGGAGGAATGTAATAAACTCGGTTACGTCACTTAGCTCAGTTTCTTCATGTTAACTATTTAGTTCTGGACTTAAAAGAAGAAGCGGAAGACTTGACCTAAGCAGAGAATGGAGATGGTTCTGCTGTTGCTGCTTTGTCAATTCAATTGCTTTTATTGCGATTTCGTCAAGATCTATTTCAGTCAGTTCTTGCGGTGCGACTGGGACTTCTTCTGTTTCTTCTTCTTCTTCTTCTTCTTCTTCTTCCTCCTCACTTGATGAATAATATCCTTGAAGAATTCCCGTGCTTGGAGCCAGTCTCTCAGTCTGGTCTATTTCTTTATCCTCAGATCCGTGGGTAGCATCCTCTTCGTCGTGTCTGTCGACAACCACCTCTTCTTCATCTATGTTCCTGTCAATAAACACCTCCGTCTCTCTTTGAACGTCTACTTCCTCCACTTCTTCCTCTTCTTCCTTCTCTTCGATTTTCTTATCTTTCTTACCTACCACCCGCAATCCCCTGGCTTTTGCAAGCAATAAAGCCAATTCGTCGAAATTAACACGTTGTAAAAACTCATCAATATTTAGGTTGTAAGATTCTGATAGATCAGACAATTGCCAATATGAATTGCCATCTTTAGAATTGAAATAGAAATGATGGGCAGTTGTGGTGATTACGATATACCAATCTCCATAATTCGGAATTGGATATATGAATTGGGGTTTCATCTTTATAGGTATCTCCAGGGTATTGATACTTTGATAATCCCATCTGATGTAATGCATTTTTTGTCAAAATTCCACGACCTTACTCAAAGATGTCAGAATTTTGAAAGGTCGTGTAGGCTGTGCAAAATCCGAGCAAGTTTAGATTTCCAAAAAAAGCAACGTAACATTTTTTTCAGGCTTTTTTTTTTCGTTCGCAGGCTTATAAAACTGAAGTATTGTTAGAATCCGGGTCAACCCGATAATTATTTGCACAATAATGAAGATTTTCTTGAACAATTATAAATGGACCTTGATGGAAAATTTTCATTTGCAACAAGCAAGTTGCCGTTATCCGAGGAAAGGAAAGCCTCGTACCTTATCCTGAAAAGAAACAACACTTTCCACGGAACCATCTCATCTCATCTCAAGTAACTTAAAAAAGATAATAGGAGGGGAGCGAGTCAAGGAATTAATAAACTTCGATTTTTTTTGATGTTCCATCGAACAATTTATGATAACGAAAAGGAGGAATTCTCAGTTTGGAAATACATAGCGAGATCGCCAAAAGCCATTAATTATGACTTCTTTTTTTTAAAAAAAAAAACTCTGATCGAAAGACCGAAAAAGAGGCGGGGTGGAACAAGTTTATAGGTGAATGTGTCATTCAAATATTCAATTCGTCGTAGACACTCGGTTGAATAATTATCCTGATATCAAAAAATATTGACAATTCTGTATTGTCCCGTTATAAAAAAATATTCTCTGATTTAATAATTACCGCAGGAAGAATTGAACTTTTTCCGAAATGTCAATTGAATTATCCTCGCATAATGGAAGATCCATCATTGGCTGTCAAAGAAGACTGTCAGAATCCTCGGGAGAAAAGATAACCTGATAAGAAATAGAGTCATTGTTTTTCTTGTAGTATCCCAGTGTCAGGTCGGTCGCCTCACATCCCCCCTCCAATCAAATTTCTAAAATTATCTTTCTAAAATTCCATCATGCCGAAATACACAGCTCTGGGCAAAAAAATATGAGCCGCACCCCTCCTTTCACGCGAGAATTGTGTGTCTTTTGACTAAACGCCGGTTTAGCTAACAATTCCTTAAAAAATATACCCATACTAACTAAACAGATTTCCGCAATTTTAAGTTATTGGTTCCATTTGCATTTTCCGGTTAGTTCGAACAAAGGTATGAAAAGAATATGTTGTTGCAAATTTCAAATTTAGTCATTCATTCAAGAAAAAACCTTAATCTTTTGCACGGCAACACATGAGAAAACCTCCCTTTCCCCTTCCCCTCCGTTATACATAAACCAAAAGTTTCATATTCATCTCTTAGTAAAAATAACAGATAGTGGCTGAATGCGATGACTTTATTTGAACCAATTTCAGTTTCATTCTCATCCCCGGCTTATATATCCGTTGGGATTACGAACAATTTCATTGTTATTTTGTTTGCACAGTGGCAAAAAACGTATTATTATACTACTTAAATGCACAAGCAAAAATAAAATATTTTTTAAATTTTCTGGTACTAGATCCGCGCTTCCATCCATCCCCCCCTCCCCCCACAAAGGAAGAAATCATCGGCTTGACTGAAAAAAAAAAAAAGAATCCCCACGGGGATTTTGTGACAATTTTTCGTAAATCCTACGTGTGAAAACCAAAGAGAGAGAGTCTTAATTGAATTTATACTATAATATATTTGTATATTTTGTATAATTAAATAGAACCATAAATAACATAAATAACATAAACATAAATAAATAAAAATCTAAATTTCAATCAAATTGTAAAATAAAAAGATTTGAAAATAAAATAAAAAAGACACACGCCAAATAAAACCAGAATCCTCGGTATATTCTTGTACTCATTCTCTCTCATTAAAGAACTCATTGTTCTTTTGTTACCAAATAAAAAAAATAATTTAATTACTTTTTTTCGACTATATGCAGTAAGTAACTAAGTTAACTAACTTACTAACATATTGACTGATATTTTAAATCGTTTTTGGAAAGTAGTTGGACTTCCAGCCGCACTTGTAGATGTAGATGAACTTGTAGGTGGTGATGTAACTGGTACTGATACAGGTACCGCCACTGTTAATGGAGCAGTATTGGTTGTGACTCTTGTAGTTGGTGGGGTGGGTGGTGTAGTTATATTATAATTCTTTGCATAATCATCATATCCTTCGGTACTTGTGGTACTACCATTTGAACTAGAAGAAGAATTGCTTATTGACATCAATTCAGCTGAACCAACACTAATACTACGACCTCTTTTATCGTTAACATTGTTGTTATTGTCACGTTTATAACTCTTCCTAATCCTACTAACTGCCAATTCACTTCCTTGATGTAAATTTTTCGCATGCCTCAATAATAAATCCCGTCTACTAAAGGGCCTCGAACATATTCCACAAGTGAATGGTTTTAATTTATTATGAGTAGATAATGTGTGTCTGGTTAAATGTTCTTCTCGTGTGAATGCCCTCAGACAAGTCTTGCAATTGTATATTCTTGGGTTCCCACTAGGGGTTTTAGTTCCATAATTCTTACCTGCTGTAGTGGTGGTTGGTGGGGTAAGCAATGGTACATCACTGTCTGATGATGAACTATCAGTTCCTGTTGTTGTGGCTACCAATGATCCTAAGATTGGTGATACTGGTGAATTTGGTGTACTCATCTTCGTATGTATACTTGTTGTATGTGTGTCTTAATATGTAATGTAAGAGAGTTTGTTAAATATTAATAAATAATTAAAATAAATAAATAAAGCCAATTAAAAGTTTTGTTAATTAAAAATGTAATAAATGAAAATATAGATATTACTCAAAAAGAAGAAGAGAGAGGGGGGGAATGAGTATTTATATCGAAATCATCATCGGTAGTAGAACTGTATATGTGCAACAACCAAATAAAGAACAAACTCCTTTTTTTTTTATTTTATTTTATTTTATTTTTCTATTTCTAAAAGATTATTATAAAAATATTTTTTATATTTCGAAAAACAAAAGGTGGGGGTGATTCAAAAATATTTTATTTTCTTCTTCTTCTTCTTTCTTCTGGTAGCCTGTCTGTCTCTTTTTTTTTTTGGTTCGTTTTCTACCATACTGTACAATTTTTTTTCGACTTTAAGAAAAACAGCTCATTTTATTTTTTGCCGCTTTCCTTTTTCTGTTACAGAATCCAATAGAAAAAATATCGGGAAGAGGGTTCGTTAAAAATCTTTTCAAACGTCTATAAAAGATTTCCGTATTTTTTTCCCCGGAGTTTTTTAGCCAAAACATCAGGGCTTGTTCACCATGACCTGATAAAGTGTTGTAAATGCCATAGATGTCAACGATAGTCAACTTGTTCCGAACTATAAAGGGAAGCTGAATTCTCATCAAATGATTTCGAAAAAATGAGTTTGCATCAATGGTTGCAACCCCCCTTCCCCACCTCCCCTCGTTGAACATTTCGCAGCTTTTCACCATCTGTACCATTTCCTAACCCAATTGACATTGGCTGGAATCGCTTGCTAATAGTTTAAATTCGTCAAAAGTCCAGCTTACAGTACCCTGGCTATTCCGTTCATAGTGGGGTCGTGGCGGACTAAACCATTACCAAGATTGATTTGAAAACGGAAATTCTCTTTCTAAGAATTGCCGACGTGCTTGTCGGACGTTCTGGAAGATGGTTGGTAACCATGTCGAAAACAACCAACTTGAAAGGCATTACTAAGAGCCGGATGGGGAATGATTTTGACTCGAAAAAGGGTTCGAGAAAAGCTTCGTGCATTACCTGCTCTGGGGAAGATAATTCTGGCTTGAAACAGTATGAAATGTCTATGTAGCACCCGGCTTTAGTCTCTTCTATGAAGCAGACCTATCTTAGATAAAGAGATAAATGATGATGTAGGTTATAAAAAATGTTTATTTGGAATATTAGGTTGTAAAGAAATATCTCAACCAAGTTTAAAAAAAAAAAGTTTAGGGTTATACGTTTGAATCTTAGAAGAAACCCCGGGGATGATTACGGATATGACTCGAAGTCAAAAAATCCTATTCTTTTAAAAAATATGTTTCCTTGTTTTTTTTATTAGAAAGGTACCTTTTTAAAATTCCATTGTTATTATTAGTCAGAAAAAAAAAACCTAAAAAATATTGACGTTGCGAGGTCCGAAAAAAAACCGAGTGAAATTGACCAATTAAATTACGTTATTCCTCGATTATGCTTAGTAACGGTTTTCTTTTTTGTTTCGATTGTTTACCTTCATATACGTTGCCGTTTTACATGCCAAGAATGTTTTCTCTAATATAGAAGATAAGCAACAACCCAATGATTGATCTGGTAATAATAACAATGGTTTGGGGCGAAGTTCCATGGATATCGGTCCAATCCAGTCGGCTTCAAAATTTTCTTCCCAGACAAATAGGCAGAATCTCTCTTCACATTCTCTATAACCCTTCTATATCATTGAGCGGCCATAACCACTTTAGACATGTACAGTAAAGCATGTACAGCAGTGGTTCGATCTTTGCAACGGGACATATTTTGCTTGGCGAAGTATTTTCCCCCCCCCCACTGTGGTTTTCTATTAGGTTCGTATATTTGCATGGGGCAGTGAACTACATGTATCTAGATTGGAAAATCTTTTGTGGGGAAGTCGGTGCTCTCTCTAATGGGTTATGTCAGTATTTCAATTTTTCAGATTTAAACTTTTCGAATCATCTCGGGAATACTTGCATAGTGACCGGGTTAAGACTCCGTCTACCGTCTTGGCAAAACCATATCTATGTATGAGAAGACTTGGTATAAGTTTCCTATTCAATTGCAAAATCAAACAGTTGTCGAAGTCCGAGATCGAGGCCGAAAAAATATTGGATTGGCAATATGGATGCAGAACTTCCAATCTTTTGACAACATCTTACAGCTGTTACGCAAAAAACCAAAGTCCGAAAATCTAGTTGTTATGAAACCAGATGAAGAGGCATTTAAGAAAACCCCAAGAAGATTTGTAGCTTAGTCAAAACCTATCGGAGCCGATTTTAGCGGCGGGGGATTAACCTCTAGTATTTCGATTTTGAGGAAGCCCTGATGGGACTGGGTTACTTCTCCACTATTCCGGGATTGTATATAGGAGAAAGGGGTAGTCATTCGCAGTCTATCCATCAGATGGTTCAAATGAATCTACATGGACGCCTCCCCGTCTGCACCGCAAATGTAAGTCGAAAGCATTAACGAGAAGCTGTTCTTGATACCCTGGTCTCGCGAGAAATTGCACACCCAGGAATCTTTTTACAACTTTACTTCGATCCCAAGCTTGCATTTCGGTTTTCAAATTGTGGTTTCTGTAAAGATCGAATTCTGTGAAACCCAAATCTAAATACAGTTTTTTGGTTATAGCAGGCGAAAACGCTAAACGCTCCTGCCGCTCGTGCACGTGATTAATGGCAAATAATGTCGTATTATGTCGTGAAATATGAATGTCGTCATCTGTCATTTATCCCACACTCCTAAAAAAAGCTCACCACGATACTTATCAACACCCTTATCAACTTTTGCCTCATCTTTTAAGTGCCAATTGAAATGATATAATGTCTTCATATGATCCATACAAAGAAGGTGATCCATCACTGTCGAGACGAGATATGTCTGAGAACAACAACAGCAACGCACAATCAGATAACAACAACTTTTCAATAAACGCGACTAATCAGAATGATACTTTCTTATCGCGGATCTTTGGGTTGAATTCCATTTATAATCAACTACAAGAGAACTACCAATACTATGATCCAGAGTTTGAAAGTACATATCAGCAACAACAACAGGTCCGACTGCAGATTACGAATGAAGAAGAAGGACCTGTAGGTGGTAGGGAAGAGGATGATGAATCGTTATTACCGAAACTGCTGCAGATTCCCATAATTGAGAATAATGAAGATATTTCTAAGAAGAAAGGAGCAGGAAGCTTACTTGATTCAGAATCTGATTCAGATTTGTCTTCATCTGAAGAAGGATCCTATATAAGACCAAATCAAGCTGATTTGGAACAGGGTATGGGAACAAAATTGAAGTTTGACCTTCCCCACAAGAGAGCCGTTAATAGTAGTACTGAGTTGGGCAATATAAGGTGAGGACTTGTTATAGCTTTCGGTGGTTGATCCTTTAGTTTTGCTAAAAATAATAACTATGGAAAGCGGGGAGGTTCAAATAGGATAGTCATCCCTCCAAAAGAGAGGGCATTGTATCTTTGGGCAAATATCACAAATATGGATGAATTTTTGAGTGATGTTTATTATTATTATCGTGGGAAGGGCATAGTTAATATTGTTTTGACTCGAGTTATAGATTTATTAATCCTTGTTTTCATTTTGTTCTTTACTGTATTTGTCAAATGGGGAGTTAATTATGATTTATTTATGGAAAGCATGGGGAAAGAAGGTAAACATATGACATTGAGTGATTTGATAATACCAGGATATTTGAGTCAAGTACCCCTAGTTGTAAAATTCTTTTTGTTTGGTTTCGGATTATATGTGGTTCTAAGAGTAATTCAAACTTATTTCGACTACAATTATAAACTCAAAGAAGTTAGGAATTTTTATTATTATTTGTTGAATGTCACCGATGAAGAATTGATGACTATTAGTTGGAAAACTATAGTGGAAAAATTAATGTTATTGAAGGATTATAATACACTTACATCAACTCAAGTAGTAGAGAACCACGATATCAATGACCTTTCATCCAAAGTACGTCTAAATGCCCATGACATAGCCAATAGAATAATGAGACGAGAAAACTATATGATAGCATTGATAAACAAAGATTTATTTGATCTTAATTTATTCAACCTTCCCTTCATAAACTCACAATCAGTACTCACTCGTACCCTTGAATGGAACTTGAAATTATGCATTGATAACTTCATCTACACGCCACAGGGACAAATAAATCCTCAGATCCTAAAGGATTACAATAGAAATCAAATGGCTCCTCTTGAATGGAGGTCTAAGTTTGATCGTCGTTAGTAATTAGAATATAATACAGGGTTTATCGTCATCTACTTCGTCCTATTATATTTCTTTCGCTACTTCAACGAATATAAATCCAACCCAAGCTCATTAGTAGGATTAAGACAATATACACCCTATGCAGAATGGAAACTACGTGAATTCAACGAGCTCCCCCAGTTCTTCAACAAGAGACTCCAATTATCCATCGGTCCAGCCAATACCTACATCAACCAATTCCCACGAGGGTTTCTTGCTATCAATATCCTGAAATTGATCAATTTTGTCGCAGGGGCGATTATGGCCATATTAGTGATTATGGGAGTTTGGTTTGAGGATGAACTGCATTCATTTTGGTCATTTGAGATTACTGAAGGAAGATCAACCTTGTTTTATATAAGTATTTTCGGGACAATTTGGGCCATAACCTCAAGTCTGACACCTAATGTCAATAATGAATCGGGTCATTCGTTTGTATATGACCCCGAGGCTAGTTTGAGATATGTTTCTCAATTTACGCATTATTTGCCAAGTAGGTGGAACAAGAAATTGCATACTATTGAAGTTAAGAATGAGTTTTGTGATTTATATTCTTTGAAGATTATTATCATTTTGAATGAGATTTTTAGTTTGGTGTTGACACCGTTTATTTTATGGTTTAAGGTGTCTGCAAGTAGTGGTGCTATTATTGATTTTTTTAGAGAGTATAGTATTCATGTTGATGGGTTGGGATATGTTTGTTATTTTGCTATGTTTAATTTTGAAGAGAAGGATAAGAATATGATGAGTGACTTGAATAAACGTAAGAAGACAAAGAAACAACAGAAACGGAGAAAGAAGAATAAACAAAGAATCCAAGATTCAACCAATCTGGTAGAATTGAATAAACTTTCCAAGAGTGATGATAATGGTAGTTCTAGTGAAGAAAGTGACGATTCGGTGAATTACTTATCCTATCAACAAGATGATAAGATGATTAAATCATACATGTATTTCTTGGAGAGTTATGGTGGCACAAAGGCTCCACAACCACAACTGAGAATGAAATCAAAATCGCGCACACCAAATCAACCGCAGTCATTAGCACGACCTGTTGTCCATGCTGAGCCTTCTCCTAGCTTCTTGTATGAGCAACAACAGTACCAGGATCAAGATCAGGATCAGTTGGGTGATTCGTTTAATAATTTTCACTATGGATTTGAGGATAGTGGATTGCTTAGGGATGATGTTGCAACTGGTAGTAGGAAAAAACCACCACAAAACCCTTACGAATTAGTTAAAATATTCGTTCTGTAATCTTCTATTCTATATATGGGTAATTAATATTAATACATAGGTTTATGAGGATTTTTATAGAAATGTAGTATTGAGTTTTGCAACCAATTTTTGTAGTCATTTCTTAATTGTTGTACTGTTCCATTTTTTTGGCCCTGATTTCTTTCTTTTGTCTTTCTTTCTCATCTCCTTGCAGCAAGTAAGATGGCTTTTATATAGTCTTGAAGGAATCTCCATAGCATGTATTCGTTCGCCATTGAACCAATTTATTATTCATCTGTATCATAAATGAGCCGCACGATGCAACAAATATTTTTTTGGCTCTCATTTAATCTCATCTCACTCACTTAAAAAAATTTACTACCAACTCAACTATGCAAATTCATTTAACCCCAACAAGAAGACAACAAGAATGGCCGGATCTCAATTAAAGCAACTTAAAGCCGCACTTAAGTCAAAGGGACTTATTGGACAAACCAATACCAAATCCAAAAAGGCCAAGCATTCCCGATCCGAAACCAAACGAGATGAAAAGGAAAAACACATCAATGATATCCGAGATCAATTTAATAAATTTGATCAAAGAGTAAATAGAACCAAACATGATGTATCCATTATTCAGAATGGTTCATTTGTAAAGATGGGTTCGAAGCAACATAATGCAACCTCTCAACGTAATGGAGCTGTTCAAAGGACAATGAAGATGCAATATGAATTAGAAAAGTCTAAAAAGGGTAAAACTGGTGGAGTTTTGGATAAGCGTTTTGGAGAGAATGATTCTCATTTGACAAAGGAAGAAAAGATGTTAGCAAGATTTACGAGAGAAAGACAAGGGACATCGAAGAAGAGAAATGCGTTTTCATTAGAAAGTGATGAAGAGCAAGATGAGGAGGATTTCGATGGTGGATTTACATTAACTCATAGTGGGCATGAGCTTTCTTTAGATGACGAGCAGACTGTTAGATATGTGGATGAAGATTCTCTTGCTCCTGCCGATGAAGAAGGGCAACCTCCTAGGAAAAAGAGTAAGAAAGAAGTCATGAAGGAAGTGATTGCCAAATCTAAATTCTATAAACAACAAAGACAAAAAGAATTCGCCAAGACTCAAGATGACATAGCGGATTTGGATGAAGAGTTTGGAGATGTTATGGATGATTTAAGAGGTATTCAGACCAAGCAACAATCTATCTTCCTGACTAAGACTCCTGAGCTGATTGAGTATGATGCGAAAGTTCGTGAATTAACCTATGAAAGAAGAGCAGTTCCTGCTGACAAAACCAAAACCGAAGAAGAGATTCGTAAGGAGCATGAAGATAAAATGAAGAAATTGGAAGCAGATAGATTAAGGAGAATGGAAGGTTTCGTTGAAGAAAGAGACGTAGTTGCTGATGACTTGGATGACGAGTTTTGGAATGCAGGAAGTGATGAAAATGAAGAAGAAGGGTTTACAATTAAGGAATCTGATAATGAAGAAGAAGAGGATCTTAGTGAAGAAGAAGGTGGTGATGAACCTACTGGGAGACCAAAACGAGCCAAGACAGACGCAGTAGTTATGCCATCCACACATGCAGAATTCCTTGATGCACATGCGTCATTGGATTCTTCTAAGCATTCAGCACATATTATGAAGATCTGTGAAACATATAGACCAAATTTAGCTATGGGAAATAAAGAGAAAATGAACAATTTCGTCGGTATATTATTCCAGCATGCGTTATATCTTGCTGATGAATCCAAAGATTTTGAACCAATAGTTAAAATCATTAAGAAATTGGCTGAGACTTATAATCAAACCCTTGTTGAAACTGTTCGTGAAGAAATTAATGAAATTCAAACTAGAATTGATAAGCAAGATTTGCAAATGAGAGATTTGGTTTTCTTTGTGATTGTGGGATTCTTGTTTTCAACATCTGATCATTATCATTTGATAGTTACCCCATGTTTAATTTTGATGAATGAGATTTTGAGTTCTGTTATCTTCCATCCAAAAAACATCCAAACTGTTGGACAAGGAATATTTATTGTTGATGTCTTGTTAAGTTATCAAAGGTTTGCTAAACGATTTGATCCCGAAATTGTTAATTTCATTGAACAAGCTACGTTGATGTTGATACCAGAACCAGAAAAGTTACAAGGTAAGGATAAATTATTATCATCAACTAAACTACAAGAAGCATTTTCCTTATCTAAATCAGCTAAAATTCAACTCGAATCACTTTCAGTATCTCAATTATTCAGCACTGAAAATGACATAAAATCTCAATTATTAGTCAAACTTGTTTCGATAATGGACAAGCTAGTCGCCCTCTGGAAAGAAAAATCATGCCTTGTTGAAATTCTAGAATCATTCATTCCAATTCTCAAACACTTAGTCAAATATTTTGCATCCACCATGCCACAACTTGCGGATATCTTAACCAGATTCACCAGAATGCATAAGAATATCGCCGCCCAACGTAAACCATTGACATTACAACAACATCGTGCAATTGCTATTCAAACATTAGCACCTAAATTCGAGGAAAACTTTAATCCAGATAAGAAATCTTATGATGTTAATAGAGAACGTCAAGAATTGAATAAGGTTAAACATCAATTGAAGATGGAAAGAAAGGCAGCACTTAAGGATATTAGACAAGAAAACAAATTTGTGGCAAGAGAACAAATTGGTGAAAAGAAGAAAATGTATGAAGAATATCATCGTAAGATGGCTAATATTGTTAATTCGATCCTGACTGTCGAAGGGGCTGAAAAGAATCAATATGAACGTGAAAAGAAACAAAGAAAGGGTGGTCGATAAATGAGAATGGACGTGTTTATAAATTTTATAGATGTATGACTCTCATAGATTTTTATAATTAATTGTACATTATTGACGGATTTGGTTTAGAAAATTTGAAAGGTAATTAATAGCTAAATTGGAACCAAGTTATTGCCACCAATTCGTCTTGGGGGTATAAAACGATAAGAAATTGACACCTTCTTCCCGAACGTATTCTTGAAGCTGACGGTCCAACAATAATTCTGCCATGTCTGGACTTGATGCTTTGAGTACTTCTACTATAATTTGAGCATCTGTCATATCTGGATTTCCAACCAAACAAACTTCCTGCAATTGTGTGCGAGTCAGGAATATCAAGTGGGGTGAAACTCCGCTTTGTAATTCATTGTCGGAAAGATCTAAACTAATCAACGAGGAGGGGAATATCAACAGATTTCCATCCTTTTGGAAGTACTCATTGATCAACAGATTTCCATCCTTTTGGAAGTACTCATTGATCTTGGTGGATGCCATACTTAATTTTTGCAAACTCTTTAGACTTGAGAATACTGAAGCAGAAGCAAACGCAGAAATTGGATTTCCGTCAAGACACAACCATTGCAATGAAGATGGAATGTGATTCTCCAAGAAAGATATCTCGTTTCCCAGCAAATCTAATTTAACTAGACTTTTATACGATCCTAACTCGATTTGGGCCAATGACTTGGTAGTTATGTAAGATTTTTTCAAATAGAGTTCCCTCAACAGTATTGGGAGGATATTTGGATAAATCTTGCTCGGTTTCACCAAGACCAATGCAAGCACTTCTACAGAATCGGGTACGTGAAAGTTACCACTATGAATAACTCGAAATCCCTGGTGGTTTGTTAGGTTGACCAGTTTTAAATTTGGAGCATCTATGAAGACTTCCTGGAATGAATTATCAGATAAATCCAAAATCTGCAAACTGGAAGGTAATTTGCCTATAAAAATGTCCAGTCTTCCGTAACCGATCTTAAGTCTAACCAAATTGTCTAATTCCTGCAAATCCAATTGTTTGATAGGTTCTATTGTGTATAGCCTTGCACTGTGCAACGATTTGGGAAGGGAAATTCCTTCTAACGTGGTAACTTCAAGATTTAACTCGACGAGAGAATCTGGACATACAAGACCAGACCAATCTTCTTTCTCGGCATACTCATGGTACCTGTAATGGACATCATTTGAAATTGATAATACTCTTAAGGACATTGGTAATGATAATTGTTCGGCTCTATAGAACCCACAGTGCGTATGAAGTTCGAGAACCTTTAGATCATGTGGAATTGGAAAAGATCTCCCAATTGTCACAAGTGGTTCCTGGTTATAAGGTACGACATCGCCACAAAGGTCAAATAAAGATATATCAAGCCTTTGCAAGTTTGTAGGAAAGCAACGGGTATTCGAAAATACACTCGTCTTGGTAACATTGCCAAGGACAACACGAAACTCTTTCAAGTTAGGATACAATTCTATTCCGTCCAAGCTATCTAGATTTCTTTCTTCCATTCCGCAATTCGCGTCCCCGATTAAGGCTATACGCTCGATTCCAAGGGGAAATATGAATCTGTCCAACCTATCAACCCCTATGGGAGCATTAGCCACAAATTCTCGCAAGTTATCCAAATAGGAAAGATCCAACTCGTCAAATTCGCAAATGGCGATTTGCAAGAATTGTAACAGTTCTGGTAATTGGGGGAGACAAGTCACTTGGCTGGAAACATCAATAGAACCAAACAACCTTAGCCTTTTCAAATTAGGAAAAAGGAGAGGGAGCTCCTTCATTGAAGCTTCCACTAACCGTAGCTCTTGGATATTTTCCCCCCAGGCAACATTCTTAATGTTTGGTAGACAGCCAGTAAGAAACGATGAAATTTTGGGTAACAATTGGCCATACATGACTTGGGGAAATGGAAACTTCCCCGACACATCTGAAACTCGATAGATATTGTAAGTCATGTCAAAGGAGAACTGAGATAATCTATCCTCCAGCTTAAATGAAATGTCTATTCTTGGCAATTTTTCTAAAATTTGCAGATATCGTTCATGAAACCAAACAAATAGTTCCAAGCGACAGAAATGCATTACTTTGGGTCTGAATCTCGGGTATTTCTTATTCAATTGAATAAATTTGTTGGGTGTCAACACTCTATAAAAAGAAATACCATCATCGAAGTCGTAATCTTCGTAGGATAATTTGTAGGAATTGTCTATCCTTTCATATTTCTCCCTTGGCTCGCCATAAGCATTCTTGGTATATTTGTACTCTTTTGGATCTATAAATGGTCCATTGCTGTTATACCGGGAATACGAGGAGATAATTTCTACAGAATGGTAAAGACTATATGCGGCATATTCTCCTATGAAGGGAATGTCGATGTATGTTTCCAAATAATCATCAGGAATAAAGTAAACAATAAGTTGAATGATTTCTTTAGGAAGATCGAAAATTTCAAAGCTAGTTTTTTGCTTCTTTCGTTTTCCTTGTTGTTGCGGTTGTTGGTCAGTCATTCTGATTAGGGAAAAGAGTTCTGGATCTATGGTAATTTTGGTCTACCCTTGAATCCTTTATGTCTGCAGGCAATTAGCGATGATTCCAAGTGTAGTTGCTACTTGTCAAATTGGGGGGAGGGGCTAAGAACCAGAAAGTATACTTCGCGTTAGCACTATTCATTGTTTCAAAATGGGCGACGAATTAAGATTTAACTCGTCTAGTTCCTTCATTACAACTATGGCCATTATAACATAGTCTTGCAGCGCCAAGAGTATGGATTCCTCCCGAAGAGTTACCCGGCTTCCAGAGTTGGGAAACAATCAAGCATTTTCGTCAAAGCGCACATCTGTTGTGTAAAGCAGGGCATTTCACAAGAGCAAAGACGTGCATATTCAGGACCAACACGACGCAAGTGTTTTGCGTCATATAATGAAGTGTAGTTGGATATTGAAGCGTTCACATATTAAGCTAGCTTCTTACTAATTCTACTAACTTTGTAGTTCCAATTTCATAAAGGGTTGTCCATGGTTTGATCCTGGCCATACGATTATTTCCCCTATTCTTGGAGTTGAGCCTCGAGTGCTTGCTCCTCTATCACTATCTAGCCTCTCTATGTTATTGCTAGGTTCTAACAACGCATTTGCTAACAGATAAAATTAGTCTTATGAACCCCTGATGTGTCGATGGATAGAAATTGCTTGTAGTATCTCAGATTCGATATCTTCGAAACTCTTAATCAGCCTATTTTCAAATTCGGTACCAACTGTAAATTCATATAAATCTTCTTCTTAAAAAGGTTCACTATTTTTAAATTAGCTACATACACATTTCTTATAATGAGCTCCAGGGTTATATTCTACCGATTTATTATTAGATTTCAATGGAGGATTCATTAAAAGAAAAGCAGCGTAGTAACGTAAATGTGTACCAGGACAAAGATTACAACTTCCTCGCCGTCATCTTCAAGATCAAAGAATCAGTAGCGAACCAAATCACCTTTATCTTTGTGTAGTGTCCCAATGGAATTATTCTGCGGTTGTGATTGCTGTTGGAGTAATGAACTGGTCCATTTCAGGAACGTATCGTTTGAAACATTAGGATTTATTTGAAACGGTCTAACTGCTGATGAATCGATATGCATTTTGACAAAATTATAGTAAATTTTCATTGCCATAATCCCCAGGGTCTTAATAGTACCGTTCTATGAGACTATCCATTCATCCAATTCCAAATTCCTCTTTGACGGGATATCGAATGCTGAAGGTGGTAACAAGTCCAGAACATTTCTGTTAAAGGCTTCGTTTAATGCTTGGTTATACTCTCCTTGGGATACTAATCTCATATCGGTGAATCTTTGGATACATATTCTAAATCGACTTCATTAATCTTATCTTGATTCGGCGGTGGTTCTTACTTTTTAAAGCACAGTTGCTGTTGATTATCGATAAGAGATTGTTGATTATTCAACCACTAACTCACTGATCCTATTATCAGGCATATTCATTGTATTTTCTGTTTGCAGGGGGGAGGTGTAGATAATTCACTTACGAAGGATATCCCAGGTTCATTTCTAGAAAGCAGGAATCTGACACGAGTTTATTCTTCTATACAACTGTAAATACTTGTTTCAGGATAAATTAATGGTTTACGTCGTCGATGTGTTCCTATTGGCCATTGCCAAGTTTGGTTGCAAACTCTGGTTGCAAATTCGTACCAGCAACACTGGAAAACGGAACCGGCTGGACGAGAAAAAAGACGTTTGTTGTGTCGTGTCATCGCACAATAAAATTTAAAAATTATTTTTCTCAGAAATTTCACACGGCGGAACAGACGGCAACTATAAGCCCTAACGAACGAGGAAAAAAAATAAATCCCTGACCAAACGGTAATAAGAGCAAACGTAATGTCTGTCCAATAAATATCTTTCTGAAAATTACTTCAATCAGAGTCATAGTCAATGGAATGGTTATATTGTAGCCGTGTAATAAATATATCTAGCCATTGAGTTCGTTGCACAAATATGACATAGGTATATGACATGACCGATGTCTTTGTGCAACTCATCGCAAACTCGGGTGGGGGAGGGGGAGTTTCAACTGAAATTGCGGCTGTTTTTCCCCTTTGTTAGTTTATCCCTAATTCTTTCCTAAACCACACACAAAGTCCAGATAGATGGATACTTAAAAATGAATTCCACATTAATATTAAAACATCACAGAAATAACTAAAATTAATTAAACCTATAAACATAAAAAAACGAAGAATCACCAAAGTAAGGACGTAGCGGGGATTGGTTTTCAATTGGGAAAACGATATCCTTCAAATATCAACCTGCAGAATAATTACCATATTTCATTATCCACCAAATAATTCAACATAGTCTCAACAATTATATCCACTTGAAAACACAATCAACCTCTCTCTACTCACTCACTCTGATATCTCTCGACTTCATTTTGTATTAAAAAACAATTGTAAATATTATTTGGTCAAGTATTTCTTAAAAGAATATATATTTAATAAAGAATATAAGGATTGTACATGAAATAAACAAAAGCTCAAACGAATTGAACAACTAAAAATCAAGATGGTAACGATATAAAAAGAATGTCATTTTCTTGGGGGGAGGATGCCGGGTAAACCAATTAGTATCTTTTCTTAAACTTGAGACATGGTTGGAACGCCAGTTCTTGCGGCTGGTCTTGATCCTCCAAATAATCCACCTTGAACAAGGGCAATGGTACTAAAAATACCTGAAGCTAAAAAGATAAATGTAGAAAAGTACAAGAATGCAACTGAAGCTTGTGATTTTCTACATCTTGCTCCTGAACCTTGAGTAATATTGTTACTATCCAAGTATGCCTTATTAGAACAGCTATGAGCTCTAATTCCGGCAGCAATTGCAGTAGCAGCAGCAAATGTGAATACAAAATTCAAAAAGTCAAACAAAAATAAAACCACTGGCCAGGCAAAGGCAGCTATAAAGAATGCCAAGATTCCATAGATTGATGATGTTAAAATACCAAAGGAAGCAGCAAATACCCCAAAATTAATTTGTGGATTTGATTGAGTTATAGTGGTTGCCGCTAATGAACCAGTTAACCCCAAGGCAATCACTAAAAAGACGAAATTGATAATACGTAAAATTGAATCTCCAATAGCCAACATTGTAAATTGTATATGTAATTGTAATTGGTATAAATGTTTCTCTTAAGATAAAGTAAGTAAAAACAATTGAAAGTTGTTGTATGTTTTTGTAAATAGCAATTAATCTTAAGGCTCCCTATTTAAACTTCTTTTTCAAAAGGGGGTTATATTTATATGAATTTATAAATAAAATTACTAGCCCTGCCCTTTACTATTGATGTTTGGATGTTTCCACTAAATCGTTATGTCATAATTTTTTCCCAAATAAGAATGGGTCATTCCAACCTGCATATAAGAGTACGAGAAACAAACCGATTATTTCAGTTTAATCTTTTCACTGTTGATTAATCGGCTATTTCGGGAAAGTGTTATAATTCCGAGCTGCATTGGTTATATCGTCTCATTTACTCCATTGTGAGCACTTTGTGACACTAGTTGTGTTCGATGGATCTCTCGAACAGCGTGTTAACTAACACAGCGAGAAACAAGAGAATTCCTCTCGCATTCAAGACGAGAGGTGGCATTGTTCTCTGTAAAAGAAGGATTGCGCATAGAAGCAATCTAATGTTACTCAGCAATGCAACCGTTTCGGCGTTCCAGAAAAAGATTTAAAAAAGAAAACGTACTTTGTCGTATAGCGGGAGGGTCCTATTTGATCATCACTTTTCCTGCAAAAGAGCATGCAATGGAAATCTCGGTAATTTTATTATTGCTAATTACTAAAGAATAGCATGTTCAATCTACCCGTTGCATAAACGGTCATCTTTCTAGAATGGTGATTTCGCCGACCCTTCTCATATGTGCAGTAAAAAATATTGCTTCACTTTATCATCAACGGCAACATGAATTGGCAATTCACCAGTATCACTCTTCAATTGTGGATCTGCACCCAACCCAACTAATTCAACAGCTACATCGGCATGACCCTCAGCTAAGGCATGATGCAATGCAGTCCAACCATCATTATCCTTAGCATTGACATTGATATTCCCCTTCTCGCATAATAATTTAACGGTTGGAATAGATCCAATACTCAGTGCTCGATGTAATGGAGTATGTCCAGTCTTGTCCTTCTTCTTACAATTTGCACCATTTTCAATAAGTTTCTCCACAATAGCGAAATTATTCTTACTTATAGCTAAATGTAAACAAGTTGTTCCTTGATTAGTAACTTCATTTAAATCTGGTTTTAATTCCAATAATCGATTGAATATTTCAATATTCCCTAATGAGGAAACAATATGTAAGGGAGTCCACCCACTTGAATCTACCAATTCATCGATTTCAACATCATCCAGTGCTTTCTTCAGAAGGATATATTCTACCAATTCGAGATTGTTGAATGTACATGCCCAATGTAATGGGGTACGTTCATCTTCATCGACTGAATAGAGTTCTTTGGGAAATTGGTCGATCAATTGTTTGGCTAAATTGGTATTGTTTTGTTTGATTGCATCGTGGATTACGAATTGATTGGTCTTGTCTGAATCGTCCATTGTATTGTTTTGAATTACTTGCTTTAACTTTGGGTACTGAGTTCTCACCGTTGTACGGTAAAAAGTTAAAAAGAGGTCCAAAAAAAAAATTAAGTCCAGCCAGTTTGTATAAGGGGGCAGGTGAATTGAATTTGGCTGCAACACGAAAAAACTTAGGTGATGCAACCAGCTTGCACCAACTTGCTTCTCAAATTTAGCCTGAGATTATAGAAATGTATGTCGGGGGAAATCCCCTCCGACTCATTAGCATTATATTTATTGTTAGATTCATTTCACTATCACCTTATCCGTTGGCTAACTATTACGCGAGAGAAAGAGCGAGAGTTGATTGTTTTCGAATCGAATAAGTGTGCAACACCAGGTTAACCAAGCAAAGATGAAGTAATATGTGATTGCCTATTGCAATATAAGAGTGCATAGACCATATCTTACTCTAGGTAAATCTGTATTTAGTTATTTCCTATGGGTGAACTCTGGCTCTGATAAACAATATTGACATAGATAGAAATCAATGTTGAACGTTGCATACCGTCCATTCTCGCTTGACTCTATCCTATCTCCATTGGACAGCGATTTAGCAGCGAGTCATTGCGAATTTAATCTACATTGTTCTTTGAATATTTGATAAAGTTTTCAAATATCATGAGTAACCTCATTCTCAACTGTTTGCATTCAATTTTTTTTTGCAACCATGAACTGTTGAATCAATCTCTCTCCCTCATGCATTATTAACACGCCAAAATACCTACATAACTCCTTTGTTTACAATAAATAACCATGTTTACTGAGTATATACTATAGAAGCAAAGAAATATCATCATCTATATCTATTTAAAATGTCTCATTAGAATGCATCATTCTTCCTTTTTCTTCAAGACTTGTCATATCGGTCCTCCAGAAAAACGTCCCCCCGTATTATTCGTCATCGGATACTCTTCATCATCATCCTCATCATCACTCGAATCCGAATCTGAATCACTAGGAGGTCTCGTAAAGAACGGTGTCGCAATTACAGTCGAGAAGTTAAGTGATCCTAGTTATAGGGGTTGTAGTTGTAATAGTAAATACGAATATTCACGATCAATATTAAAATCATCAATTCCAACCATGGGGATCGATGGTGCTGTTGCACTACTGCCCAGTCCTATTCCTGCTGAGGTTCTTCTCCCACCCATTGTACCTGTACCTAGCGGTCGCGGACGCGACGATGAAGGAGAACTCTCAACTAAGTACTGGTTTGACCTACTATTCTGAAGATGTAATGAATATTCCCGTTTTAATGATTCCAAATATGATTGATAATCGTTTGATGCTTGTGATGGTTGTCTCCCTGATTGGGTACTGTTTGACATTATTGAGTTGGAGAATTGTTTGGAAGCGACTGATGAGGATGTTCTTCTACGTTGATGGGCATCCATTTCTTCGTTTTCTTCAGTAGAGACGGGGGATAACATGTTTTGATAGGGGATTATCATTAGTTCATCATTAGCTTGTGATGATGCTCTGTTGTATAGCGGTTGATTTTGTTGTTGGTATTGGTGATGGTCTTTTTCGTTGGTGTTTAATTCGTCTGACATGGTGGTGTTATTGGATGTGGTTGACGGAGGGGTTTGTGCTATTGGATTATAATTTTCATCAAGTTTTGCATAATCAATCTTGGTTGAGATGAATTTTTCTGAAGATAATGCTGATGTACAATGAGCATACATGAAATCAACTTCTTCTAATTTTAACCCCTTAGTTTCATAAACGCAAGTATAAATGAATATAACACTTAATGCATTACAACCACCCCATATGAAAAAGATTTTATTTCCAATTGCTGCAGTATGATTCCCGGTATCGATTAAGTATGGGGTTATGTATGCAAAGATGAAATTAACAAGCCAATTAGTGGCCGCTGTCAAAGCGACTGCTTTTTGTCTAATTGAAATACTGAAAATATCTGAACATAATGCCCAAGTCCCACCACCCCAAGAACTGGCGAAAAAGACAATGAATAAACATGAGAATGATACACTCAAAATGGCATTGATTTCTTTATCTGCTATACTTACACCACAGATTGCAATAATGAAATTTGAAACTGACATACCTATTCCTCCCCAAAATAATAATTTTCTTCTACCAATTGTATCAACTAAAATTATACCAGGAATTGTGAAAATCATATTAACAAGATATGTTGCAAATGACATAATATAAAAATTTTGAATCCCAGTACTGGCGAAAAAGTTTACACCATAATAAAAGATAAAATTAACCCCTGAACATTGTTGAAAAAATTGAACACCCATACCAGTAGCCATTCTTAATTTTTGTTTATGACGACCACCTCCAGCTCTAAAACAATCAAAGATTGAAGTTCTTCCGAAAGAGATTTCATAATCATAATTTGCTTTAATTTCAACTAATTCTTCAATTAAATCTTCATCATCTTGAGGTAGTCTTCTTAATTTTGATAATGAAGTTAATGCTTTTGTTAAATTATCTTTTTGAACATAATAACGAGGACTTTCAGGTAAAAATAACATCCCAGTAACTAAAATTAAAGTCCATAAGAATTGTACTCCTATAGGAATACGATATGAACCTGAATTTGGCATTCGTCTAGTTCCTTGACATATAGCTGATGCGATTAATAATCCCCAAGTAATAGCCCATTGATACGTAAAAACAACGGACCCTCTGACCCATTTGGGTGATGCTTCGGCTTGATATAATGGAACAATAGCCGACAAAATCCCTACTGCTAGCCCTGATACGTATCTTCCTACGCACAATAATGCGACTTCTGTAGATGCAATCTGTAAGACGTTCCCAACATTAAATATTATTCCTGATGATACTATAATTGAAAATTTACGTCCATAATTATCTGACATTAATGGAGCTATAAGGGCTCCACAGAATGTTCCTAAGGATAAGATTGCTGTTATTAATGCTCTTTCATGAGTTGTAAATGATTCTTTGTTAGCTGGGAATGTTGTATAGACATATTTCATTTCTAATAAGTCGTTGATTAAACCTGTATCGTAACCATAAAGAAACCCACCCACGGCAGCGACTAAACCTACCATTAAAGCAGAATTTGAAGAAGATTTCTGTCGCAACATACGATAGTGTTGAAGAAGATAACATAATAGCATATCATAAAATAGATCTATACTTTTGTAACACTTGATGTTGTATATTTATAAAATGTATGAATGTAATGTTATGTAATGGAGTGATATCTATCTGGATCTGATTAACATTTGATGGTTAAAATGTAAAAATGTAAAAATGCAAATGGGAATTTTTTAGTAAAATGTAAAACTAAATGTAAAAATGGAAATGAATATGCAAAAAGTAAGTGTCTGTCTGTCTGTCTATATGTACTTAATAAGTTCTTATATGTAAGTCTTATAGCGACTGAGTGATTTATTTGATAACAATAATAATGAATTTGTAATAAGGAAAGGAGTAAAACAAATTTTATTAAAAATGTAAAAAAGAAAAGTGGCTGAAGCTTATTCCCTTTTTAAAAGTTAATTATTCGTATAAAAAAATTAATGTGTGTATTTGAGTATTTGTATGTGGGATATTGAGATTCACCATGGGGAGGAGAGAGAGAGAGAAAGATTTTTTTAATTTTATTTTAAACTATGAAAGATTTTTTCATGCACTAAAAAAAGAGAAACTATTAAAAAATATTTTTTTCTCTGTCTGTCTTTGGGATCACCTGCATGACCTTCCTTCGTCAACAAAATATTATTCAATCACCAATATTACCTTGGAACTGTTTACATCATAGATTTTATCACCTGACCTACTAGAGTCTATTACCTAAGTCATATTTTTACAAGATCCTGGCTGAAATTTGACTTCCAGTTGTCGCCAAAACGTATGACAAATCATGCCTTTACTCCGCGGTTTTAGATTTCCTCCCAAATCGGTTTTTTTTTTTTTGGTTCCAACTTCCTTCCGGAATTTTTCTCTTCCGATTAATATGGTGATGACCAAGGCTTGCTGTGCATTAATAAATTGAATTCTTAGAGGCAATGCTTGGGAAATTAATCTTTTGGTCAAGATCCTACCAGTTGCTGCCAGACCCCTCCTCTATCGCCAGGTTACCACCGTTAAAAACCACCTCGCCACAAAATTCGATGGGATAGATTTATTTTTCTTGGCTGCAAAAAAGAACAAAGGGCGGCGCATAAACTTGCATTTAGTTTTTTTCATCTGCTTTCATTTATTGTGAGTCTAATTCGTACCGAGGGTTTTTAGTGCACTATGTCAAATGCACATAGCCTTAGAATCGTATATCATTCCTTTTCCTATCAAGCCTATCTTCAACTTTTGAAGTATGAATGTGATTTCGTGTAATCTTGCAAATGATCTTGTTTCTCCAGAGCAGACGAGATCAAGCACAGTTTGGACGTAAATCCATCTGCCACATCGGGAATCTGACAAATCACTTAATCTTGCATTGACGTACTTTCATGTACGAACGGCTCATAATTCACTCCTGGATAAACCAGTTCTCTCATTTGGAAAGATAAATAGACTCAGATTCCAGACGGGAATAGCAATTTCCGTCAGAAAAAGCAGGCTACATTCGTTGAATAACAATAGCAATTCGACTCTTTTACACCAAGGAGAAATTAATCGCAGGTGAGGTTTCATTCTATATCGGTATATCTCCGGTACAAAAGAGGGAAACGGTGTGTAGGTTGATTGTTATTTAGTACAAACACTTCATCTTTTGGAGAGGGAGTGTAATTAACTATATTGGAAGCATATGGTCTTTATAATCTCCTCTTATAACTTGCTTATTATTCTTTAATTGTGTAAATTGTCTCGGCTATATGCAGCATTCCTGGTGTCACGTCCCAAGCATTCGGAAATCATTAGAATTCCATAAGTTAGATGAATTTCAAAAACAAACTAACAAGAAGTCAATAAGTACATCACCATCAGTTAAGTTATATATTGTTTCTGTAGGTGAATGACATCATTTATGAGCAATTCTACAAAATGAGAAAATTACCCGAGGGTGTGCTATAAATCATAAAGAGATATTAGATACAGCTAGTGTATATTAGGGTATATATCAATTAGAAATTTGTGGAACATTTTATTGATATTAATTTTTTTTAGATTTTTGATAATATTCCGTTGAAAAATTTGCACCCAAAAAATTGTCAACATAATTACCGTTTTAAGAGATACCAATAACCTCCGAAGATCTCATATAAATATATCCATTAATAGAAGCTCTTTCTATTAGATCAAAATCTTTGTGTCTTTGATATAACCAGACCTAACCTTCTTTTAGAATTTGATCAATTATGAATTCGGTTGCACGGCTCAATAAAAAATCACGTGCGAAAAATCTTATCTGCAGTCCCATAGAAAATTCCGCTTCGTTCATAGTTTGCTGCTGCTGTTGCGGTTGTAAAAAAAAATCAGGGAGACCAGAGATCAAACCACAATTTTTGACAGTTGTTGTAAAAGGTACACACACTCATTCAATTGGACCAAAGGTACTACAATGATAACATCACCTAAGATAACAGATAGTGTTAGATTGAATAGTAATGTTACTCCTACTTTAAAGAATATAACTGATGAATATCATAAGAATAAATCACAAATGAATGGAGGGAATGATATATCGCGCCGTCGAGATCCACCACCAAATTCAGTTAGAACTAAGAATTTAGTTAATATTACGGTTGATTTAAGTCATAAATTCATCCATCATGGTAAAGCTCCTGGAACTATTTTAGAAATGATTAAATTTTATATTAATCATTTTTTATTATTAAGTTTATTTTTTATAATTTCAATTTATAAGAATTTTCAATTTATATATCGTCGATTATATTTAAAATTCCTTACATTGACTTATTATCCTAATAAATCTCCACAAGTGATTAGAGAAGATGTAAGTAAACTATCTAAAATACCTAAAACTATTAGTTGTCTTTTGGATTTAAAAGATGTTGATGATGAAAATGGTGGATTAGATGGATTAATTAATCAAGTTAGTGAATTGTCAGCATGGGCAATTAGTTCTGGAATTTCTGGGTTGATAATTTATGAATATACTGGTGCATTAACTCATTCAGGTGATACATTAGCTAAATTAAGTCGATATATTTCCAAGAATTTAACTTTATATTTTGGTAGTGAAACAATACCTACATTTTCAATTAAAGTCCCTCATAAAAATTTAATAATTTATAGTGATTCAACAATTAATAAATCTAATGCAAATGTTAAAGTAGATTTAGAAATTAGTTTGATTAGTTATATTGATGGGAAACCAACATTAGTTGAATTAACTAAAACAATGAGTGAATTAGCTATTCATAACGAATTATCAGTAAATGATATAACTTCACAATTAATCGATGAAGAATTAATGGAATTGGTAGGTCCTGAACCTGATTTATTAATTAGTTTTGCTCCATCTTTAAATCTTGAAGATTATCCTCCTTGGCATATTAGATTAACTGAAATTTATTGGGAACCAGATAATAAAGATGTCAATTATGCTGTTTTTATCCGTGCCTTACAACAATTTTCTAATTGTAAGGTGAATGTGGGTAAGTAAATCTAGAGGAAATATATTTACACAACTTATTTATTGCTTGTTTGGGTTATAGAAAACATAAATTAAATTATTATAACGATTTTTCAAAAATTTACATTTCATAAAATTATAAATTTATTTTGTTGCAAGTTAGTTAGGTAAAAAAGGTTTCAAGTATTATTATTATTCCACAAACTGACTACATAGATTATCTATTTTAAATTCTTACTATATTTATAGCATTCAATAAAATTACAGGTCTTGGGCAAATCATTGTAATTAATTATCTCTATTTGCAAAATTTTATCTTTTGTCCCACGCTTTAAAACAGAGTCTAACCGCTGTAAATAATTGAAGAATTTACATGATGTTGCAAAAAGTGACTTAGCAAAGCAATTCCATATTATATCGATACTCCTGAGAATTTACGACTATTTAAGGACCCGCAGAATAGAACGTTAATGTCTATGCTCCAGGAATGAATGATAAAGCTTCTTCTCTTGTTTAGAATTTAAAGAATAGAGTGAGAGGAATGGGCAATGAATCAGCCACAGTTTTTACGAGAATATAGTTTTGAAAAGTTGATATAAACAATGAATTGTCAATTTCTAATCTAGTTCTTAGGTGTCAGATGTATAGAATTTGATTTATCGCGTGTATCTGCTGTCTAAATAGAGTATTGCACCAAATATAGTGAAATGTCGCATAACTAATAATAGTAAATAATTTTAAATAATAAATTTCATATGGTGTTTCATTTTTTTTTTGTATGGAAGAAAGAGGAAAAAAAATAAAATGAATGCGTTGGCTTTTATTGTTATAGAAATCAACACACAAATTTTCTCACTCATTTTAGAACAGTCAGTCCAAAGTGTGTTTGGGAAAATTAAACGTTGGAAAAAAAAGTTCGAAGTTTTGATTTCTTTCTTTAAATTGCCTTTCTCTTTCTTACAATACACACACCCCTTTTTAAGACAAGTAACTACCAATTTTAGTTGTTAATCAATTGAATTTAAACTCAGATTCCTAATATTAAACTTAAAGAATTTGAGAGAAGCTTAGAATACAACCAATAGAAAACAGGTATTTTATTTAGTTTAGTTTTTAACACACACGCATTTTTTTTAAAAGGCATTATAGATTATTTAGAACTATATCTTATCAACTAACAACAACGACCCATTCATTACCAAATCATCAGTCTCAATAAACTATTTCATTCATTTTATTGATACACATTTTATTTTTATCCCCAAAAAAACAACAACAACTGTAAATTATTATTATTATTATTTCATATCATTAATTAAATCATGGGTTTATCTTTTTCAAAATTATTTGCCAATCTCTTTGGTAACAGAGAAATGAGAATTTTAATGGTTGGTTTAGATGCCGCTGGTAAAACCACCATATTATATAAATTGAAATTAGGTGAAATCGTCACCACCATTCCAACCATTGGTTTCAATGTTGAAACTGTCGAATACAAAAACATTTCCTTTACAGTTTGGGATGTTGGTGGACAAGATAAAATTAGACCATTATGGCGTTATTATTTCCAAAATACTCAAGGTATTATTTTCGTTGTAGATTCTAATGATAGAGATCGTATTGCTGAAGCTAGAGAAGAATTACAACAAATGTTAAATGAAGATGAATTAAGAGATGCCTTATTATTAGTCTTTGCTAATAAACAAGATTTACCAAATGCTATGAATGCTGCTGAAATAACTGAAAAATTAGGTTTACATTCTATTAGACAAAGACCTTGGTATATCCAAGCTACTTGTGCTACCACTGGTGATGGTTTGTATGAAGGTTTAGAATGGTTATCTACTAACTTGAAGAACTCTTCTTAAATGATCTGAAGCACAGAAGTTCCCTTTTACAGGTAGTTTTCCAGTTTTAGTTTTATTTCTTATCATCTATATATATATGTAACTTTTGTTCAGTATTTACTCTTGAGTAAATAAATCCTCTATTTCCTATATTAAAATGTTCAGAAATAATGTTTATGTACACAATTAATTAATGTTTTACCCATTAAGGTTGCCTTCTCCACGTAGGTAGATTTGGTTAGACAACGAATCTTCTAGATGAAAGTTACATTAATTGACTCCACATCAATTAGCCATAGCGCAGTCGAATCAGATCAAAGAAATCTATTTTTAACTCGCCAGTTGAAATTGTACGTGTTTTGTACCACAAAACTAAAAAATCCAATACAAAATGCATTCGTCTTTCCAATACTGGAATTACACCGCCCCCGAACACCGGGACTCGTCTTATAACTTTCTCGAACTAATAATCTTCAAAGATAACAAAGAGAAGCTCTCAAATTCTAGTTCCATTTGGATCCCAAGATGTCATATTTTGAGAAGAACCATTTTCATCTCAAAGCGGAATCAACATAGACTAACAAGCTCTGAATCTTATTCACCTCGACAGATTTGTAAGAAAGTATTGTCTTTTACGATTTGT